TATGGCCAGCCTGGAAACTCCAGCTGTGTCTCCGGAGCTCACATCATTGTGGCCAGAGGCAGTTTGGAACCTCGGGGACCAGGCATCATCGGAGCAGTTGCTCAGCAAGTCCAGCAAAGAATCTCCCACTCCGATGTCGTATCTCTGGAATATCCTGCCATCTATAATCCCTACCAGCCTTCACAGATGGAGGGTGTGGCAGCTCTGTCTGTTGTGCTGGCGCAGTATGTCACGATCTGTCCCAAGACGAAGATTATTCTACTTGGTTTCTCGCAGGTCAGTCCATCTAGACATCAGATTTAAGCCCATTAAGAAGAGCCTCATGGTCCTTTACTGACTCCGTTATGCAGGGCGCCCATGTCATTGCCGATGCCATGTGTGGTGCGAGTTCCATCGGATTCCTCCCTACCAAGCCTTCGCCTTCCGCCATTACAAACAACAGTCAGTCAAAAGAGCCACAAATCCCCATCACCCATACATTCTAATCCTCTTGAAGTTTCAGCTGTTGTTCTCATGGGGGATCCGAGTACTACCAAAGGCCAACCCTTCCATGTTGGAAGTAGTGTTGGCAACGGTGTAAGTCCTGGGAAGCCTGCTAAGCATGATCGACAGCTGACTATAATTATTAGATATTCCCCCGTCAGAAACCCGAAGGATGCAAATGTGTTTCGGACAAAACAGTCTCTTTCTGTGACGCCGGCGATCCTTTCTGTGAAGCTGGAGGCCATGATTTGAGAACTCATATGAACTACGTGACTACATATGGACATGCTGCCGCGGATTATGCTGTTAGCATGTTCCATAGAGCCTAGCATGCTTATTTGACTGTGTTTTCGTCTTTGGAGTATGTACAGAAACGAATAGGACTGTAATTGATCTATCATCACTGGGAAGAATATCTAAGAATAAATCATCATCGAGCCAGCAACGTATTTTGGATTGCTCGGATACAGTTGAAGTAGAATTTGTGGTGTGAGTGGTCTGTAATACTTACTGCACAAACGTTTTCTCGGAATAGGGGTAAGCTCATATTGATTGTTAACAGCCATGACAAACGAATCAAGCCCACTCCGTCAAGGACAATCTTGGCCGCAACTAACACAGTTTTCGAAGCATCTGGTTTAATCATGCTGTAATTCTAGCAAACATGGAGATCCAGTTCTAATCCCAGCACACTCCAAGGAACTAGTGTTGATTCTCTCCACTTACACAAACAGACAATACTAGTATAAAGGCAGAGAGAGGTAGCTGTTTAATACGGTCTTTGGACATGTCATATATAATTTCTTTTCATCACACTGTTCATCCATGCTCGATAAACTACTATCTTCCATATATTAACCCGTCTGTTGTCGAGTTACGCAGACTATAGTGACCGAATCAAGAAACAAGTCCGATACCATCGATCTACCCCAGTCCCTGCAGCCGAACCGCAAAAGTTGCAAAGATGCGATTTGACAGTCGAGGTCCACGGTTTTTCTTTTTCCAACCTTCACTAGAGCTTCTAGAGTGCTGTTGTGGGCCTTCCGCTGCTACGCCGCTGCTCTACTATCTTGAAGATGGATATTAGATCGTGAGTGAGGTTGAGGTTACTATCAATGTCTGCCACTGTCAGTGATCGCGTTCTGATTCTGCAGCTGCCACTGCGAGTTGGCACTGGCAGTCGCCAAGGTGAGGCTATATATTCTCTTGTACCCTTTCATCCGCTCTTCTTCTTTTCCTCCTCTCTTTACTTTCATCCCGACTTCCAATCATCTCAACTCTTCACCTTCAACCATACATCATCACATCAACACATCAGAGTAAGAGATTATACTTACTATCTTCTCAAAAGAACCTATCTGACTTCTCCAAAAAGATCTACTCAACAGACAACACCTCAACCATGATTTCTTTCATGCTCGTTCTAAGCTTCTCAATGGCTCTGGTCTCAGCCAACTCGACCACTGACGCCATCACTTGCGCCAAGGGCGCACACCTCATCGTTGCTCGTGGTAGCCTTGAGCCAGAGGGACCCGGTGCGATGGGTGTCCTCGCGGAGGAGATCATCAAGTTGATCCCCGGCTCGGACATGGAGGCTCTCGTGTATCCCGCCCTCTACAATGAGTACGTCGAGTCTCAAACCAAGGGCGTCCGCACTATGAACTCCGTGATCAACAACTACGTGAAGAACTGTCCCGACACAGACTTGATCCTCATGGGTTACTCGCAGGCAAGTACTCACCCTCACCTTAGTAAAGTACCATGCTAATGATTTTCAGGGAGCCCATGTCACTATGGACACCATGTGCGGCGCCAGCTCGGACGGCTTCCCTGGTACTCTCTCCCAGCCTGGGTACATCACCGACAATGGTAAGATACTCTCACTCAGGACATACTTGAAAGGTTGCTAACATTTGACAGTGGTGGCCATCATTGCCATGGGCGATCCGAGTCTCACCGAGGGCCAGCCCTTCCTTGTCGGAACCAGTGAGGGCAGTGGTGTAAGTCTTGACTGATAAGCATATCATGAGCACAGCTGACATATCCCAGATCTTTCCACGCAACCTTCCCATCGGCTGCGATAGTATCGCTAGCAAGACCGTTTCCATCTGCGACAAAGGCGATCCATACTGCGAGGCCGGCGGCAAGGATCTCTCCGTTCACTTGAGCTACATCAAGAACTACGGAGAGTTCACTGTCGGCCACGTCGTCAAGGCGTGGAAGTCTCGTAACTAAGATCACTTGGATACAGTTTTGAGATTGGAGTTTGGGAGTAGGCCAGATCGTTTTCGGATTGATGCGCAAAGAGTGCTTTGGAAACACCACCAGCCAAAGATGCTGAGTTTGACTACTGAGAGATACTGGATTGCTCTCACGAATAAAGACACTTTTGCGGCATTACTGCTATCTTGTGTGGTGTGAATAAATTGCCTAATCTCTAAACTTGCGATAAAAAATCGAAAATCTCTCAGTCTACAGTCTTTGTCGTCTTATCATTAGAAACGAAGGAAATTAAAAAAAAAACATCCATCTAGGGTATCATGCGATGCGTAGCTGTAACCAAACTTTAACCCCGTAAGCGTAACCATAATCCATATCCATATCCATGCTGTGCTGTGTCGTGTCGTGCCGTGTCGTACTGTGCCGCCGTAATTCCCCAAACTCCAAATCATTCCCATGTCACGCAGTCTCATTCATCGCATCTCGTCTTAATACCATCCCTCGTTGGGAATGCTCCATCCCGCCTTTGCAAATAGAGGCACCGATTCTGGATAAGATAGTGTGAAGGGCAGCCAGAAGGTCTCCCTGGTCAGGTGAGGTATCCTCTCAGGGCGCAGCGCATGCTCAGGCAATCTGCACTGGATGATTCTCTTGAGGATCCAGATCATCTCGTGGGCCAGATTCTCCTGCCTGTCGCGGTCCGAGTGCTTGAGCTCATTAACATAGGTCCTCGCAAGCTCATCAGCCAGCCCCGCTAGCGACAACATGGAGACGGGGTTGCTGCCGGCGGTGCCTATTTTTAGGGCATGCATCTCGTTGAAATCGTAGGGAAACCTCACGCGGATCTGCTGGACGATGCCGTCCGAGGTCGCGACGCCCCAGACGTGTCGCTGCCGCGGGATGGGGATCATGCCCTGCGCCTTGGCCCAGCACTTTTGGTTCTCGCGCGTGTGCTCGGGACACACGATGCTCACTCTGTACGGCCTCGCCTCGTAGCCGTAGTAGACCATGGCCGCGAGACCGCTAACGGCGTAGGGGATGTGGCTGAAGCGCTGTGCTATCATGTCGACTACCTCTGACACGGCCTCGCGGTTCATTGAGCGGTCGTCGGAGAGGAAGATGGCTTCGTTGCTCCCCTGGTCCTGATCCTGATCCTGATCCTGATCCTGATCCTGATCCTGATCCTGTTGGTAGAGAGTATGTCTACCATGCTTCTTCTGGTTCAGCTGCTTTGACGCGTTCAGTCGGGTATCAACAGCATTGCTGCGTTTATGTTTCTGATTGTGGCCCTCCCTTTGCAGGGATGTATCCTCTGATGGAGTCCGCCGTTGGCCTCTTGCTTGTGGGGGACGTTGACGTGGAGCCACAGGCAGAGGCTTCAGTTGCTCACTAAGACGATACTGCTGCCCGCCTGACGCGTGTTGATCCTTGTGACTCTTTTTCCTTTTTGCCTCACGTTCACCCCTAGAAAAATCATTGTCTCCGTAACCATTAGTGCCGTGGCAATGGCTGCAATAAGTTCGCTTCTTGGGTAGCCCAAATGGATTCCTCCTTTCCCTTTTGTGTCGCCCTCGATTTCGGTCTGGTAGGGGACACTCTCCTCTAACTGATTCTCTACGGACATCAGGATCTGATTCAGAGTCAGAATACCTATCCGACGCAAACCAGCCGCGCAGGATTGAACGTAGACTTGTTCGAGAGCTCATGGTAGCCTGAACAAGTCTACAGCTCTCTCAAGAGCAGGAGAAGAGTAAAAACTCACCTGCTTTTATAGATATCAAATCTGAGTATGCGCTCTTATAAGAGAAGTTACTGAACTGCTTTAAAGATATTCGGCGATGGCGAGCTGCTTCTGGTGTCTGTTGTTGTCTTTGTTCCAAGTGTGACTCTAGATTAGACAAGCAATAGCTGAAAGCCGAAATATGCAGTTTGTCAATATGAGCGCAGTTTTCAAAAAGTGAATTAAAAAGCGGAAGAGAATTTGCGCATCTTTCGCCTTTATAGAAACGTCAACACCCTTGTTCTACGCACGAGTAACTGTGTTCAAAACATAATACCCAGAACTCACGGCGCTCACAGCGTATGAACACCAACGGCGATCATTCCGCACATCAACTCACGGAACAAAAAGGTACACGCGGAATTAATTCATGCATGCTATCATGCTAACCTTGTGCAATAATTCGTGACATGGCTAGGTCTCTAAATCTTCCGTCCCGACCGCCAACGCCCATTAATCTTACAAGTCCATCCCGTGGCCTCGTTATTTCTTGTTAAAGGTATTCATTTCCTCGCGCTTATAACTCCTCTTCCACGTCCATTTGTTCACCATTCACTTGCCCCTTGGACCCTGCTTGGCCCTCCTTCCTGGGCATGGTGGCCTCCTTGTCGATCATTTGTCTCGACACAGATACAATGTTGTCCTCAATGAGCTCCTGGCCAACATCCTCGAGATGCTTCTTGGGATCCAACTTGCCAACGTAGCGAGTCTTGAGCTGATCCTTAGTCAGCTCAGTCTCCTCCTTTACGCGCTTCTCATAACCATCCGCCAATGAGACCAGCTGTTGCAGTCTGTCCTTGTTCTTGCAACCCTCGTGTCGGAAGTCGTCCATCTCCAGAGCTTCGGTCCAAACGTGCTTGTGCAGGTTCATGAGCATGTTCTCTTCGAGCGCGGTCTTGCGGTAGTTGATTCCAATCGAGTAGTAGTGTCGGTTCAAGCCGTGGATGAGAGCCTGGATTGAAGGCTTGTTGAGGTGGCCCAAGTTGCTAGTGCTCTGTCGAGGTTCTTGTCCGAGCATCAAGAGCTGGGGGTTGATGAGTCGGAAAGCGTCAATGACGACTTTGCCCTTCACGGACTGGATAGGATCAATGACGACGGCAACGGCGCGGGGGTTCAGCTGCTCGAACGACTGCTGTGTGTTGATATCAACAGAAGAAAGCCAGCAGCCGAATCCAGGATGCGAGTGGTACCATCCGACAACCGACTCGGGTCTGTTCAGTCCGTTAGGTAGTGATAACAAATGAGGGACTGTAATCAACTAACCTTCCTGTTTGCCTAAGCATGTCCATCATCTTGGTCTGGAAAACGGGGTCGACAGCCTCGACACTAACACCGGTACCGCTCTGAGGCATGGCAAACACATCCATAACCTTGACGGTGAAGTCATCCACAAACTCGCCAAGCATCAGACCCATGACTTCCATGGGCACACCTGCGCGACCGTGTCGAAGCATTTTAAGTAGGGCAAGGGAGGAGATATAGACTGTTTCGGAGTTATCAATCAGATTTGTGTTGTCCTACAGTCGTCAAGGTCAGCAAAGCTCAGAACTGCAAAGCACACCCCATTAGGGAGCTCATATGAAGGAGATGATAGCTTACAGTGCCATGTGCAGCTCCTCCAAGGCCCATTCCACCGCCACCAAGTAAACTCCTGAAGCGCTCCATGATGTCGACGGTGTGTTGAAAGGTTTAAGGATAAACTGCGGGTAGAGTAATTCGTCGACAAAAATAGCGTGCGGGTGTTGATGTTTGATGGTGGGCGGTGATGGAGGGTTGGCGTTGCTATGATCGGAGCTTGGTAAGGTAATTGACGTTGACGCCAGCCCGGCAGCCTGGGAGCCACAGCTGAGAAGCTTAGTCAAGTCACGTGCACGAGCTTAGTGGCTCTCTGTGGCGTATCTTATGCGAGGGACTCAAATTGTGGCTTGCATCAATTAAAACGGAGCGCTTCAATATTTATTCCGGTGTAAACGGGAGACTTTCAAGCTCCGGGGATATGCTTCGCATCAGCCAGTGGTAAGTGGTTCTGCCCATGTAACTTTACATACTTACACCCAAAGATTCTTCTCGAAAGCTTGTCACATCCTACCAAACTCTTGCCTAAACTTATCCCTCGATCATGCTGAGCTCTCCCTGAGCAATTTCCTATCGAAATACCCATCCCAGATCCTTTTATTTCGAGCGCAAATTTGATCTAACCCTTTCTTTTACACCCGCTTTCCGAGATTCGCGACTCCACGAGTAGCCGCAGTCATGGGCGACGATATACGTGTCGAGCTCGGCTCGGTTGCGCTCAATGGCTCATCCCCCAAGAAGGTCGCTTACTTTTACGATTCCGACATTGGTAACTATGCCTATGTTACTGGTCATCCTATGAAGCCTCATCGCATTCGGCTGGCGCATAGCTTGATTATGCAGTACAACCTCTACCAGAAGATGGAGATATACGTGAGTCCATTCTTGATCCCCCAACCAACTTTTGGAGTCACTGAGTTTGGGATATCATACTGACAAATCCCAGCGCGCAAAACCTGCGACCCGAGGCGAGATGACCCAATTCCATACCGACGACTACATCGATTTCCTACAAAAGGTCACACCAGACAACATGGACAGCTTTATGAGAGAGCAAGGAAAATACAACGTCGGTGATGATTGCCCCGTGTTCGATGGTCTATTTGAGTTCTGTGGTATCAGTGCAGGTGGTAGCATGGAGGGTGCCGCGCGACTGAATCGCCAAAAGTGCGACATCGCCATCAACTGGGCTGGTGGTCTTCACCACGCCAAGAAGTGCGAGGCCAGTGGTTTCTGCTACGTCAACGGTATGTCTCTCCCAGATATCTCAGGTATCACGATCTAACCCAGTATCTAGACATTGTCCTCGGTATTCTCGAACTCCTCCGATTCAAAAAGCGGGTCCTCTACATCGATATTGATGTGCATCATGGCGATGGTGTTGAGGAGGCTTTCTACACCACCGACCGTGTCATGACCGTTTCTTTCCACAAGTACGGAGAGTACTTCCCCGGCACTGGTGAACTTCGGGACACCGGTATTGGACAAGGAAAAAACTATGCTGTCAACTTTCCTCTCCGAGATGGTATCACCGATGTGTCCTACAGGTCAATCTTCCAGCCTGTCATTGAGAATGTCATGAAGTACTACCAGCCCGAGGCTGTTGTTCTTCAATGCGGTGGTGACAGTCTGTCTGGCGATCGACTTGGTTGCTTCAATCTGAGCATGGACGGCCACGCCAACTGTGTCAACTATGTCAAGAGCTTTAATCTCCCTACTCTTGTTCTCGGTGGAGGTGGCTACACAATGCGCAACGTCGCTCGAACTTGGGCCTTTGAGACCGGTGTTCTTGTGGGCAAGGAGATGGACCGAACCCTGCCCTACAATGAATACTACGAAGTAAGTTATCTGATCCTGTGTTGACAAGCCCCCACTAACGTGGTACAGTACTATGCTCCCGATTTTGAGCTGAATGTGCGATCCTCTAACATGGAGAACTCCAACAGTCGAGAGTACCTTGAGAAGATTACTTCTTCAGTCATCGACAACCTTCGACAAACAGGACCTGCTCCTTCAGTACAGTTGCAAGACGTCCCCCGAAAGCCCTTTGGCGGCATGACTGATGAGGAGGAGGCCGAGTTGGACGACCTAGATGAGGATGAGAACAAGGATGTTCGCATGACCGAACATCGTTGGGACAAGCATGTTGAACACGACAACGAGTTCGAAGCCAGTGACGACGATGAGTTGGCTCAGGCGCATGGTGCCACGCGCCAGAATGGCAACAAGCGCACCTTTACCGACTATCGCAAGGGGGAAATGGAAATCGATAATGCCGATGCTCCTCCAGCCAAGGTAACCAACGGTGCGTCCGCTGACGAACCTGCTGAGGAGCAAGCTGGCGAGGATGCTCACGATGTGAATGACGATACTATCGACGACATCTCAGCTTCGGCCCCAGCCGAGAAGGAAGCTCCACCCAAGGAGAGCGAGAAGCCTGACGAGACCGCCAAGGAACCTGAAGCTAGTAAAGTGGACGGAGACGGTGATGTTGGCATGGAGGACTCAGCGGCTCCAGAGGAGACAACAATCAAGAAGGAAGAGGTCGAGCCTGAGGCACCTGCGGAGCCTTCAGCGCCTACTGAAAAGGCTTCAAAGGACGAGCCTGTTGCCCAAGAGGCCGCCGATACCGCTACGAAGGAGCCCACCACAGAACCTAAAAGCACTGAAGAGACCTCAGATAAGCCTGCAGTAGCAACTGAGAAGGCTCGGAGCGAACAACCCGACGATGCTATGGACGTCGATACGGAGAAGGATAAGCCAGAGCCAGCTGTCGAGAAGAGCAAGAGCCCTGTAAACTAGGGGCTTCTGGGCAAAGCCCTCTTGATTTCTTAGGAGATAATTTCACGTTACAAGAACAAGCTCATGCCACGTGCACCTTTGCATGGAAGCAACCGGCCTACGACACTCAACAAGTGAGGAGACGAAAGCCTTGCATGTGAAGGAAACATGTGGCCTGCAGTCAGGCGTTCCAGGCGCAGGGGTAAAGACGATACGAAGGGCCAAGCATCGAATTGTACAAGAAGGAGGAATTTCAAGGTTCGGTCACACATAATTGTGATGCTTTCTTTATTATGATGTTTGATGGTTGTACTGAGTAGTTTGTCACTAAAGCGAAAGAATTTCTTTAAACACTACAAGTCACGATATCTTGAGCTTGAGCATGAGTGACATGGGTGAATCTCAATCTTATTGAAGCATGATTCTTAGTGGTGATGATAAGGTGTGTTTGGTGCGGAGTGACAAACCAAGTAACTTTGGACTGAGCACACAATTCAGTTCCTCACGTAACTCGACTACTGCTCTCATTATTCCTCCTCGTTTCTCTCCTATTGTAAAGCGTCTCTCCACGGATATGTCCTAAAGTCTACTTGGTCTCAGCATGGACATCGGTCTGACTCTCAGGCGGGCTTCCCCCTTCACCTTTCTCGGGTGACTCATCGGCCAAAGGCTCAGTTGAGCTCGGTGGAAGACCCATAGTTTGTGGGTGATTCTGTAGCGAACACATCATATTCAAAAATGCTTCATCCTGACTCCAGGGACAGTGGCGCTTGAGAAAGTTGTAGCGTTCGATTGCTCTGGCGTGTGAGGCGAGCTCCGGGCTCAAGTGCGCGAATCTGTCGCACATGGCTGGTGACATTGCGGAAGGAGTGTCCTCTTGTGTGTCTTTTCTTGTGCCTTGTGTGTTTGTTTCATTTGCTGAGGGGTCGGCGCTTGGAGTACCACTCTTTGAAGCGTCATCATTCGAGATAGCTTCGTTGAGGTGGCTCCCAAACATGTGGCCAAACTCGGCCATGAAGGCCGTGACCTCTTGATCGATTTCTTCTCTTTCGGCGGCTGAAAGCATTTTGAGGATAGCTTGTATATTATTTTCAAGGAATTGGTTCATGTGATACTAAAGTCGGGTTGGCTTGATGTTGCGTTTCGTGAGGTTCGGCAGTGATACTACAGTTGGAAAGTGTCAAAGACGTAATGTTTTCGAGGAAAGGGATGGGATATAGCAATGGCGAAATAGAAAGGAGTATTGCTCTTGGTATATAGTTAGATTGGTGAACTCTTTATATGGATGCTCATTCGATGAGTTGATACGGCCTTTCACGATCCTAGAGTTTATTTATGAGATCATGGAAGCCTAAACCTTCGCATTCAGTGGCATTTTCGCGGCCGTGGCGAGTTTTTTTGAAGAGTTAAAACATATTCAATGTCAGACTTCATGGTACATTATTTATCCTTTGGTGTTGTGTCGGATTGCTAGACTGTCAGGTATTTGTGATGTTGGTGTCATTATTTGAGCACAGGAGAATGCGCACTTGGCAGACCCGAGCAGAATGTATAAGTGGAATAGATGTGTAAAGGTATATGCGATCATGAAGCTATTTTATAACGATCTCAATATTTGTCTGTGTCAGGTCTCATCTGGGGAGAACCGGCAGTCAATGGCTGTCACGTATACAACTGGTTTCTGACTTGAATTATCCTTTATAGTTTCAGGACTTCAGACGACATTACATGGCTTTAGATAGAATTCCACATGATTCATATAAGCTCAAGCGAGAGACCCTTGATCAGAGCACAAAACAATGTTACTATCGCACACATGTCAGCTCACAACTCTAAAGATATTCAAACTCTCATGACAATAAGGGTCTAGGGTGGCTGAAGGTATTCATGAATGGTGGGGGACCGAGACAATGATAAGATACCCCACATTCCGCGGGCACTGCCGACATTCCGCCGGGTCGACTCACAGGCCGGGAAGGTGCCTAACCTATTGTTCAGTAATAAAGTAGCAGGGTAGGGGACGAGCTACACTTTAGCGTCGACTGCGGGGGACCTCGAAAAATAATTATTTCCAACCTAACCCAGCCGCTTCTACTCCAAGAGAAGCCCATCGTCATCCGTCTTCTCTCTCACATTCTCTTACTCGCCACTCGCTATCTTATGTCAATGTAGCATCAAATATAATCAGATCTTTGACTCTTGTTACCAAATCCTCCCTCCTACGACAATTCCATCCCTCTTGTCGCATCCTCGCTTGACTCACAATGCCCACCCCCGCGCCCGCCGAGGGCGACGCCGCGACGGCCAAGCTCGGCGTCTGGAAGCAGGCCCTCTACGATCGATGTCGCGAGTCTGGAACGGACATGTTCTCCCAGGATGATCTGTTGCGCCTCGATGTCATTCCAAACCGAGACCTCATGCTGCTCGCCCGTGTCGTTCAATCCCTCACAGATGACAAGCTTTTCATCACCATGCGCGAGGCCTCGGGCCAAGTGCTATGGAAATGGCGCGACTCTGAAGAAGCCCACAAGTGCGAAGAACCACCTCTGGAACACTACATCAAGCTCTCGGCTGACAATTGGCTAGGTATAAGCAGTGCTCGACCGACGAACAGGTCATGGTTTACTCTCTCATCGACGACTCGGGCGGCGACGGTATCTGGTCGCAGACGCTACAGAAGCGACTGAACATGCACGACTCGGTCCTCAAGAACGCACTCAAGCAACTCCAGACAAAGGGTCTAATTGCGCCCTTCAAGAATGTCGAGCACCCGAACAAAAAAATGTTCATCAAGGCTTCTATACGGCCCAGCGATAGAGCTACCGGCGGCCCGTGGTACACCGATCAGAACTTTGATGAGGCCTTTATTGAAGACCTACAGCGAGTTGTATATGATTTTATCAAGCGTCAGAGCAGCTATCACAGCACACACGGGGGAGGTGCTGCGCGGACGCAAGTTCCCAAGAAAGGTGTCGTGAAAGGTGGCGTGGAAAGGGGCAAGAAGCGAGATGCTAGTCACATAGATGAGCCCCCAGCGAAAGCCACCAAGATTTCTCCCACGGCGGCCGTGAAAAAGGACGCCCTACTTCCTCTTCCTGCTGGATACACAGGCTATCCGACCGTACGCGACATCGCTCGTCTCCTCTCCTCAAGCGGCATCACTCATAACACCATCCTTTCCGAGCACGACGTACAGAAGCTTGTCGACGTACTTGTCTGGGACAACCTCGTCGAGTCGGTCAAAGTTGCTGGGAAGGTTGGCTACCGCGTATCTCGCATTGCCAAGCAGTCTCTAGAGAGCTGGGCTGGTCGAGATGATCCTACAGGCCGTGAAGGCGGCCCCGAGCCTATTATCAGTGCCTTCACCGAAGCTCCCTGCGGCCGTTGTCCCGTGTTCGAGATCTGCGAAGAGGGTGGCCCTGTAGGTCCCAATAACTGTGAATATTTCAAAAGGTGGCTGGGCGTTGAATAGAGCACGAGTGCAGATTTTGCATGTCGATACGATAAGTATGGATTATTGATACCTGCTTTTTCTGATGGAGAACGGAGTTATGGTCTGGAAGAAGGCTTTTTGTTTCTAGGGATAACAGCAAAGGCGTAGAAGGACAAGCGATGGCTATTTAGAATGCAGCCAAGCGTAAACGATCGCAGCGATGATCAATCAATTTTACCAAGTAGAGGAATAAGCTGTCGAGCGGTATTTCAAGAATCCATCATTCACAGCATGATAGAATCAAGTGACAATGCGTATGGGGTTAATGGTTGACATTTCTCATCAGCTAAGCTAGTCTTTTATGCCAGCTTGCGAAAATCCAGCTATTTAGTGCTAGTCCTCATTCGGTCAGTTTTGTAATGTGCTCCCAAATCCCATCCCTTTGCCTTGTCCTTAGTGATAGCTTTCTACAGCTCACCACAGTCGACAATGGTGGCACGCTTCTGGTACTTGACAGCACCACTGCCGGAGCCGGTAGCCTCAAGAGCCTTGACAACGTTCATGGACTCCTCGTCAGCGACCTCGCCGAAAACGACGTGGCGGCCGTTGAGCCAAGAGGTGACAACAGTGGTGATGAAGAACTGAGAGCCGTTGCTGGAAACACTGTTAGTCTAATTGAATTTGTAGCCGAGTGGAAGTGCTTACGTGTTGGGGCCGGCGTTGGCCATGGACAGCAGACCGGGGCGGTCGTGGGTGAGCTTGAAGTTCTCGTCGGCGAACTTCTCACCATAGATGGATTTTCCACCAGTGCCCTTGATCGTGTTAGTATGCACCTGGGAGGTTTGGGTTGACAAAAACGTACATTGCCACGGGTGAAGTCACCACCCTGGAGCATGAAGTCGGGGATGATTCGGTGGAAAGAAGAGCCCTTGTAGCCGAAGCCCTTCTCGCCAGTGCAGAGAGCACGGAAGTTCTCAGCGGTCTTGGGGACCTCCTTGTCGTAGAGGTTGAAGTTGATGCGACCACGCTGGTCTGGAGAGAAGGAATGTTAGTATTGATGCAACAACACGCGGAGCTCAAGCTGTGAACTGATGATGCGAGATGATGACGAATACTGTGCATGCAGATCCAAATGCCGCAAACATCAGACGATCGTGCATCTCTCGAGGTATCGAGCCGGAGGGTAGGATAGCTGAAGATGCAGCTTGCCGTCTCGGATCGCTGGGACGATGGCATCGGAGAGGAATCAATACTTACTCTGAATGTCACGGGTAGCATTGCCGTTATGGAGGATGGGGCCCTCCCACTCAATATCGAAGAAACTGATCAGAGTTAGCTGATGCCTACATCAATGCGATGATTGGTGAAGAAAGGGATGACTTACACCTTGTTACCCATGACTGCGGATGAAGCTGAGAAGAATCTAACGGATCTGATTGTGTTGGAGAGTTGAGGAAGAGAGGAAGAAGTTCTCGCTGCAGAGAAGCAGTTATGGCGGGGTAGGAGGGGCTTGAAGAGGGAGGGTCTCATTTTGAGGAAGCTGGAGGGGCAAAGTGTTAGCGTGGGCCGTTGAAGCCAATCGAAGCGTGTAGAAAGTGTGAAAGAGTGGGACAGTTGGCCAGGAGTAGATCACGTGAAGTGATCCTGAGAGCTCTCTCTCGTTGTTTTGCTGCCCGCTAGACCATGAGGTCACCGTGGTGGCTATGGCCACAGTGGGGCGGGGGAGGGGGAGCTTTGCAACAGCTAAGGTTCTGGCTCTGTTGATCAATGATGAATCCATCAATACCTGCTTGTTATTGCAAGCAAGCGAGAGCTGACGAGCATTTTGCATTGCCCCTGGTTCTCAATGGCATGGCTCTGACCGCCATTACCTGCTGCCATGCCATGCCAGACATTGCAAATAGCGCAAGCACACGCATCGAGAAACAACAAGACCACATTGGACTGTGCTGTGGACTCAATGGCTGGCTCTGGCTTGCTCGCTCTCCCGTCAAAGCTTCAACGGGGCTATCCTTGGAGCTGATGGAGGTTGCCCGGGCCACGTCAAGCAAGCAACGTATCGTATCGTGCTGGACTCACACACTCCTCTCTGGTCTGTCTGGCTGCAGCAAGTCTTGTACTGTACTGTAGTACGTACATACATGGCCCCTCAAACCACCAGTCCAGAGAGACGCGTCGAGTCAGTGGCCCGACATGCCCGAAGTGCAGCAGACTTTTGCCAAAGCACCACCCCCATTGGAGGGGACGTGGGATACGGCCACCCCGGTGGATTGCATGGGCCCTCCACCTCGAGTCTCATGTAATGTACCAGTATCCAGTCCATTAATCAACCCGTGGGCAGAAGTGACCATTCCGATGCATTTTGAACCGTCAGACGCCGGGAAAAGAAGCTCCCCTCCCTCCGCAGGACCGGGTAGGACAGGGGCAACCAGACCAGCACCAGGCAAGCTCAAGCTGGCAGTGAGGAACAAAGGCGAGAAGAAGCCGACAATACCGGTATTGGGCCGATCAGCTGGCTTACCCAAGATCCCAATCCGGGTCAGAATAATACCATTGACCCAAGAAAGGTGCTCAGATGGCCAATGTTTGCCTCAAGGGCGTCTTGCTTCTCCCCTCTTTGTAGCGTGCACTACAGCTTGAGCTTCCCCAGACCTCTCTGTGGTAGAACAAAGGCAAACGCGGCAGGGGAAACAACTGAACTTGCACGTACCTTGAAGACTAAAACACTTGGGGAATTGGCTTGACAGTACAGAAGATGCAGATTTAGATCGATAGAATTACAGAAAACTGGTGATGTACGTGCTGAGGTTGGTCTTTTGGACTGATCTCGAGAAAGGGAAGATAAAAGTTTGGACCAGCTTGACGTCTGGTATCCAATTCTAGCGCCGTGACTGGCCCTCTCGGGCCCTGTTCAGGCCTGAAGTCTAAGGTTGTATGGCGGGGACTTAAAAGGTTCCCATCCATGGAAGTCTCCAGATGAGTTAAACCTGCTAGAAGCTCGGTTTCTGGTTCTACAACTGTAACATCCATATGACAACTAGAGGACAGGAGATGCTGGAAATTCAATTGTACCTCAGGCCAGTCACATAAGCCCCGAATGAATGCTCAACTTCATAATCTCTATATCATCATACAGGAATGTTGACAGTATCACGTGATCAGACATGATCCATGCTGACGTTGGGCTCTGGGAAATGTCCAAGTGTCCACCATGGCAATAGCGTAGCAAGGGGCATCTTGAACTCCAGATAATACTCCATTCAATTCCATTACGAATCCCCTCAGGAGCATCATCAACGGCTCCGCGTCTTTTGCGCCGATCTTTCGACTTTTCTGCTGGCTTTCGTCTTCTTGGACCAATTCACCATGGATATTAACGATTTGAAGAACACGGTCTCCAACCTGACCTTGTATGACCTCAAGGCAGGCTTTCGGAAGGCACAGAATGGTACCCCCTTTTAGCGACCACCTAATGCGCGTCATAAGTCGCTGACGATGTCCAGCTGTTATGAACTTTACCGAGATGGAGGCCAAGGTTGGTTGAGCTATGCGCGACAACAGACCGGGACATTGTCGACTTACCCATCTTCAGGTGCGAGAAGCAACGAATAACGAGCCATGGGGTGCTTCATCGACCCTTATGCAAGAGATTGCCAATGGAACATTCAACTAGTACGCTCGCCATTTCGAACCGTATCCAAGACCAACTTTGCTGACCATGAGCCAGCCAAACCCTTAACGAGATTATGCCTATGATCTACCGTCGCTTCACCGAGAAGGCTGCCGAGGAGTGGCGTCAGATCTACAAGGCCCTCCAATTACTCGAGTTTCTTATCAAGCACGGTTCCGAGCGCGTTATCGACGATGCTAGAGGCCACATCTCGCTCCTCAAGATGCTGCGCCAATTTCACTTTATTGATCAGAACGGAAAGGACCAGGGCATCAACGTGCGCAACCGAGCCAAGGAGTTGGCCGATCTTCTTAGTGACGTGGATCGTATCCGGACCGAGCGCAAGAAGGCACGTGCGACCAAGAACAAGTACACTGGAGTTGAGGGTGGTGCGACCTTTGGAGGTGGTTTCTCAAGCGGTAGCTCTGGCCGTTACGGTGGTTTTGGCAGTGAGAGCGCTGGCTACGGTGGTGGTGGTAGCAGCGGTGGCCCTGGCAACTATGGCGGATACTCTGGTGGTGTTTATGGCGATGGCGGTGGCTTTGGAGGTCAGTCTGATGACTGGCGAGGCGATGGCGCTGCCAGCCGATCCGAGCGATTTGAGGAATACGACGAGTTCGACGAGGGTGAGAGACCAGCCGCCAGCTCATCAAGAGCTGCCGCCAAGCGACCCGAGCGCACTCCTGTTAAGAAAGCCGCTGAGCCTCCCAAGAAGAAGGAACCCGAGGTTGATCTTTTCTCCTTCGATGACCCTGCGCCAGCGTCTTCTGCAGCACCAGCGTTGGCCCCAAGCAACACTGCCGCCGCTCCTGCGCAAGACGACGACGACGAGTTCGACGACTTCCAGTCAGCTACCCCAGCTCAAGCAGCACCATCCAACAACTTTATGCAAAGCCCTGCTGTGACATCGACGGCCTCCTCAACCGCCCAGTTTGTTGCTCCCCAACCTCAATCGGCTCCTCAGCAAGCTGACATTAGCCACATGGTTAGTATGGCGTCCATCTCGCCTGCACCAAGTGCCTCAGGAACTCCCGGGCCCAACTATTCTGCCTTCAGCATCCCTGCTGCCCCTGCGGCACAGGCTCCCAAGCCTGCTGCCTTCCAGCAGACTGGACCTAACTACTTCAGCTCTGTCCAAGCACAGACAGCAAAGACACCAACAACATCTGCCTTCTCAGGCATGGGAAGCGCCTCCAACGTTGCGCCCAGCGGCCCTACCACTATGGCTAACATGAAGCCCGTCACTAGCTCATCAGCCAAGCCAGCACCCGCTGCCGGTGGAGATGCCTTTGGAGCTCTCTGGGGCAAGGCCAGTGGAGGTGTCAAGAAGCCAGAGACACCCAAGACTGGACCCGCAATGGGCCAACTTGCCAAGGAGAAGAGCAGTGCTGGAATCTGGGGAGCCCCAGCAGCTCCATCTTCCAGCGGCAGTGCTCCTCCCAAGACCGGCGGGTCTGCCATGGACGATCTCCTTGGTTAAGCTTATGTGCTAAATCTATCTTGAGAATGGTGGATCATAACCTGGAACTGAAACGACGGCTGGGGCACTAATGCCTCTGTTGGTTGTGTGGGCTTGAGAATGTACAGAATAATAAGCAGTGGGACAGCATGTTTGTATTCATGATAGGATCCTAGATAGGCGTCTGGCGCAACAAAATGAACTGACATGTCATGTCGCTCTATTTTCAGCCAATTTGGCGTGGCCCCTATGGTAGGCCACCAGCATTCGATCGATTATGCTGTATCAGGTGAAACACAACCAACAACGGATTCACGACGATCATTATGAGCCACACAAGATGAGATCAACAGCCGAGATCGATCCTGGACCGGATCAGTCGCCGTTGCAGTAGGACGACTATCCCGGAATAACTTGCTACAGTGGACTCATAATCTTCACCCACGCAATCTCGCCGTGTACGCGACCTCATTCTAAACAAAGGAGCCTCATCCGGGCCAACGAACCGTATTTCCCCAAGAACGACTCTCACCCAATCATGGCCATGTCGATGTTTTCTGAAACACCAGCCGCTCTCTTCCCTGCGCGGCTATTGCTATTCATCCAACATCCCTGCTCGTCTAAGCGCCGCCACAACGTTAAGCCTCTGGAGCCTCATTGGCCGACAAAACCTAACGCCCAGGAACAGCAAGAATATTGCTGTATCATGTTGTTGAACTGGCAGGGTTGAGATGGTCGTCTGTGGGAGAGCGTGAAGCGCGATGGCGGCTGGTAGTAGGCGGTTGCTGTAATTGGAAACGAGGCTAGACAAGGTCCTACCCATGAACTGAGTGTGTTATTCTTGTATCTCGGAGAGGTTTGTTGACTTTGGATTTGTGTATAAAGACACGGAGTATCGGGCTGGTTGAGATATCCTTTTCTCTCCATCAAACAACTTAGACAGCAAACACTCCAATCTCTCTCTTTTCCTTTTGTCTCTTTTCCTTAGTTTCCTTTGTCCTCTCTTGGGTTTTCCTTCTTACTCACGACCAGACGAATCTCATAACGAATTCCCTTTCTTTTACAAGTCCATCTCTCGCCTCTTCTTTGGGCGGGCCGTTCACTTAGACAAAATAACTTCCTCACCCCCCTCCATCCCTTTCTACGCCAAAAACTTTCCTTTGCGCACAGCTGGCTCGTCGCGCCCTCGTCTCTCTCTAAACACAGAATCAGCTGGAAACCTCATGCCCAAGATGCAGCCTGCTCTCGGAGCCCTCGGGCACACCTGGACTGCCATGCGAGCCATGGAGTTCATCTCTCTGATCACGATCATTGGACTGACTGCCAACTTCATTGGTGAGATGGTCAACGCTGATTATGCCGCGCCTTCTGCCTTGATTGGAACACTGGTTGTTGTAAGTTGACTGGTATATGTGCTGTGAGCGAAGGGCGACGGACTAACATGATACAGGCCTGCATCTCGACCCTTTACATCGCTATCTCTTACATCCTCTACTGGGATGGCATGCTTCCTCTCCTCCTCTCGACTGGTGCCGATATCATGCTTCTCGTTGCATGCATCGTGGTCGCATGCACTGTCGGCAAGCCCGTCAGCTATCTCTCATGCCCCAAGTTTCCCTCGGACGGCAACACGGCCAACTTTGTCAACTCCCTCTTCCACAACGTATACCACTCCCGTGGCAACACTTTCGCCTGGGTCGACCCTGACAAGGCTTCGTGCTACCAGATCAAGTCCATCTGGGGCCTCAGCATTGCCCTCTGCGTGCTGTTCGCCTTCTCCGCCATCACCTCCGGATGCCTCTGGAAGCGAACAAAGGGTGCCTCTCGCCCTGCTCCCAAGGATATCGAGGGTTGAGGGTGCGGCCGTGAGGGGCAGGTCAACGCCCTGGGCATCAGCCTAGGACCGCATGTGATGGCCCAGGAGCGAAGTCTGGGGACCATGGCCATGGCGAAGCGGTTCGACAGCGACTCTTCTGATGCTGAGAGCGCACGCCAGCCGTGGTGTGCCCCGCCCCCCACGGCGCCTGTCCGAGTAAAGAGAAAGGAAGTACCACAGCCTCTGCAACATCTTCCTCCTTTGCCTCCAGTACCGGTATCACCGGGACGTATGAACGATAATGGACCAAAGAGTCCTCTTGAGAGGGTCTGGTCGAAGCGCAAGACTCTGCTAGAGCGAGTAGAGGGTTGGTGGGATCTTGATCTGCTCGAGAAGAGACAAACACTCTTCGGCGGTAAAAGAGTTCAGGGGTAATCGTGCTTTTAGAATATAATAGATTGGACGCTTTACTTTGCTTGTCGGTTTACGGAAATGAATGTTTGGGAACACCTGGGTAATGTCTACTGGCTAGATCGGCTTCATCATCAGAAAATGAATAAAAATGGGATTTGGGTTGACATGGATTGTTTAACCACAAACCGCTGTACCAACGTACCTTATGATCCATGGCCCCTGGCCAGAATAACTGTTGCTGAGAGAACACGAAACAGATAAACAAAAAAATGTGTGAAGATAAGACAGAGTATAAAAGCAAGGTGCCGCTTCAAATGGAGTTATCTTGAATTGCAGTAAAAAGGGATGGCACTTGAGAACAAGACACGAAATGCCAATTCATATGTTCTTCCTGAAATGACGGAAACTTAGCAAGTCCCTTTCACAGTAGAAGGTGAGGTAAAGCAATATTCATATCCTGAGCCAATCAACGAACTCACTCCCCAGGGTATCAAATCAGCAAAACTCCGTGTCCCAGAATCTGAAGGCACTTGGCCACATCCCAACTCTCATCAATCTGATCTCGTCTTGACCACACCTTCTCCATAACTTCAAGCGCCTCTCTGATTGTGCCGAATACACTGACCGGGCCCAACCGCTCCACCATTGCGCGGTATCTATCCTCGTCTTCAGGGGGCGAAAGGCAGCCTGCAATACAAAAGGGCCACACCAGAGTTCGGAGGCAGACATTGGGTGGAAGGGTCGTCAGGAGTTCTGTCATGCGGGAAACGGAGGCTTGTATCTCTGGGCAAGACGGTTGCCAGCCGGATATAACGACGTGGAGGTATGTAAGAGCTGCTTGGAGCCAGATCATGTTATTGACCGCAAGGCCAGGGGCTTGTTTAGTATCAACACCGTAGCCGTAATTTTGAGTAGGGTTTGCCACAACGCTTATTACGGGATCGAAGAAGGGGCCGGATGCTTGGATCTGCGCTTCAATGACACTGAGCCCCCCCTTGAGGGCGTCTTCCATGATTTTGCCTCGCTGAACCAATTCGTTTATTGATAACGAGTTTTTCTTCTTCTGCTCCTTCTTCCAAGCATCCAGCGCCGCAATGTCACCAATGATCTGCACGACCCAGTTGTTGAGACCAACATAATCTTCCATGAAGAGTGAGCCCGAGATCCGAACTTCTTGTGGGTTAGTGTAAGTTTTGCAGCTGGGCATAATGTTATCTTGGTACTTCTGAAGGCGTGGTGCCTGCTCGAGTGTAATGCTGGATATGACATCGATGTAGAGGACATTAGCTGTAAAGAAGCGAAGGGCAGCTTGATTAGTGCTAAAGGGTCTTCGGATACCCATCTCTGGCGGTGGCCAACGGTAGCTGTAGAGAGCCTCCAATGTCTCGCCCCATTTCTCCGACTGCGGAAGGATCTGTTGAAACATGGTAATAGCGGCATCGAGGTGCATCTTCCAGTGGTCCTTGTTACTCGTTGAAACCTCAAAGATGAGCATTTGTAGGATAGCTTGTAGAACAAGGAGGCGATCTCGGACGCCGGCGCAGGATACCTTATGGTTGACAGCGGTCATCTCGCGCTGTAGTTCCCTCAAACCCATCTCAAGTTGAGACTGTAATTGATGAACCATTCGGTTTGTGCACTCCTGATGCTCGACTGCGCCATTGGCCATGACGATGCTGAAGAAGTACGAAGTAAGGGACACAGCTGTATGCCAGACGGACTTGTTGCTTTGGAGCACGTCGAGTACCCAGCCACGACCGCCTGCCAAGATGGGAGGGCGGTAGAAGGGGAAGAGATAAGGGAAGACGTAGTCGAGGTAAATCATGATGAAATGAATCTCGGTACTGGCGCCAGTTGAGCTACTGGAATCTTCAGCCGGGACAACGAAGTGACTGTGCCATGGCATATCCGGGGGGGAGGCGCCGCTGGTGTTGCTAGAAGCAGGTGTCGACCCAAACTCGTGGCCCGAAGCAGGATCCGTGTCTGATGCAGCGGACATGGCAGCGTCATGAGGCTGCTGTTGGTTTTGGCCCTCATTCTGTAGTGTGACGTTGCGAGTGCCGGCTTCAAGCATCTCCATATACTTGCGATCGCGACGCTGGCTGGCCTGCTTCTTGACCTGAGCCTTGATCTTCTCAGCCATGGCCTTCTGCTTTGGTCCACCATCCATCCATTCTGGCTTTTCTTCATCGAAGAAACAACTGATCTCGAGAGCGCCACACGAATCACAGACAGGACGCTTCTCATCACATTTCTTGCGGCGGAGACGACAGGTCCAGCAGCCAGCGTTGGAGCGCACCTTTGACGACATGAGATGGCGAAACATGATGGCTACCTAGTGAGCCTCTGTAGTAAAGACTTGATGGAAGAGCAATCAGTCCAGTATCAGTACAAGTGAGTCGTGGTGGTGCTAGAGATGAAGATGGAGATGGAAATGGAGATGGAGATGGGAGTGTGATTAATAAAGCTGTTGCATTTGATCAAAGTTGCGAGTTTGGTCGAGACTCGAACGGGGGGCTGCTCCATTGGGTTAGTAGGACAACCCCATGTTGAGGATCGACAGGTTAACGCCAATCGAAATTGGGGGGACATCCACTTCCTCGCCAAGATAATTTGTCAGCCAATTCATCTTTGATTGATAACTAACTTAGGTACCTACCAACTGACAGACAAGAAACAGGAGACGTATGTAAATGTCCCGTTTAGTCTTAGACTGGGATGATGTCGTCAAAATGACACCTGCTTCCCAGATCAAGTCAAGCAAGCCTCTTGTAAAGGCCTCGGGGAGCAAGAAAATATCAGACTTTGATACAGGGTGTCAAAATAAACTCAGCAAACGTATCCCAAACTCAGCAAACGTATCCTAAACTCATGCAAATGTATCCTAAACTCATGCTACCTACCTAGTAGTTTACCCAAGTCTTTTTGTAATTCATTTAGGATCAAGGTCCCAACAAGGCTGCTGGCTTACACACAACATGCATTGCTGTCATAAAAGAATCAACAAGAACCTCTTATTATGTACTAAGAAGCAATGTAAAATAAAGTGTAAAGAATGGATCCTCTCTACCAACTTGCAACTAAGCAATTCGTAAACCTCCTCCAGCATATTGTTGCCCATACTTCGATCCCTTCCCACGCTTCCTAAACATTACCAAAAACGATAGGCCGCTGGAAAACACGCTGGTAAACATTTGGTTTGTTGGCTTTGGCCACCGGATCTCGCCAGAACATTACATTACCAAAGAAATGACCGCTGAAGATACAGATGATGATGTAACCATTGAAGGAAACAGCCATTAGTATGAGGACATAGGTCATGACAAGCCGAAGCGTGCACAGTGAAGCCTCGATAATATGTTCCACGTAGCTGGGACAAAAAGGGGGAAGGCGGTTGGCGGCATCTTGACCATTGCCGGGGGCATTAGCGGGAGCAGGCTGAGCAGGCTGAGCAGGCTGAGCAGGCTGAGCAGGTTGAGCAGGTTGAGCAGGCTGAGCAGGTTGAGCGGCAGCAGGTTGACCATCGGCAGATTGACCACCACCAGGCTGAGCAGGCTGAGCAGCATCAACAGGTTGACCACCAGCAGATTGACCACCAGCAGATTGACCACCAGCAGATTGAGCATCAGCAGGTTGAGCGGCAGCAGGTTGAGCGGCAGCGGGTTGAGCAGCAGCGGGTTGAAGGGGGGCAAGTTCAATTCCATTAATGGGATCAAAGAATGCTTGAGGATTGCCGATGTTTCTGGCGAATAGGTGACGCTCCCATTCTCTAGAGGCACGACGTGCGAATTGAAGAAATACGGCCAAACCAAAGGCGGCGAGGCAGGTGGTGGCAAACAAGGCCCCGGAATCCATATACCACCCCTCGGAAATAAAGCAGACACCAATAGTGTTCCAGTTCCAAAGCATCTGGAAGAGGTGTTGTCAGCTGCGATGCTCGAGATGATGAGAAAGGGATGAAAGAACTTACAGGGTTTGTAAGGCAAGATCCAGACTCCCCAGAGCTGAAGTTGGCGGGGGCAGCTTCAGAAGTCGGAGGCATTGTAGCGGTGGGTAGATTGTGACTTGTGATTGTATGCATGTTGCAAAGCTATAGCAAAGTGATGTCTTTGTTGATCGTTTGATGGAATTTGATTGTTGAAGCAAGTGGATGATGATGGAGATGATGATGATGATGGAGAAGAAAAGCAAGGATGCAAGAAGAGAAGATATAGATCCTGCGACGAACGTGGAAAGTCCAAATGAATTCGTTAGCGAAGGAGCAAAAACAAGGAAGGTAGCTGCAGCAGTATCGACCTTCCCTCAACCACCACCTTCCACCTATATGCCACGGGCGACGAGATTACGCAAGGCACCTACGTTGCTAGAACTACCTAATGGCAGGGACAAGGATGTGCTCGGGGACCAAGAAAATATCGGACCTTGATACAGGCTATTAAAATAAACAAACTCAGTAAAAGGTATCCTAAACTTATGCTAAGTTACTCAAGTCTTTTTTATTGTTCAGGATCAAGGTCTTTAAGTGTTGAGTACAACGGACGAAAAGGGCGTGAGCGCAGACTTGGAAAGCGGTACAGTGGGTGAGAACCCGAGTCTGAGTGGCAGGTAGGTACAACTTTACTGAAGTTGGTGTTAGCCATTTTTGGTGGATCAGGAGAGACAAGTGAATGCCTGGCAGTCTTCGTTGCACGATTGGATATTTACACGGTTAACTTGACATCTGCAAGAAGAGACACAAATAATTATCGAGATGATGTGAGGTATATGCAGTAATGATTGTCTATGCTCCTCTTGTGAAGGGTGGGCAGGGATAAATATCATACGTCCTCAACACCAAATGATTACCTATCTACCGGCTCACAAGATCATCTTGGAACTTCGTGTGATAACATCAACCGATGCCTACCTAACCACCAGTGGCTAAGGTAAGGTAGGTATGCCATGTGGTAAAGGATTGCGTCATTTGACAGTGCGGCCTGACACTCCAGCGCCGGCCGATTCAGCTCCCATCGCCCCGCCCCTGAGGCATGGGCACTCTTCCACCAGATTCTACATAATGCTCGTAACCCCGGGAGACGGACTGACAGTAAACAATAGAAGACTATCTGCCTCCTGTGCATGGCGGTTTTGTGAATTATCGATTTGTGGTTGCACAATGCTCCAGTGTTTGCCCTGCCCTAGGCTTCCCAGCAAACGAGCCCACCAGTGAAATAAACAGTGGCTGCTGGCTCGATGTATTTGGTCTTGGGTGTCTGGGAGTGAGGTTGGCAAGAGTATGGGAGGGAGAGTGTACAGGAATGGATTTACCTAGTAGAACACGCCTATTTTGGGCTTGCTACACTGGGGTGTCCACGGGAGAAGGATATACAACACTGCTCAATTTTAGACTTCGAGCGCACTAAGCTGTGACTCAGGAGTATCAATAAGGTCAAACAGATTCTAGGGAATGTAGAAATATAGAAATGAAGTCATTCACGTTAGAGATGGTCAAGTTTGGGTATAGTTGATGTATTGTGCGAGTCTCGAAGAGACAGCCATGTTAAAACCACTTCATCTGCTGTAGTACTGGCACCCGTTCAAAACCATAGGCATCGCTCAAAATCCTCAAAGACCCTTCCTCGTCGTGACTTTCGTAAAGCTCATGAATTCGTTGGTCATCTGGGATTGATGGATTTAGATAAGGTTGGGGTTGGGGTTGCCAGTCGCGTCGTCGTCCTTAGCAGCACCGCCATCCCAGATACCACCCCCATCCGGGGTGGCGACGTCCTTACCAACAGTGGCGTGAGCAGCGTTGTAAGCCTGCTGACTCTGATGGAGTTCACGGGCCTCCTCAGGGGTGACCCCGAAGTTGGTTGTGCGAGGGAGCATGTGAGCTCCGTACACACTGCGACGAGCAGCAACCATAACATCCATCGAGCGTTCAATGCGGTGCTCTGTCCCCTCGCTGCTCAAACATAGGTTAGTTATGTCGTGAATGTATGACGAGAGAATTGGAGATAAACTTACACCCGCTGGACTTTAGCCAGACGCTCCTCATGTTTGGCAGTGGCTTTCGCGTCTTTCGCGAATCGTCGGCGGAGCTTCATCTTTGCCAAGAACTTGCGAACTTTGAATTTGATCTTCGCCATAGTACCCATGATGTAGTGAAAGTTGGAGATGGAAGGTATGCTAAGGGCAAATGTGAGATGCTGGAAGGGGAGACAAAGGAACGTGAAGTGAAGTGACCCGGAGGGAAACAACACAAAGAGAAGGGCGACATACCTTAGGAAAGAGCAAGTATAGATGTAACAGGAAGCAGACTTGAGTATGAAAGCGAGTAGGAGGTGTGTTTGACTGATTTGTGTTTGCGTTGCGACGGTCGTGAATGAGCGAGCGATGTTGACCTGAAGAAGAGAAAAGAAGTCTGCGGGGGAGAAAGGTTGGGTTTTTATAGCCAAAAGATCCAGCGAGTGATTGCAAGTTCAGCGGGCTCTTTCGAGCTTTAGGGCCATCAGTTTCTGGTGCAGCAGTTTCGCGGTTCTATTTCTGATATCAAAGGGGAGAGTATGGGAAGCTCAACTACGCACTCACTGATCCTGGGCCCAACTTTGCGATGCACGTTTCGAAAAAATTGGACAAGTTGCATCACTATGATGCCAAACTTCGCATCGAGTTTCATGGCTATATCTTTTATATCAAAGTTGTGAATATCAAAAAACCATGTTGCAGTTCCATGAAGCTATTCTCCCCTTTTTGGGTACTCTAGCGCACGTCCTGCTAGGTGGTTCCCTACCGGCCCGCACAAACAGTGGGACTCACGAGGGTGCGAGGCCGGGTACCTGACTAGGCCCCTTAGGGACGGGAGACTCGCGTGCCATGGTGGGTAGGGGTGGGCACAGGAATGCCACCAAGTGCCGTCTTGGCCTTGGGAGGTCGTGATGCCCGATGATCCTCGTTTACGGGATTAGTTCTTCAGGACTGGCTCTCCTTCAGCACACTCCGTCTCATCACGAACGTAACGATCGACTGCAGCCGCTGCATCTTCCTCGCCGTCGAGAACATCCAACCAATGTCCCTTCACACCCTCCTTCTCCAACACCAAGGCCATGACTCTCGCTGTTGATGCTCGAGTGGTCATGCCTCTGGCCTGCTTCGTCTGTCCCAAGAGCACTCCCCCTTCGTCTTTGTCGGTGAGACCGCCAGGGCGGACCGATACAGCGGTCAAGCCGTCTCTCTTCCTAGCCTCAGCAACGAGAGCTTCATCAGCGGCAGTCTTGGGCTCATAGTAAGGACCCAGGAAGGTTGAGTTGACCTTCTTCCAGCCTTCCCAGTCTTCAGCAGTCCACCAGGGAGCTTGCTCGCGTCGAGCGCCCAAGTAGGAGACCTGGACATGATGACTGACGGACTTGTTGGCGACCGAGGCCTTGATGAAGAAGATTGCAGCATCACGATCGATGCGGATGATCTATAAACACATCAGTTACACACAGCAACTCACAATCCATAAGAGAGCTTCTACCGTGTCTTGATCAGTTCCCCTTCCAGGGCCTGTTCACTGATCAGCGTACGCTTCTCGCAGCTACCGGGCGGAGATCCAACCCACCAGCGCTGAATACGACAGAGTCCGGCTTCACTTCGTCAAGAATAGCCGCGGCCTTCTCCTGACTATCAACTTTGATGAGATCATGGACCAGGATCTTGTGGTCTCCTGGTAAGCCCTCCGAGATCTTCTTCAGGTCATCGATCTGGTCAGGGTTGCGAATCAGACTCGTCACAGTCCAGGACTTCTTCAGCAGGATGACTGTGAGAAGCCTGCTAATCTTTCCATTGCCTCCGAGCACAAGAACGTGACGGTTGGAAGCCATTGCGTTTGTTGCGAGTATCACGATTGGGTTTGGAAGTTGGAAGTTTGTGTAAAACACGCAAGGGACAACACGACATGCATGTATCTATCAGCTAAGTTCAGGACCCTGGCTCTTCTCCCCCTTTACTGACCAACCACGACACAGACTACGGACTTCGGACTTGTCCATGACGCGAGCAGCTCCACTATTTGTCTTAACGGGACATCACTTACAAGGAAGGTACAACCGTCGAACTACACACGAGAAAATACTACATCACGAGATATGAGCATGGAAGAGCCAATGGTTTCAACTAGCAGCTGAGAACTATAACAAACACCGTTTTCGTCGATCATTGCTCATTGCCAGCTTCTGGCTCTCCTTGGTCAGGCACAAGAGCTATCCCAGACGGACTTGACTCCCTATGATGATGGCGGTGATGACTATATTTATGGCCATGGTGGTGGCCATGCCTATGACTATGTCCATGGCAATGCCTATGCCTATGCCTATGCCTATGCCTAAGTCGATGTCGATGTTGATGACTATGTTCGTAGCCCTCAGGACAGGATTTTGCACGAGCCCCATTAGGAAGCACGACATATCCCTCTGGTTTCGATTTCGACCGCCTTCGCGTTGGCGGTTCCGGGTGGCTAAAGCAACACCCCATGACGATTGATGGAGACTCTGATTGAGAGAGACGTTGGTATCTGTTTCGTCAGTTGGAAAGCAAGTGTAGTGTCGATAAGGAAAATGGGCTTGGAAAGAATCAAGTTTTGAGCCCCTTGGCCAAGGACTTTATACTCTTTTCTACGGTAGTACACATACACAGCCAGCAGCTGTTCGAATACAATCACCGGATCACTATCCTCTTCAATGAAGCATATTCTTTGGCTCAGTGTTGCGTAAACGCCAAGATTGAATGTTAGCGATCGAATATCCAGTACCTACACTGTCATGAGAAGCGGTAATATTAGACCAAAATTTTGATCCACCATCGCCTGGCGTCCATCCTAGGTTGTAATTCCCCTCAGGGGCTTCGAAACATGAACGCACTGAAGACCCAGACCTCTCACCGTGTATAGTGGGCCTTCAAGGATTTTGGATTTTGAACGCTACCACCCACAGGTTTAAGCAGGACAACTGAGGCTAAAGTCTTCATTAGCAGGACGACATTGGTCCTCGCGGATTCAAATATATTCACACGATCTATCTATGACCGAAGAGCTATGTATGAAGACATGGCCTTGATCTTGAACCTTGTGTTGACTCCCACGATACTGACATTGAAAATCTTGCTAACCGCATCCATCCCAGAAATCAAAAACTCCTACCCAAGCAAGCAAACACTCGTCGATACGATACCCAAGATCCATCCCTGAGCCCAAATAAACCCCAAAGCCCTTCCCCCGAACCGTATGCGTCGAATCATCGTCCAAAGAAATCAAAACTCCTCCCATACAGAACGCCGATCCCATGTCAAGTGTTGCCCTACAAGGGGCTAATCGCTGAGGCTGCTCTCGTCTCTCGGATCAGCACATCTGAATTAAAACTATGCCGTAGTAGGTCTGGTACCGGTGGTCGAGGACTCGAAGTGGCGCCACGGCGAGCTTCAGTCACGACCCGAGTCCAGATAACGGGTGCTACTCTGGGCTATGTATCGCTCAGAGGCGTTAGAACAAGTGGAAGAACGAGTCTCGGCGTCTTCCTCACTTTCGCGGCTGGACTGAAATTCTAAGAAACGCTCGGAATGGGGTTTCGGACTACCCCAGACAGCACGGATGGAGTCTACACTGGACTTGAGATTGTCAGTATTTCGTGTAAGTCAAATACGCTCTGGCATTGGTAGAGTTTTAACCGCTGACTAGTTCAACTTACGCTTCTCTGTTTCACATCCATCGGAGGCGATCTACCGAGTGAGCTTAAGGAGTCAGCAGCAAGAATCAACTAGGGCCAGTCTCCACGACTTCCTCTATGTAGAGAGCATGGAGATCAAGAAGATCACGGGCGTAGTTCGGCAATCCATCATCCTCGGGTCGGCGTTGATCCTCTTCGACCATTCGTGGAGAAAAAGGTGGTTGAGTCGGTGAGGTCTCGCCCTCATGGTCAGAGTCGACTTGGACCGTGGTACTATCGGTGCTATTGCCAGAATACGTCGAACTGTTGTCTTGAAGCTCGCTGGAATCAGAGTTCACGGAGCTCGTGTCTGAGCCCCTGTCACCGGTTGAAGAGACTTCCGAAACCGAGCTCGTACTTGAACTTCTACTTCCGCCGTCCTTCTGGCTTCCAAGCAAAGAAATGGAACGAGCCATGTTGGTAATGTGATGGTGGTGACGAGGTTCGTGAATCTGATGGTAGTCTATGATTCTGATTCTTCACTAATATCGTCTTCAGGATTCTAGTAGATGTCCACAAGAGTGATGAGATGGGGAAGAAGAGTTGTCACTGTGCTGGAACCGAGGTTTCATATCCATTCTGCGACTCATAAGAAGGCTTGGGGTCGTTCATGGGTTCTTTCAAAAATCATTTCTGCAATATGACTTATGAGGCACTGACATGTTTGCAAGTCAGGTCTTTATCCCTTGACCTTCCGCTACCCGACGCGGTGTGACCACGACGTTGCCATAAGAATCTACAACTTCAAAGAAAACGCCGTTTGCTCCTTTCCACGAACCTATATCAAAAGAGAATCTGCAATGCTGGAGAAATTCACTGCTAGGGCAAGGGGAAAAGTGAAGATGGTTGGCACACCGATCCATTGAATTTCTTCGACTAACAAAGCTACAGTTTTCATCCTTTCACTTACCAAACAACGCCAAAGAATAACACACGCACCTTTCATCCAAGCCCGACTGAAAGAACCCAACTTCCCGATCACTGCTTCAGACCCCGAAGAGCATAGAGCTCCTGAGGCTTGCCCTGCGAATCACAGCTCGAAAACTTCCACCACTTTCCGTACCAAGAACCCGCGATATTTGTCAGGCCCCAAGAGATAGGCGCAGGCATTGGGGGCCAGTTAGCCCACATACCCTCCTCGGCGGTTCGATCCAAGTTCAGTAGGAAGAAAGGCACAACATCGAGCACGCCGGCCTTTGTGACTGTCTTCTTGCCCCATGTCTTGAAGGTCAGGCCGGCGGCGGCTCCTTCAGGGGTGTCTTCCTTGGGAGCCTTGGGGTGATTCGAAAGAGCTGCGATGGTGGAGATTTCGCTGTGAAAGTGATGCTCGAAGGGCTCCTTGAAGGCATCCAGGAGCTTGATGACTTGAGTGCCATCGAGGTCACTGGGCGAGGCGAGGTTAGAGAGGTATGTGTTGAACTCAGCGAGAGGCGCAAGGAATGACTCTGTGGTCCCGGTCTTAGTGACAAAGTACTAATTGAAGATTAGGTTTCTTACCATGCTCATGATGGGTCTCGTCCCATACTGGCTCGTCACCGAGAAGCTCTTGAACCTTGGGGAAGAGGTTGTCCTCTTCGTCGTCGTGGTGCGATTTGACGAACTTGAACCAAGTCTGAGAATATCCAATGAAATCGGCCTTGTCGGCGTCCTTCACATGAGGAGCTTGGAGGTAGATGGAATTGAAGCCACGAATAATGGCATTGTGCAAAAGTGCCATATGAGTTGCGCCTGTGGTGAAGAGGTCGGTCTACCAGATTGAATAAGTCAGTATTGCCAATTGCACCTCAGAGCACCCGAGTTCAATTTACTAACCTTCTTAGTCTCATATTGTGGTGTTGTCACCAGCTTCATAGGTCCATCAGCCCATGGCTGGCTACCAGTCGGTGAGGCGGACATATTAAGATACGGCGAATGAGCGAGAAACACAGCAAGTCCAGCAAAAAAAGCCTGAGCTACAACAAAGAGGAGGATACGTTGGCCAGGCATGATGAAGGACACAAGAAGAGAGGAGGGGGAGGGGAGATAAATGCGACAGAAGAGGTACAACGAGGGACACGTTTGTCCGACTTGAGAGTGAGACAGCCACTCAAGATTCAGCTTCTGGGCTCACTTCTTGATGGTTCGATAGCTCGTCATGTCATGGGAGCTCATGCGGGTGTGGGTGGGAGCTGATTAAAAGGAGATTTATAATTGGGTGAAACACGAAAGACCCTGGAGCAAAGGGGGCCCAAGGGGGTAGCAGACGGACCATTTCGAAGGCCGGACCCCGGAAGTTCGGACTTTTGATGTGGGGCCGGCCGGGGTTTTTCATGATGCAAGTCTTCGGAAAGAAGATATCATGGCGTCTCAGTGGATTGTGAGTGTCTACATAGTACCTACACATGCCGTGTAGTATCACTCAGAAGAGTTCAAGAGTAGACAAACGAAATACGACTAACATTATCAATAACTGTATCGCTTCGCGTTACATTCAAAACTCCATTGCCCACCTTGAAAGACGCCATGGACAAGATGCCACCAATTTTACATTCTATGTACACCAGTTCTTTTAAATGGTCCCGTAACCCCCCCTAGGCAAATGCTCCAACGGCAGCCATCAAGAGTGCACCGGCACAAACAGCCATATAGGCCTGTAACCTCCTCTTGCCCTTCAAAATTTTGTAACTCTTCTCTGTCAAAAAGTCTTCCGCCAACAGTTGCACAAGGCCAGCATACAGGAGCAGTCCCGATGACACGGCGTTCATGAAGCCAACCACGAGCAGACCTCCTGCGCTCTTGGGGTCGTACATACGATGCACGATAAGACCAATTGCTTGGCCGATTGGTGTTGTGGTACCATAGGCGAGAACCATGAGCCATGGACGGAGAGATTTGCGGGGGAACTGGATTGCGGCGATGCGGCTGCCAAGGGCGAGGCCTTCGAAGGTTTGGTGGAAGCTGATAGCGACAAGGAAGACTACAAAGGCGGGGCCGGTCGCGACGGAGATGGCCATACCGATGAAGACGCTGTGAAAGAGAATTCCGGCCTCGAGCAAAAGACACTGTAGCAGCTTTCTTTGTTGCTCTTCGGGGTTCTGTGGTCCAGGAGACATTGGCGTCATAGGTGTCATAGGCTCCTCCTCAGCCCCAGGTCCCTCAGGCTTGAGCGACGCATAAGGCCCATGTCGATGTCTCGTGCTGCTTGACCCAGCCGGTTCAAGCTCTTCCATATCCAAGTCAAGATCCGAGTCGTCATCGTTGAAATCACCATTTAGCTTCTTGCCCTCCTGTCCCACCAGAGGTGAAGATCCTGGGAGTGGTGACACGCCAGCAACTAGCCCCTGACTCTCCATGTTCTCAAGATGGATATCCGGCGGTCGCGGCCCGTGCCTCCTTTCAGACAGTCCAGCTGCGTCCATCATGGGCAGCTCACTCTCGTGTTCATCGTCCGAGTCAAAATATCCATGATTGTGGGAGTGCGAGTGACCAGCTCCTCGGGCCGTAAGGTACGATTCGATGCCGACGACAATGATAGCAGAAACCATAGCCACAAAACCTGGAAACGGCGTATATCCTTTGCTAAAGAAATCGGGGAGGCAGGGGTCGGTCATGGACTCGAAAGCGGTCGGGAGGAGGTGGACAAAGGCCGTAGCCAGAAGGACACCGGTTCCAATGTGCTGGCAGTAGAAGATCACGGTTTTTTGGCCTCGGCCGCGCATCGTTCGTCGCGAGAAAAGAGGGAATGCGCATGCTGGAAAGATATCAGTACCGTGTCAAAGCTCCCAATTGACCAAACCTACCTAACGTGCTGAGGGTCAAGATCAGTATCAATGCAAATACATGCGCCGAAGTATCATAAGAGCCTTTTGTTCTCGAACCGCATTCTGGTTTCTCACCATCATCTTTGCGACGCTTCAACTCGGCGAGAATCAAGTCTGTTGGAATTGAAGCCCACGACTCCCCTAAAAATTGTCAGTAAGGGGGCTCAACTAAAAATCATGATGTGTAATACCTCGTGGCGCCTCTAAATGGGCGCTCATCTTTTGACCTGACTACCTGATTTCCCTATAATTGCTGCTTTGTCGACAATGGCATCGCGGGAGAGGACACGATTACATGGATGTCAATGTGTGTTGTGTCTTTGGCGTGTGCTATTTTTGCTTGCGTCACTGTTCTAGTTAGGTAAGTTGAGTTGGAGTAGACGCAGACTCACATGTTTTGAGTTTGTTTGACCTGTTCTTTTCTTGGAGGCGCATAATCCTCGGCTGAAGGTTTCAGGGGGCATATTTGTTTGTTTTACCAAGGGATGAAGCAAGGGTTGTGAATAAGAAACGTCAATAGCCTCCTTTGTTTCTTCTTCAGGTATGAAAAGGGACTTGTTGGTATCTTTATACACCGGACAATTTGAGTCTCTTGTTGCTCCATGGTGATGCGATGTACAGGTACATCTAATGGCGCTATTCCTTTAGTGCTCCAACTCTGCAGCTGTCAATGGCGATCGTTCAGGGGCCCCAGGTGATGCTCCAGTTGGGGGGTCCAACAAGACACAGGGCAGACTGAGGCCTCGCAACCCGGCCAGAGATTGAAATACTTGACCAAACGTCATTACGGTAATTTTCCGACGTTTATACGAAATTCTAATAGATTCTAAAATCTTTGTTTCAATATATTAAAACATGACATGCAAGTGTACTTCTATTCTTATCAATTACAAGTGACCCTCCCGGAACTTAGGAGCGAGGAGCCGACGTTCTCCACTGAAGCTCTGGAAGGACGGGACACTTCTATTTAGCCGATGGGTGAGACTCACTGGCCTCACCTTGTATCGTACTTCTGTGCACAAGACACAACTTTAGATTGCAACCCGAAGTCACTTCAAGCTTAGACAGTAGGCAACGGCTAATCAAAGGGCTCTGGAACTCTATTTACGAGAAAAAGGCATGCTTAACTAGACCATCACGAGACTTTCAAGGCTATTCACTGGGAAAGGTCCGTCTGAACATCGGAATAGCCTCGGATCGCTACCACTAGCATCGATAGACTCACCACTAAACCAAGGAACCACCTTGTCCGCGATCCAATGGCACAACACCGCATCCTACACAGATGCACGTAAAGCGGGTACTCAATGGCCACATGAGTGTCATTCTTCGGTTGAATAACGGATCGCTCGGGTCAAGTACATGCGAGTTCACTATCCTGGGGAAGTCGTCATGGCTTTGAGGGGTTGGCTGTTGTGCTATTAAAGAGCTGCCTTCTCCTCGTTTCACAAGATGTGACTCTCCTTCACTCCTCTTCAGTCAATTGACTTCTTCCTATCAACATGGCCTCTGTTGATATCCAGTCCATCCTCTCTTCCCTCACCCTTGAGGAGAAGGTACGTTTCACTTACATATGTCCTATCATCCATGTCCTCATTCAACTAACTGATCACTTCACTCGCAGATCTCACTCCTCGCTGGAAAGGACCTCTGGGAGACAGTCCCCATTTCCTCCAAGGGCGTTCCTCATGTCAAGGTATCAGACGGTCCCAATGGCGCTCGAGGAGCTGCCTTTGCTGGTGGCACATCAGCTGCTTGCTTCCCTGCCGCTTGTTTGATGGCATCAACCTTTGATGTCAACCTTGCCAAGAGGACCGGTACCGCCCTCGCCGAGGAAACTCACTCAAAGGGTGCCCGGTGTCTTCTTGCGCCTACCATGTGCCTTCATCGTCATCCCCTGGGCGGCCGCAACTTTGAGTCGTTCTCAGAGGATCCCTTTCTGACCGGCAAGATGGCCGCCAGAGTTGTGGAGGGTCTTCAAGACAAGGGTGTTTCAGCTACCATCAAGCACTTTGCTGCTAACGAGCAGGAGACTGAGCGCTTGACTGTCGATGAAACCATTAGCGAGAGGACCTTGCGAGAACTTTACCTCCGACCATTTGAGATCACAATTAAGGAGGCCAACCCCTGGGCTGTGATGACTTCTTACAACCAGGTCAACGGGCACCATGCTGACTCCAACGAGTTCCTGCTCAAGAAAGTCCTCCGAGGCGACTGGGGATGGGATGGTCTCGTTATGAGCGACTGGGGTGGTGTCAACTCTACCGCTGAGTCTCTCGAAGCTGGTCTGGATCTCGAAATGCCTGGTCCTACCCGTTGGAGGAAGACCGAGGATGTCATCGCGGCTATCAAGGCTGGCAAGACTTCCGAGGAGACCATCAACGAGCGTGCAAAGCGTGTGCTCAAGTTCCTCGAGCGTCTCAACTGCTTCAAGGACCCCAGCATCCCTGACGAAAGGGCTATCAACAACCCCAAGCACCAAGCTCTTATCCGAGAAGCTGGTTCCAAGGGTATCGTGCTGCTGAAGAACCAAGACAATGTCCTTCCCTTGTCGAAGGACAAGGTCAAGGGCAAGAAGATTGCCCTGCTAGGCCATGCCAAGATTGGTCTCGCCCATGGTGGCGGCAGTGCGTCTGTCAACGCCCACTACAAGGTCACCCCCTGGGATGCTCTTCACGAAGCTCTCGGTGACAGTGCAGAGTTTTCTTATGCTAAGGGTAAGCATATCCAGAAGCATTGTTTTAGGGAACGATGACTAACAGTGCAACAGGAGCTCACACATTCCGCATGCTTCCCCCTATCGCCGAGAACGTTGTTGACCTGGACGGCAACCCCGGTTTCACTTTCAAGATCTTCGAGCCTGGCAACCCGGAGCCTATTGAAGTCCGACCTGCTCATCCCGACTCCGAAGTGTCCGTTCTGAGCGGCTTTGGTTTCAGCAACAAGGATGTCACCCTCGAGGGTACCTTCACAGCCCAGGAGACCGCCAAGTACTACTTTACCGCCTCTGGTCTAGGACCCAGCAAGCTTATCATCGACGGTAAGGTCGTCTTCGAGCAGAAGGAGAACTCCAAGGATGCGATGGGTTTCCTGTTCGGCGGTGATAACCCTCCCGAGTTCAAGGTCTCCTTGGAGGCGGGACGCAAATACAAGCTCGCCATGCACACTTCACCCCCTGCTGCTAAGGACGGAGAGGATCTTGACCTTGGTATCTTGGAGGGACGGTGTGGTCTGCGAGTAGGATACATGTCCGAGGTGGAGCATGACCGTGACCTCCTCTCGGAAGCTGTCGACGTTGCCAAGGATGCCGACTATGCCATTATCTTCACTGGCCACGAGCCATTCTGGGAGACTGAGGGCCAAGACCAAGTCAGCTTTAACCTGCCCAAGGATGGTAGCCAGGACCGCCTGATCGCCAAGGTTGCTGAGGCCAATCCCAACACCATTGTTGTCAACTCGACTGGTGTCGCCATTGCTATGCCCTGGCTGGAAGAGATCCAGGGTCTTGTCCAGACGTGGTTTCCCGGTCAGGAGGCTGGCAACTCCATAGCAGATGTGCTGACAGGTGCCCAAACCCCTGAAGGCCACCTTACCTGCACATTCCCCAAGAAGCTCGAGGACTGCCCTGCATATGGCAACTTTCCCGGAAAGCACGTTGACGGCAGGCTGAGGGTGACATACGGCGAAGGTGTCTTCATCGGCTACCGCTACTTCGATTGCCTTTCTGCCGACAAGGTCAACTTCCCCTTCGGTTTCGGTCTCTCGTACACCACATTCGACTACTCCGACCTGGAGGTCAAGGAGTCTAGCGGTGACTTCACTGTCAGTGTGAAGGTTTCCAACACGGGCAAGGTCGTCGGCGCCATCGCTGTGCAAGTCTATGTGGGAGCCGCTGAGACTGCTAAGGGTGATCCTCTAAAGCAATTGGCTGCCTTCGAGAAGGTTACGCTGAAACCTGGTGAGAGCACAAAGGTCGAGATACCTGTTCGTACTCGTGACTTTGCTTTCTTTGATGAGTCGGCAAAGAAGTGGGTGGTTAAGGGTGGTGATTACAAGTTTATGATTGGAAGATCTGCTGGTGATATTGCTCTGGAGTCAAAGATTGCTGTCGAGGAGAAGTCATTCGACCCATGATCACAGATATTTAAAAGCATGTATAGCGTTAATAAATTGGATTCATTTAATTATAAATCAATCAATGAATGCTGCCTGGCTAGGCTATTCACCACAAAAGTAGCATCGGTGTGAAGTTTGCTGTATGTGAGCTACCCTAAATAACAAATTTACACAACTGGATACTAATATTTCGAAGGTCAAAATTCCATTTCTTTATATGTACATGCCTTCCTCTGTAAACCTCTGTCATCTATCATCCTCTCATGTGCTAAGACTTGTGGATAATGTCATGGATACGTAGCTAATAGTTATCCACTGCGTCACAGACAGTGCTTCTACAAAGTCCTACACGGCAGAATTGCCCTTTTCACAAGCATACCACAATAACAAGTCTATAGTTTTCTATTCCCTTATGGACACCACTGTCCTGTCTTGAGAATTACATTGAGGTTGGAAAGCATTTGTAATCTGACCCGTGATGCTGGTGTACAACCTTAATCCGGGGTAAAAGTTCCGGGTCGGCGCTGCATCCCGTCATCATTACCCAAGGTACTAAGCTATGATATGAAGTGCAAGTCTTCTCACCTCCAATCTGCACTACACAATAACCATTTCCAAGTCCTGATTTAATATCGTTGCTATAGAAATCTTATAGCTTGTTTACGAAACTTTGCTCTCTTCCCTTAATAAGTCGCATCATGGGAGAAGACGCCCCGCAGGACACCCCGCAGAAGCAATGGTGGGAGGAATTCCCCGAGCCAAAGGCCGAGTGCCCTCGAACGGACCCTTCAATCGTCGCAAAGCTTATTGAAGTGAATGCAGCTTCTGGAAAGAATGCCCACAGGGACTTTTTGCTAGTCGATGTGCGAAGGACGGACTGGGAGGGCGGCACTATCGCCACATCTATCAATCTCCCCGCTCATACTTTGTATCAGACCCGTCCTCAGATCTATCAGCTTGCCAAACAGGCGGGTATCAAGAGAATCATCTTTTATTGCGGTAAGTAATCGCCTAGGTAGCTGAACCGGTCTAGTGCTCATTATCACCCAGGAAGCTGCGGTAGTCGAGGCCCACGATGTGCTGGGTGGATGCAGGACTACCTCGACGAAGTTGAAGAGACAGAGATCAAGGCTGAAATACTGATTGGAGGTATCAAGGGTTGGCAGAAGGCGTATGCTGGCCAGTTGATGGACTCCTATGACGATAAGGCCTGGGAGAAGAAGGAGTAAGGTAGTGTAGTGTTTGCCTGGACATGGTGTAACATAACAATTCCAGGATGTCCTTCCTCTCTTGATATCTAGTAAGATGTGACCCAAACAAACTGCCCTCAAGGACTTGTCTCATTTTCGACCTTAACGCCAATAAAGATCACATAATTTCCGTCGTCTCTTCTACTGTTTCCGCCATTCTTCAGGATTATCGGTCTCCACGTCGGTCATCGCCGCCAATTCTTTCGAGAGCCTCGAGCATTACCACCGAGTTACCACGGATGACCTGTCCAAATGTTAGTATCTTGTCTTCTGTGGTCCAAGAGTGCGTCAGGAAAACGTACAACCATGCCAATTCTCTCCTTCTCTCCTCCATCCTTTTCCTCCACCGCTTCGTCGAGGACAATGTTCAGGAAGACCTGTCTCTGTTAGCTTTGTCTATTTAATCGCACGAATATTGCTCACATCGTAACCTCGGAGGATACCGATGACCTTTCGGCTACCGTTCAACTGGACGAACAGTCTCTTGTCGAGGTACTGTTCAGGAAGTTAGCTATGGATCAGCAGCCACAGATCGCAATGCTTTAGCCCCGGAGAAGTGCTAAAGACGACGTTGGGGAGCATGCGATACGGAAAAGACCAAGACTTGCCTTCTTCAGCTCAGGTTGTGCGGGCGCCATCTTGAGCAATAAATGGTTGAATAGTTGGATGCTGTTTCATGCGACGCGATCGCGGCCTAGAGCTATCTCCATTTCTCTGGGCGGAAATTCAACATCACGTGCTGATAAGATATCGAGCCAAAATGCACGTCACTGTCATTCCGCGTCGCGAACTTTCTGCCTCTCAGTTAATGCGCCGATATTAAAAATAATCGCATCATGAGTTTTTCTGCGAAACGAAAGGCCAAGGTCATCAAGATCGCCGATGAGGACTCCAGCGAAAATGTCCCTTCAGTAGCAGGTGGCGACAGTGCTGGTAGCGATGGTGAGTATTCCCAGAACTTGAAAATGCGACTCTTGCTGATGAGATCAAGGCTGACCCTTGCGATTACAGAACCACAGCCCGTTAAACCACTATTTGGCGCAAAAGCTGGTCGTAAACCATTTCGACAGTCGGGGCTAAGGAAAAGCTTCAATCCTGCTGATAGCGAGGGCCTGGGAGATGCACCAGCCGCGAACGACGACGAGGATGATGGACCAGTGGTGGTTCGACCAGCGATTAGTCGATCGGGATCTCTGAAAGGAAAGAAAAAATCCAATAAATCTTCACGGCTGTCCTTTGGTGGAGACGACAGCGCTGCAGGAGACGACGAGACCACCGAGGTATTCACCCCCAAGAAACTGCCATTGGGACGAGCTTTGGAAAACAGCGCTATCAAAAGAGGACTGGGCACAAAAGGCCTGCCCATGAGGACTGTTGGGGATGATGACGACCGACCCAAATACAGTAGAGAGTACCTTGAAGAGCTACAATCATCAACACCAAATACTCCACAAAGGCCGTCAACACTGCCGCCCGATGACGCCGATCTCATGGACCTGGATGCTTCTGAACTTGAAGGCGCGGTTGTCGTTGACTCGTCAGAGTTCAACCAACCACAACCAACGGCTATTCTAACAGAAGCCGAGATTCTGGAAAAGAAGGAACGGCGTAAACGATTAGCTTTGGAGAAGGACTTTCTATCGGTTGAAGATGATGAAGATCCCTTTGGTCGCAAAAAGAAGGAGGATACACGGTTAATAGCCGAGGACGAGGATCTCGGTGAAGGGTTCGATAATTACGTTGAAGACGGTGGGCTTTCCTTGGGGAGACGTGCCGAAAAGGAGAGGCGGAAACAAGATCGCAAGATGATGGAAGAGCTCATCACAGCTGCCGAAGGGCACACATCAGATTCCTCCTCCGATAGCGATGCTGAGAGACGAATCGCATACGAGGCTGCACAGACACGCGCAGGTATGGACGGTCTGAAGAAGCCTCGAAAAGATCCTAGCCAGGACTTGTTACAGGCGCCACCCAAGATATCACCTCTACCAAGCTTGACGGAATGTCTAGCTCGTCTGCAGACTACGTTGAAGGGTATGGAAGAGGAGATGAAGGGGGAGCGAAACCGTGTTGAGAAACTGAAGAAGGAACGTGAGGATATTGTGAATAGAGAGGGGGAGGTACAAGCTCTGCTAGATGAGACGGGTAAGAAATATCAAGAAGCTATGGGACAAGGAAAGGTCGTTGAAGGGAAGGGCGTAGAAATTCCAGCAAATGCGCCCGTGGAAATGGTGGGAGCCAGAGGGCTCGAGACACTTGGTACGCCATCGAGGAAACCCGAGGAAGAGGAGATTTGAGCACAGAGGAGCAGTGGCCTTTTTAACTCTACTCGTTCGATACGGACAAGCGGAGTTACTTGTTGTATGTGTTGAATAAATGAATACACAGCAAGCTTCATGAGAGTCGTTGCAAATCTGATCTCTTGTGTGACGCAGTATGTTATTCGATACCGGCTTTAGATCTAAATATGTTGAATTCATGTGACTTATATGGTACGTCTAGGATGTGAGACATATACATGTTAAAGCTTCGCGTCCAATCAATTGCACAATCGAAGTCAATTCTCGTCATTATGTTGGGTGATCGTGACCCAAAAGTCTGAAGCAAAGAGAAAGACCGACGTTTGTGTCTTGATAGGTCTCTCAGCGTTCAGTATAGCAAAATCGTAGCGTTTAAACAACTAGCATCTGTTAGCATAACTATGCGAGGTGACTTGTATAGGCGTACATACCTCGAAAACAGCCTTGTGAATCTCCATGAGAGCAATCGGCTTTCCTAAGCACGAATATTTCCCATGTCCGAAATGTGTGTCCAACGCCGCTGTCATGTCCCTGAGCCTGTCTTCGTCAACGAGTAGCCATCGCTCAGGCCGAAAAACATCAGCATCATCGCCCCAGACAAGCCGTGACCGACCAACAGCGTAGAACCCCTGACCGACTTGCGTTCCGCCGGGGACGAAGAAGCCGTTGATGGTATCGCCTTCTGGAGGGACTTGCTTGAAACCAAGACCAGCTACTGGCGGCCACATGCGCAGACCTTCGCGAATGACAGCCTGAAGATATGGTAGTGTTTGTGTCTGGGCCCAGGAGATGGGACTGCTGACTGAAGAAGTGACCCTTCGAATCTCGGCGATGAGGGAACGGTATGCGCTTGGGTTTGTGATTAAGGAGAGTATGATCATTCGAAGAGCATGTGCTGTTGTGTTAGAACCAGCGATGCTGAGGTTGGTCAGTTGGAGGTCTTTGGAGTGGTTTGAGAACTTACATTGAGATGAAGGCTTGTTGGATAAGTTCTTCCTCATTCATTCCGTTACTGATATGCATCTGCATCATATCTTTCCTCCTCGTGACCCCCTCGGCCAGTCTTTTGCGAACAAAGTGCCTCGCAAAGCTACAAAAGTAAGCTTGGGTTACCATTGACCGATATGTAACTCACCCCATGAGTCGCCCGAAGCCAACTTGGTCCTCTTCCCGCGGTAGCAACAGACTTAGCGGCCACCGATGAACAATCCTTCCTAGCCAGGGGTAGACGGATACCACGTTCATGACCGGCAGGGAACTGGCATTTATCTGATTGTATTGGTACAGATCTTTGTCTTTGGTCAAGTAGCCGAATGGTTCACCAAAAGATACATCGCCAATCACATCTAGGGCAAAGAACTGTGTCTTTTCGGCAAGGTCAAGAGGCCGTGATTGGCTTGTAGTTGACAGATACTTTCGGTCGATGAGCGAGATGAAGTTGAGGAGTTGACGATCTATGCCTGCCTCGAAGCCGAAGCCTTCGTTCTCCTTGTAAGAATACTGAAGAAGCTATCAGTATCTCAAGAGCAGTGCGATGATTGAAATGACTTACACCGGGAGCCATTTTCGCTCTCATGAATTTGTGCTTGGCTTCATCTCTCTCAGAGACGACATTTTCAACACCAGGAACTATCCTGCCGCTGCTATAAAAGTCGCCCTTCGTATAAGTGCTTCGCACAGTGGACATGTTGCGCAGCACAACTGGGTCTGTTGAGAGCACCTCATTGGGACCAATACGAACAAGAGGGCCTATTGACTGTCAGTGATTTTGGGTAGTGATTTTGGATGAGTATGTCGTACCGAATTGATCGGCTGCGTTCTTTAAATGCTCATGATAGCGACCGCTAAGAGCACTTCGGCACTGCCACCATGAAGTCCATCCTGCGCTGGCTGGGCCAGGAATATGGCGGAGACGAGACCATCGACGAACAAGACGAAATAGCTGAGCGATAAGTAACACAAGGGTAACCTGCAGACAGATATTGGTTAGCGATTGGTCTGTCAGAAACCCCATGGTTACAGATCAATTGACCGTGATAAGGTGTGTTGTAGAATCTGGATAATGACGAGTGCGAGCAAGTCAAGCAGATGATATGTGACCTGTGACTTACCAGTCTCGATCTGCCTGGATCGACCAAGAGCAAGGGAATTGACTTTAGACTAGATTAGTCTAACTCCGGCCCGCGTGGATGCCATGGAGCGGCGTAGGCTCAGGTGTCCCATTATTTCAGATCCTGAGATTCGCCAGACCGAAGACGTTGATAGAAAGTTGGCGTGGATATGGCAGGGTTGTTCAGGCGAGGTATATAACCGAGAGTAACAGTTCTGGGCTGCGCAAATGAGTAAATACAAATGAATCTTGATCGTGATTGAGACTGTTTGATCGTGAAAGTAAACGGATCGGAGAATAACTACTAGGTAATTAGTAAAAGATCCAATCGCGGGGACGAACTTGAGGCGTTTTGCTTCGATTGTGCTAGCTCTAGGCCCAAGCCCGACTTTGACAATGGAGGCATCTTCAGCAGCCAATAGCCTTGGCAGAAAGGAAGACCAACAAGTCTCAATTCAGATGCTCAGAATTGGTCAGCGTGAGTTACATGTAAGATACGACATTGCAAGGATCCTGATAAGCTTATAAGGTAATGCCAATTCTCATCATTCATAAATCGTGTCAGCAAGCGATCCTCCGGGAGTGTCGGATCCAGGCAAACGCCATAAAGATCCAACAAATCCCGAAAAGCAAACTCGTGGCGTTATTCTTCCGCTCAAATATCTACGTCTCAGATATCCTTCTTTGTTTGTCCTCCGCTGTAAAGAAGCCCACTCGACATATCACCCATTAACCACGCCCACCAATCCTTGGCCAAGTTCACCCGTCCATACCACGGACCTTCATCAGTCACCTTTGGCATACGGTCCGCAGCCTTGACAAAATAGCTGCTGGTAGCACTGACGGGTAGCTTCTGCGGCTTGCTCCTGTCCTTTTCGTCGAGCACGGGCATAACACTCGTTGAACCCGTCTTCTCCATTTCCTTTATAACACTTATCAATGTCTTGGCCATGATGTCGGCGCCGGGCGTCCATGATGTTGTCACGTAGCCCATCACGAACCCCATGTTAGGAACAGAGTCGACCATGCAGCCACGCCAGGCGTAGTGTGAGCCAACATCGATGGGCTGCCCGTCTACTAACGGGGCTATGCCGCCGAAGAGTTGGAAGTACAACCCCGTCGCGGTAACGATTATATCGGCTTCGAGCTTGCGACCAGATTTGAGCAAAATACCGTCCTTTGTGACAGTCTCGATTGTGTCTGTCACAATCTCGCAGTTGTCCTGATGCAGAGCCTTGAAGAAGTCCTCATCTGGACACATGCAGAGTCGTTGTTGGAAGGGATTGTACCTGGGGTTAAAGTGAACATTGACATCAATGTCCTTGGGCAGTGCCTTTTGCATCTCCCCCATCAAGGCCTTGCGGCCCAAGCCAGGGAAGTTGAGGAGGAACTGTGTGGAAAAGACCTCAAGCAACACGTCTTTCCAATACAACAGCCAGTGTGCTAATGAGAAGGGGAGCAGGTACTTCAAGCAAGAGTCGATACTGGAAGTCGTGGGCCGGGAGATGACGAAGGACGGACTGCGCTGGAGCATAGTCACCATCCCTGCCTTCTCAGCAAGTGATGGGACAATTGTGATCGCGGTGGCTCCTGAACCGATGACAACGACGCGTTTGCCAGAGTAGTCGAGGTCTTCAGGCCACCATTGAGGGTGAACGACTTGCCCTCCAAAGCCCTTGAGACCTGGAATCGTCGTCGGAAAAGCCTTGTCGTACGCATAATATCCCACGCAGCTGATGACGAAGTTGGCGATAAACGTCTTTCGCTGACCGTCTGCGTCAACTTCTATCTTCCAATTCTGCTCGTCTGTCCGCCATTCGCACGCCAGCATCTTATGTCGGAACCGAATCTTGTCCCTCAAGCCTGCTGCATCAACAGCCTCTTCCAGATAGTCCACAATCTCGCCCGCCTGCGCCATCTTATGTTTATGTTTCCAAGGATACCATGGCAGGCCGAAAGCTGTCATGAAAGAGTCGGATCGAAAGCCTGGGTATCGAAAGAAGCGCCATGTTCCGCCAATGGCCGATTGCGCCTCGAGGATCGTGTACGAGCGGTGGGGGAGTCTCTGGTTGAGAACATGGGCGGTGTTGATACCGGAGAGACCAGCTCCTATAACGAGAATGTCGTGGTGTTCTGTTGATTCTTCCATTGCTGAGAGGCTGTGCGACGACGAGGTTGGAGGTGACGTGCGAGAGATTGGAGGTGTTGAGGAGTGAAACTGGTGTTGAGAAATTGCGCTCTGAACCCCTAAGTACATGCATGTACTTGCTCCAAGGTGTTAGGTAGTCCCGCAGTTAATTGACGCCACAAAGCCATTTTACTGCGTTCGAGCCAATTGCAGTAAACATAAGCATCTTACAGCCAGAATCGGCATCGTACGAGGAGTTTTAGGCGTATCTTTTCTCAATTGAGTCTATTTTTGTCCAAGTTCCCGGTACTGGGATACCACTGATCTAGAGTAATACAGCACTGATTCTGGTTCTAACGAGGTGCTTGTGAAGACAACTTACAGGGGCCGGAAACATGTCGATAAAACTAGATTTTAACAGTATACAATATAACGATTGTTCTCTACAGACTGACAAAGCATTCATGTAATTCATATGAGCTTCAATTGATATCTGACAGGGCAGGGCAGAAAATAAGCATCTGACAGGCCCAGTGGAACACCCTGATCGACATTACCACAATGCATGATTGGCCAGACAAAGCCATCTTCAGCGGTCGACTAATGCTCATTGACAAGCACATATTACCCATGAGAGTCTGTCCAGTGAGACTTGCCAACGAAGCAATCATCGAGATTTGTATATTTCTCCGCCAATAGTCTGACTGCAGGGAGCAACTGTAACTACACAGTCACAATTCATGAACTGGATATTCACGTCTTGAAAATCAAATTAAATGCTAAGACATGAGCCCCTGTCGTTTAGATATCGAATTCCATCAACAGCTCCTATCTCTTTGAAACCCGTTTCTCGTCCTGGTATCAATCCCTTACGATCATTCATATAGATCATCTTTACCCTCTCGTCGAGCTACTGGACATGCTCGGTGAGTGAGCAGGGCCATATCTCGATGCCTCCCTTAGATAATCTGGTGTCCCTTGAGGTTTCATCTGACTGGATCCCCATTTTCGAATTGCCACTTTGTGATCACAGTTGCTGCAGTAGTGAGCTGTGTGAGAGTGCCACTTCCCAGCGTAAGGAACAACAGCGCCAGCTATCGTTGTGAATCCGAGGACCGTTGCAGAGACACTAGAGACTGTTAGCATGGAAGGTGTTTAGGACCTGCTTTGGGGATCTCACTGTGTCATTTTCGAAGATACCTTCTTCACTCGTGTCTCTGCACGATGTCTGCAGAACGGACAATCCACAAACTTTGGGTGGTCCCCAAGCTGGTCGAGCGGTGTCACATACGTTACGACCTCATTGCTGTTGTAAGGCAGTAGTTGCGGTGACTGAGCGACGAAGCCGGGATGTTGTGGCTGAGCATAACCGTCTGGGCCGTAGGGGTAGGGTTGCTGAGGCTGCGGTGTAATAGAAGATGGACGAACTGGCAGCGGAGGTGCAGTTTCATCTTTGTCGAGTGTTGTGACTGGAATGGGAGCTTCGTTGTATCGTTTGTCTGTTTCCGAGTCTACTGGTATCGGAGCATCGTAGTATTCTGTGGGATTTGTGGGTTGATTTGAGTGAACAACTTCCGGGAGACCTTCATCGTGGACAACGGTGCGAATTACTCTATGTCGAGTTAGCTGATGGAAGAGAGATAGAGCTGTAGTTTACTGGCCTTGGAGTCGTAGGACGGTGTGGTAAGTCTGGCGTTTCTAGCGTGTTGGGCTGTGCAGTGTTCTGTATCGTGGCCATTGTTTTGTGTGTTGCTGTGCTTATCGCTGTGCTGTATGGCGAGACAAGAGCTGCAAGAAATTGAAGAACTGAGGTGGGGACCTAAGGGTCTCTTGTATGCAATGCAAGGAGCTAATTCTAGGCACATGGAGAAGGATTCAACGCTTAACTACTACATCTTGCAAGGCTCAGTGGCTGTGTCTCAGCCCAAGGTTCAGCCAACAGTATTGCTATCTGTGACGTCGAAGGATTTGGACCATGTTGAATTGGTCCGCCGATCCTCTTTTTGGGGGCTGAGTGGTGCTTGCATAGCGACAGGGGTAAAATGCTTAGCTAGATCCTGTCGCTCTCGCACTCGTTCCCCACTGTCTTGGCTTTTTTTGTTAGTGGTGACACGGAATTCCGTGTTGAAAGGTCCATCTTGTGTGTCGCTTCTATCCCTATAAGGCTGAGGGAGATTCATAAACCCAAGTTGATAGTGTAGTTAGCCGACCAAGATGGCGGTTTCATGTTGTGCTGGTGGCGATAACGATACGTGAGCATCAAGCTTTGCATGATGACATGCAGCACCTGTCTAATGAAGAGAACCTCCCTGAGATTCTTCAGGTCGGAGCCTTGCTAACTTGACATGGCTTTGTGTTTACAGAATGTGCTTCATGGCTGGGCTGTCTCGTTTGAAAAAGCCGACACTATCGTTTATCCCTTGTCATCATCAAAGGGCTGCCAGGCGCACCACAAAATTGCCCCCTGCATCGAATCTTGTAAGGGATATTTCTCATTGTTAGTTGATGCAGTGTTTGTCTTGCCTTGAGAAGAGTGGTGTACTCATGATGACAGCTCAAAACTCGCCACTATTGCTACTTCACTTGATTTTCCCGGCCCCCAAACTTGGATGCCTAATCTGGACTCTCCCTCCAATCACTCAAGATTGGACATCCAATAAAATAATAATATCTATATAAGCTGTTGGTCAATGAATATTCTGCCAACAAAGGATTTTGGATGATGCAGTTTGATGTCTGAAACTGTATTCTATGGCTTGAGCTTACGTTCCTGAGTCAGAAACAGGGGTCCATCCATTATCGACATGACGCATGACTAACAACACAATGTCCACATACCTTAGTTACAGCGGCTGTACCTGATAGAGCATAAACTCCGTTGGTTTCTTTCAAGATAGTCTCGAGTTGCATGTTCCAAAGATCAACTCTGGTTCGTTGACCAGATTCCTCGGCCCAGACCCGAAGATCTCCATCCATGACAGCTCAGCTCCCCACTATTGCCCCTCCTTCCTCCCCCTCATGAGCTTGGAGCTCGTATAGATCAACCGATAATGACATATTCGTAAGGATCCTCTTTCATCCTTACAACTTTCAACTCAGTCATAACGCCAGACAATTCATTCACCATCACCAATAACTCACAATGTCATCTGAGCAATACGTCCTCTTTGATCTCCCGAGCCGAGATCCTGTCGGTGCTTGGTCTCTCAACCCATGGAAGAGTCAGTCAAGCTACTGCTACCCCTCATGACATATCACTAACTGTACAATAGCTCGATTCCTCTTGAACTTCAAGGGAATTGACTACAAGACCGAATGGGTACGTCAGGAAACCCATAGTCACCGCTTCTTTTATTGATCAATGACCAGCTCGAGTACCCCGACATCAAGCCCACTCTTGAGCCTCAGTAAGTCTTCAATGTCACTCACAACAACTCAACTAACACTCTTCAGTGTCCCTGCCAACCCATCCACTGGAACATGGACCATCCCAACTGTCAAATTCCCCGATGGAGAATACATCATGGACTCCAACAAGATCCTGGAGCGCGTCGAGAAGGACCACCCTGAGCCCCCGGTCCACAAGGACTCACCCGTCCTCGCCAAACTCTTCTCCATCATGCCAAACATCATGAGCGCCCTTCGGCCCGTATACTTCTACACCGTTCCCAACAACATCCTCAGCGACAAGAGCATCCCTTATTGGCACGAGACACGATCCAAGGTGGCCGGCAAGCCTCTTGATGAGCTTCATAAGGAGAATGGCGGCCAGCAGGCTTGGGATAACTCGAAGCCACATATTCAAGAGGTTGAGGCTCTGTTGAAGGAGAACTCAGAGGGACCTTTCTTCATGGGAAAGACCCCCAGCTATGCTGACTTCGTCTGGGGTGGCTTCTTGATCTTCATGCAGCGCAACAACGTCATTGAAGAAGTGTACAAGACTAGTGGCGATAGCCAGCTTCACAAGGACCTCCTTGAGGCTACCGCTCCCTGGCACAAGCGAAATGACCACTAAGACATACATTATCGAAGTTATAGGAACACGTGTTGGCAATATAAACGAGATACAGCTCAGAGGAAGAAAAGATACAAAATAGACATCCCGAAATAATTAAAGAGTGGTTCCACCATCCTCATCATCAAAGTCCGACTCCTCCAAACTGTTACTCGGCGAGTCCAGACTGAGCCCCGTAGCAAAACCCTCGCCCAGTTCATCGACATCGGGCAGATCACCAACACTCAACTCCGTCTGAACATCCGTATACCGCACCGACATGAGAGGATGGGTGCTCGAGTCATGCCTTTTACCCTCCGAGTTCCTCATCACCAAGATCCCAAAAGCATCCTGCCGAATCTTCTCTATCATCGAGTTGAAGATGCTCTGTCGTCGTGTTTGACCGAAAGCGCCGTCGGATTCGTGAAGATCTGGAAACCGCCAGTTGACGTAAAGATTACCATGGCCTGCTCGAGTGCGGATACCGTTGTGTTGACCTGCAGTGTCGAAGTAGTAGCGGCAAAGCTGGCATGCCGGTTTACTGCTCCCAATGTAGCTCCAGCCATTGAAGAACGTGACCCCTGGGTGATGTTTCTGAGCCAGTTCTCGGTTGAGGGCCATTATCCACTCGAGGACCAGTATTTCGCAGTGTACAACTGGCTTGAAAGTAGGTTTGGTGCACTGCGTTTGTATACGATCATCCAAGTCAAACATCCTCTGCAGGTTCTGCGCAAGATCACAATATCGCTGTCGTGAAGCTTCATTGCTGCACATACGCCCGATGATGTTGGAAGCTTTCTCGCTCTTCTTACCGAGGGGGTTGGGCTCTGACTGACTGGACTCTACTGAAACAACTTCGAATTCCTGGAAAATATCTGGCCATTCTCTCTCTGCTGCGATGAGATCTTGGATCGTTTTCTTGTAGCTCTGAAGACGCGATAGGCTGTGTCGTAACTCTGACCAGCATACAAAGCTACGGCCTTCGCTGAAGCGACCATTGGTGGCACGTTTGTCGATGTAGCTTTTGACTTCACGGGTAAGAAACGTCTCGAGCGCTTGTTGAATCGTGTTGTAAGTTTCAAAGTCTGGTTTCTGATTAGTTCCTGTGGCAATACATGAGACCCATGGGTCTTACACTCTTTATCACGCATGTTCTTGACTGTTGTATCCTCAATAGCTCTTTCAAGACTCCTCAAACCCTCCTCAACAGAGGCGTCTATATCTCTTGTTAGCCTTAATTTGTATCTTGGGATACCGGTAGTCTAACTTACTGGCTGTGTCTGTCTGCTGCTGGCAGTACTCAAGGCAATCCACAATGTTCTTCGCCTTCAGTGCATTGAGATAGCAGTTGATCCTTGGCGAGTTGAATGAGACAATCTTCTTCAGAAGTTCACTCTCGACAGCCTTCTTCTTATCCAACGGAAATAAATGAAAGCCACACAGACTTTCTATGACTGTTGTCAGGAGATCTTGCGTATCGCCGAGGTCTCCATCGGATATCTGGTTGCAAGCAAAGACGTATTTGTACTTTTCTTCCTCATCGAGTATGGCGATTGAAGTGACGGTCCTACCGCCCTTTGTGCTATCACAGATACTTGCGAGCTTATGGAGAAAGTGATGGCATCGCTCTTCTTCGGTTCTCGGCCGTTCTGGGGCTTCAGCGGGACGAAGAGCGCCTTGTTCGTGGGTGATCTCAGTAAGAGCCTTGTACAGGACGATGGGCTCATAGAGACGGCGTTTCTGCCTGGACTTGAGCGAGATTATGTCGTCTGTTGACCTTTAGTTATTGTATATTTCATTGATGAAGGGCCAGCTTACCAGTAGTCATGATTGGTTTTGCTATCAAGGGCCTTGTTTGTGCAATAGGCTGGAGTGTATGCTCGACAAGAGCAGTTTGCAGTTACAAAGTCAGCCATTCAAAGAGAGTCTTATTCTTATATGGCTTTTTATCGCCCAAGAGGCCTTGAGCTTTTCAGCTTCTCTGACTTTTTACACTCTTTCAAGCCCCAAGATCTGCCTCGTCCAAGCCTCATGTCGGAGGCCGGCCAGTTTGGGAGGCCCATCAGTCAATCACATCGCATCATGCGGGGTGACCAACATCTGCATCTCCCAAGCCGGCCTCCAACATTCTCGATCGCCTAATCTGACATTTATCTTCATTGAATCTTCCAACCAAAATGACGAATCCCACCGAAATTGGCCTGTATTTGGGTCGCAAATGTCGGACGAGGCAGACTCGTGATATCGCGAGTTGTCTCATATCCTGACTACGCCATTGAGTATTCCGCCTTTTAGAATCTGAGGTTTTCTATCTTGTTCTCAACCCTTCCCTTGTTCAAGTATTGATCCAGACAGCACTATCAAACATCACAGAGATGAGAATGTGCTGTCGGCCCCCGGCCGGCCTCCAAAGAGGCTCTTTCAGTGAGTATAAATTTACCTTCAATAACCTCCCAAGAGCTAATACCAAGGCTTTCAGATCCCTTCAGCGAGACCAGCCATCTTTTCAGCTCTTCTTCAAGTCATACTCTAAGAGTTACCATATTCTAGACATGTCACGACGAAGCGACCGTTCTCACAGACACAGTCGTTCCAGCAGATCCCACCAATCTCAACAGGACGACATCCCCATTGATCCCAATCTGATTTCTGAAGCCTCATACCCTGGATATACTGATACCCAGGGCTTTGCCTCATACAGTCAGGCTGGTCCAAGTCAGAGCCAGTAGAGCGCTGACTCACAAGTCTCTGACTTCAACTCAGGTGTATACGCAACAGACACGAGTGCCCCAGAGACTCAGGATCCAAGCATGTTGTATTACATGACGCAGCAACCTGCAACTGTCAACCCCAATGAGGTCTTACTGAGTTCAGGGTCCGGTTATGCAACCCAGAATTACCCCAGCTCCTATCCAACTGCCGAGCCTAGTATGTTACATCCATCTCTAGTTGAAACAGAAACAAGCTAACGACATCTCAGCTCTACCGGAGGCTTCATCGTCTACAGTCCAGGGCACCACTCCACACTACTGTTCAGAATGTGACCGCTTCTTCGGCGGCAACAGAGACTTGAAGTAAAGTTTGCAAACATGAAACAAAGAATGTTTTGACTAATACGACGCAGCAAACACATGAAAACCCACAACAAGCCTGTCAAATGCAAAGCCGATCCCAACTGCAACGTCACCAAGGCAGAGCAGCGGGACATGGATCGCCACTACCGAACCTCTCACAGAACCTACGCAGCGAGCAAGGGTATCCTCACCGAGGAGAGGATCTGTGGTCTTGAGGGGTGTACTTCAAAGTTTACGAGGCAGGACAATCTGCTCAAGCATTGGAAGAAGTTTCATAACTACGAACAGTAACGGAACATCCGGTATTCTTCTTTCGTTTCTCCTATCTTTCACTTGCATACGCGGTTTTTTCCTTTGTTCGTCATCTGTCTCCTGATTCCAGATGTTTTTAGCAGCCTACCCTGCCATGCTACCGGAGCGGGCAAAGACGGGGGATCGCTTGAGAAGCGAGTACGGGACCACGTATACACCAATTTATTCGCTCATTATTTGGAATAGTTGTAGTTATATAGATGGAGTATCATGTCTTAGCATGTTTGTTGATTCAGGTAGAACAATGAAAATTAAGTTGATTCTCTTTTCGCTTTCTAGATACCTCCCAATCCCATCCTAAATCTCGCACTTTTCCTTCCCGCCCTTTCATTCAGATAATCCCAATGTGTCGTCGAAACCCCTTGATCGTGTAGCGTAGAAGTAGAACATGAACATGTATTATGGTTTGACAAGAGAATATTTGTCAAAGGGAATCTTATAACAAGAGATACATCGATAAAGAATAAGATATGCGCCTAACCCGTAACGCCTCATCACTTCCCGTAATCTAGCCCATGACCGAGAGCCCCGTAGATATTTTTATTTTTTGTTCGTTCTGTTCAGATATGGTCCAAAGTCATGAGAAGGGGCAGGTAGCACCATTTGTAGAGATGGCTCCGGAACTGGGGCATCTGGCCTCGTTACTGTTGATGGAATTTGCCTTTGACGCAGAGCCAATGCTCAGGTTATCGACCTTGAACTCCATGTCACCAGTGCTGAAGAGCTCAAAATGCATACGAGGGGCATCGACCTTTTGAGCCTTGAGGTACTCGGCCATCTCGAGCATGAACTGCTCAGGTCCACAGATGTAGTACTCGGTAGAGCTGTTGCAGAGGTAGAGGTCTTCCTTGTCGACCTTGGCAAGATCCATGCGGAAGTCGTGATCGTAGGTGATACCGTAGACGTCAGACTCGGCGAGATGGGTCTTGAAGATGTTGGTGCGGAAGCTGGGGCGATTGCGGGCAATGCGTCGGACTTGGTCGTAGAAGGGAACGGAGCGGCGAGAGCCGTGGATCCAGGAGACAGGACGGTGAGGCTGGCGCTCGGAGACGGTGTTCAGGATGGACATCATAGGAGTGACACCAACACCGGCAGAGATGAGAACGATGGGAACGTTGGAAGTGTTGGACATGTCAAGGTAGAACTCGCCAGCGGGATGAGTTAACTCAACAATATCGCCCTCGTCCTTCATGTCGATAAGGAGGTTAGAGACAACACCGGGGTTGAGGGCATCGCCTCCGAGATATCGACCGCTGCGGGTCATGTGAAGTCCTTCGTCTCGCTTGACGGTGACGCGGTAGTAGTCGGGTCGAGGAGCCTCGCTCAGGGAGTACTGACGAGACTGGACATAGCCCTTGTCGGCAATGGGCACCTGAACAGAGACATACTGTCCAGGCTGGAAGGGAGGAAGACGCTTGCCGTCGACAGGAACGAGGTAGAAGGAGTAGATGTCATCAGACTCCTCAACCTTCTTCTCGATGCGGAACTTGCGGTAGCCCTGCCACTTGCCAAAGTCACGGTAGAGCTGAGCCTCACGACCGATGAGCATCTTGGCAAGCATCCAGTAGGCCTTCTGCCAGGCCTCTCTGACCTGCGGTGTCATGGCAGGACCGAGGACTTCAGCGAAGGCAGCGATGAGATACTTCTCGACGATACCATAATGCTCTGGCTTGATGCCCAGGGAGCAGTGCTTGTGGCACATGCGTTCCATCTTGGGGATGAGCTCTGTGATGTGGTTGATGTTGTTGGCGTAGCTGAGGATGACGGCGGTGAGGGCACGAGGCTGGCGACCGTTGGCCTGGTTGACGGTGTTGAAGTAGTCGTTGAGCTCGGGGTGATCACGGAGCATGTTGCGGTAGAAGATGGTGGTGATGCGCTCTCCGTGGTCGGTGAGGGCGGGGATGGTGCCCCGGATGAGCCTGGTTTGTTGATATGACAGAGCCATTGTGAAGAGTGTGAGGTATTACAGCTGAAGGAGTAGTAAGAGAGGCACCTCTTAGAAGGCTTAGGGTGAGTATGGAATAGACAGAGTCTTGAGAAATGTCGACAACGCTTCGTGTAACTGCTGTATATGTCGAGGTTGGTAGAGTAGCAGATGAGTAAAGGAATGAGATGGATGTTGTAATGAAGCAGAGTTCGTCAGTCGAGAGATGAATCTGAAAGGGGAGTCGTCCCCAGATATTATATCCTCCTCCTCCTCCTTCTACTCATGGCTGATGGCCATGACACAGCAAGGGCATGGCATGGTATGGCATGGATATTGAGATATCACACGCCCCCAGTTGACTTAGAGTGGACGGGGTGATACACCCACAAACAGAGATCATAGCCATGGCCATAGGGGAAAAAGAAAAGAAAGAAAATTCGAGCTTCTCCACAAGCCGTCTATTCCTCGTGGTAGGCCTAGCAGTACCCCCAGGCAATAGAGGGTGTATCTAAGTGAGGGCGAAAAGTAAAAGCGAAGTGGATGGATGTTGGGAAATCCAAGCTCAGGAAGTCGTACGATAGAACAGCTGGGATCCATTGTTAGTTCCCTCTAGGAGGGTGGAGGTTTTCTGTTAGTGGGGTCAGGCCCTGTAAGCTCCAGGCTCTCTTTGCTTTTTGGGGTGGCCCGGCGGCTTCCACTGAAGGGTACAGTGAGGATGAATCTTTTAGGGAAGTCTTGGCTATGAATATGGTCCGAGGATAGAAACAGGTGAGAAACGAGGCTGATCTAGATTCTAGATTCGGTAACCAAATCACAAGAAAACTCTCTTTTTAGTCCACTTTGGCTTGACTTGACAGCTTGAATTAAGGCTTGACGGATATGGCGTGTGGCAAAGGCAATTAATTATCAGTTATTTCCAATGTAAGGTACTCAAGTCAGAGCACAAGCCATACAAGCCCAGCTTGACTCAAGTTTCACCTCTAAAACGACATAAAGAATGTCCATCACTAACTAACTTAGTTCCCTTCCAGTAGCTCTTGATCTCAAAACTCTGTGGAGATCTACAGCTGAGTTACAGTAGCTAGGCAAGTATATCATCGACGGGGATATCTGCCGTCCATACAATCCCTCACCCCTAGAAGTCTCAAGCCATGCGGTAGCCACGCGAGACAACAACATGAATGCAACTCAACGCATGGCAACCACATGTTTGAGGAATGGAACGTCAGATGTGGCCAACCGGAAGCGAGGGTCCAGAACTTGGAGGCGCTATTCTAGACAACTGCTTTGTAACACGGCAAATCACAAGAGACGAAAAGCAAACATTGTCCAGGCAAACAAACGACATGTAACTTATTGGCTTTCACAGCCCGTCTTAGACTCTCAAGGCGTTGCAGCTTTGTGAGTGACGCTCAAAAACGACAGGTCATGTACGAAAAGCGAAATATACCGCGAGTATTGAACTCCAAGGACGAGAAGTTCCGACATAGAACGAGTGTTTACACGTACTGCATAACTAGCCAGCCTACGGAGTAAGAGCAATAAACTTCATCCAAGCTGTTGCTCTCGGGAATAGCATGGCCTCACCTCAACACCAAAAGGATCCTTGCACCCCCAAACTCCCTGTCTACCACATTCCCCCGTAGCGTCCTGTCGGCACTACGTAGTTTCGAGGTTACCTCACCCCAAGTTCGGGTTCGGTACCTGGGCTCGGGTCTTGACAGCCACCGTAAACTCTGTGTCTGGCCGTGGCGCGACAATAGAGAGCCATTGTGTGTGGCAGGTGGTTTGATTGTATCATCACCGGCCGGCAGAGGATTGAGCTGAGCCCCGACAGCAACACTAAGAAAGCTGACAGTTGGCTGATTAAGACGGCTTCAGTTTAACGAATCAAGGGTGTCTTGTTCACAGGTTGTGTAATCTCAATTCTCCCCCACGCGAAAATGCTAGGTCTAGGTCAGATATCTCCCATTGACAAGAGTCCACTTCTCACGCGACCGTTGAGGTCTGCGTCATGGGAATCCTTTCCAAACCTTCAGATTGCCATAGCTACTGTGACTGCAGACCGAGGTTGTATTGCATCTGAAGGCCGAGTGTACGTAGTAAAGCTTGTGAGTAGAGGGATCGTCAGCGTTTTGACCAGAAGCGGCGTGTCAATTGTGCCACAATGATAGGGCAATGGAATTCGGAGTTGAGAATGTGTGTTGGTTCGTTCGACCGAGGTACAGAGCTAGAGAACTGGTCAGTGAATGCTTCCAGAAGACATTCGGAATTGTTCGATTACGGGACCAATCTCGTGTGCTGTGCCTGTGCCTGACATTAGAAGAACCCGGAACCATGCGAATAAGGGCATAGTTAGGCATGCGTAGCTGTGGCCTGTAGGTACTGCTCAACAGCCTAACTTAATAAACAGTCCGGTCAATGCCGTCCGTCTACTTCTCCATATTCACTTCCGAAGACGTCAGAGGGAGACAGAGCAAAAGAGGCCCCGAGTATTCCGAATGGTCTGTGGTTCTGATCCCATCAATGCAGAATCAGAGCTTCGTAAGTAACATAAAACATCTTCAGCCCGTAAGCTTTGGCTCCTCATAAAGATCCGCACCGACCACTCCTAGCTCCCGCCGCCTTTCAAACGTTGTCGATTCTCTCCGTAACTTGTTCTTGTGTCCGGGCTCAAATTAGATGCTCTGTGCTTTTCCAACCCCATACAATGGTCCGTCCACACTGGGACCTGAGTCTCATCTGTTTGACAGCTCCTCCGTAGATGTCGGCCAAAGCCGGAGACGGACGGAACGTCGGGCTGTCTTCCACCCGCATTCTTTTGGTCTCTTCTTTTCTCAACGGCCGTTATTTCCCTTATTCTCGTTCTTTCTGAGGGGAAGCTTGTCCTTTCTCCGGCTGCTTTTGCTTTTTAGTCGGCTCAGGGTCCAGAGAAAAAAGGTGATTTTGAGAAAGTCTAAACTAGCGGCCCCCAGTTACAGTCAACGGTCGATGTAATTGGGTCTTTTACAGCAGCAGCCCTGCCCGGGCTAACAGTACTGAATTACGGATACAGTGACGCATCCAATGCATTCACGGTCACTCGAGCAGAATGATAATGAAAGAAGCAATTCAATTTGTTTTATTCCAAGTGTAGGAATCACAATGACATATCACAAATTATAGAATAAATATCTCCCAATTTCTTACCATCCATCACAATCACACAGAGCATCTGCATATCCCTATCCATAACCAACTGCACAGCATCTCGACCAACCACACAAATCTGATATGCTACGTGTACCTGCATCACGAGAGCACCCAAGATTCCCGATATCCATAGCCAAGAACCGTTCCTCGAGGATCTAGATTAGTATTAGGTCCAACTGGATAAAGGATGAACCATTACATCTCGAGCTCGCTAATATTAGCTAACGAGATGAGAACAAAATGACGGATACTCTTCCGCTTTGACGGAACATGATAAAGATTCATGAGGCCTCACTCGCCAAAAGACACTATCGTATTCTTAAAAACTCGGCAACACCGGCCAGATCTGCTAATAGAAAAGGAGATGAAAAATCTTTCAACGGTCGAATCTCTCTTCTTGTCAGTCTCTAGTCTATGCTTGGCGAGCGGTGCGCTTGGTCCATTTCATAATGAACGGTGGCTGCTCATCCACTAAGACTCATACATTATAAATATGTTAGAGGCAGTAGATCTACCATGTAACCTACCCCGTGTCCATGTTCATGTTGATATCAATGAATGTGGAAAAGATGAGAGACGATCCCCAACGTCCAAGGGCACTCGCTGAAACTCGCTCGGCACACGGCGGATCCTCTCTCTCAGCCTTGGATAGATCAACACCTGCGTCTGTGTCTGCGTCTCTAGGCTCTAGCTCAGTTATTGCCCAGGTATGGGATATATACCGTACGACGGCACCGCCCGGGGTCTAGCTGGGAGGCTATCATACCCTTGTAAGTGACAAACCCCTGCTGCCACAAACTTTTTCCAATGGGCACGAGAGCCTCTTCGTGTGAAAGACGAACGTCAGTCCTTCAGCTAGAGACTGCTCAAACCGGAATAGAATAAATAATTTCAACGTTGAATTGAGTCCTCTGATCATATCATATCATAGCAATTTCGTCATTTCTAGTGGCAGCACCTTTTTCCTTTCTTTTTCTTACCGTAGCACCGAGACAGTTGAAACCAGCCATCTCGACATCGTTTTTACGATATATCACAAAGACTAAAAAACTCTCTCTCGCTTCTCCAAAGATGATCGTTGCTCGCACGCTTGCACAGTTGCACTCGCGTATTCTCTCCCAAACATCCTAGTGATTCAGCATCTCACGCAGTCAAACTCTCACATTCCTCCGAGATGGCCCTGGTCTTTGCTCTCGGACCTCTGACATCCTCCAACCTTAGATCCAGTAGATGAACAGGGCATCTGTGAATCGACGATCCTGCAAAAACTGGAGAGGGACGACTCTCGTCATAGCCCCTCTGAGATACTCGCATAGATACTCGCATACATATGAACACATAGGCCCAGACATGCATCAGACAGATATGGATCTCGCCGTCGGCCGAATACAATATGCGCGAAAGAGACTCTTCCCCACAAGCCTCGTCTGTTCATATTCTGCAGCTTCTCCATCATCGAATAGAAGGCTACCAACATCATATCCCCTCAGCCTCTTTCTTTTCTTATTTGTTATATCCAAGCGAACTATGCAGCCACATCAGTTCATAGCCGCACCAAAGGAAGAACACCAACACAACGAGACAAGAAGAAGAGACACCAAAGCTAAGCGCGGGCCGCCGTGTTCGGTTCGTCAGTTCTCATAATCAGTTTGCAGTTCGAGTCATTAGTGTCGCACACACAAACAAGATGAGCATCCCACTATTAAAAAGCCATTGATGTACGATAACGGAAACGGCTGGGAAAAGGAAATATCGTCATTATACAGGCGCCACGCATGAGATAAAATATTTTCGTCAATGCTCGTAAAGTAATTGGTAGTGTAGTAGAAATAAGCTCTTGGCGTTGGGAGCTTTGTAATGACTCTAGCTTGAACCGCTCACTAGTGCATCCTCACTGTTCTCTTGAGCTTCATGTACTGCCAGCAGCGGAGCTCGACAGCTTGATAAGGTGTTTTATTGTTTCAATATATCAAAGTTCAAGGCCAGTCTTGAGCGTTATTATGAAGCTAAAAACCTCCGGAAAATGTCTTAGCATCGCAGATCATAGAAACTCAAACCCGATTCCATCCCAGGTTCACCTTGTCACGTTTCTCTCTGCCTCTTCATATCCCGGTCCGTGGACATGAATATTTGTTTCTTTTTCTCAATGTCTCGGACCCGACCCGTCTCCTTTGTCCTCAAGCCGAGCCGTTAGCTTTCTTCACCATGTCTCACACACCCTCCTCTCTCCTTGACATTCGTTAGCTTGAGAGTCAACTTGCTTTTTCCACACTCGGTTCCAACACTTCCCGTTCTGACCTTTTTCTCCGCCAAATTTAGCCCTCACTTTTCTTATTGTGAAAACTCAACCTCCTTTCTTTGTAACCGTCAAACGTGGTAGACGCGTTTCTTTCTCTTCCCGTTCCGTTCACTTCTCGCCGTGTTCCTGCATTACCTCGTGCCCTCCACGTGTAGTGTCTCCACGCTTCTCAGCTGTTTGTTCAGTTGCTGTACACCCTCTTCTCTTCAGCTTTGCTCGGTCCCCTTGGGCAGAGGTTGTTGGTGGGATTCGTTACTATATTCGAACCAGTGTGGCGTTGGCGTTGGACACTGAGAGGCTTCGCATTGTCCTCTGTCGTGAGATAACAAGGAATCGGGAGTTGAACACGGATAATCGCAGTATACTCATGCAATACTACACCAAGTTCCTTTCAGTTGTCCAATAACGGTATTCACTCCCAGCCATGTGTCGTTAGTTGAAACAGCGAGGCCAGCAACGAGATGTCCTATCTCATTTGACCACTCGTGATACACCATCTCACATCGCATATGATATCCCAAAAAAGATGTGTCAGTTTGCTTCAAAGGTTTCATTTCTCATTAGCAACCAGCAAATGACCCTGGTACTCCGTATTAATTCGTACACGTCAAGTAATCTGCCAACTCAAAATCACACACGCTCCAGATCCCTTCCCCGTCCCATGAGATTCTGGATAGGGGATTCCATGTCTGAAAAAGCAAATTTTCCCTATTGTAACCCATCACCGTCGCCATCATCTCCTTCGCTTCGTTTCGCTTACCTACCCACCCGGATAACGCCAGCAGCGATCAGCTTCTGGATCTTGGACCGCACACCAGGGTTTCTCATATGCTCCTGAAGAGCAGCGGGATCCGACTGTGCCTGCTGGAGGATCGATTGCATCACGGGGTCTTGCATGAGTCCCATGATCTAAACATGTCAGTAAACGTTTCAGCCATTGAGTAACGGTGGGTAATCCTACCTCGGGGTCCTTCATCAGACGCTCTCGGGTCTGCTCTTCCGTCTCGTTATCACGGGCAGAGTACATGGCCGAGAGAGCCTTCTGCTGCTGTTGCTCGATCTCACGGGCGTTAGCACCGTTGTGGTGCTCCTGGTCAACGCGCTGGGCCTCAGTGCAGGCATCCACACATTCTGAGTACTTGCGCATGCCGAAGTAGGCTTGAGCCTTGCGGATGTAAGCTCGGATGAAGGTAGGGTCCTTCTTGATAGCCGTGTCGCAGTCCTCGAGAGCACTGGGGAACTCGAAGAGCTTGACAAAGGCAGCCGCCCGGTTGCTGTAACCACGAGGGTCATCGGGAGCTCGCTTGGTCATCTCTGTGTAGGCGGCAACGGCACCAGGGAAGTCCATTTCCTTGAACCTCTTGTTGCCCTCCTCACGAGCCTCCTCAGCCTTGGCAGGGTCGATGTAGGCCTTCTTGCCAGCCTCAGTCTTGGCACGCTCAGCAGAGCGCAGCTTGTTCAGGACATCGGGAGTTCGGTGCTCGGTGAGAGACCTGTTGTAGTTCTCAACAGCCTTGTCCAAGTCTCCCTTGCGCTCATAAGATGTACCGATACGAGCGTAACTCTTGGCAATGAGCTTGAAGTCAGCGTAGATCTCACGTCCCTCCTCGACGGCCTTGGTGCAGGCCTCGATGGCCTTGTCGTAGTCACCCTTCTCGAAATAAGCAGCTCCCAAGTTGTTTAGGTAGGTAATATCCTTGAAGGTCTCCCAGGCCTTAGTGTAGTGTGCAATAGCCTCGTCAAAGTTGCGCTTCTTGTAGTTCTCGGTGCCGAGGGCCTTCTCCTTGTCGGCCTCTTCCTTCTTTTTCTTCTTCTCGACAGCCTCCTCGTCCAGCTCAGGCTCGGGCTCAGGCTCAGGGGCCTTCTTGGGCTCGGGCTGCTTGGGAGCTGGTGGGGCATCGGGCATGGGAGAGTCCTGAGATTCGGCGTTGGGGTCGACTTCGCGCTCGCGCATCTCCAGATCAACACCCATCAACACACCCATGACTGTCAACAGACGGGGGTCGCTGAAGATCTCGGAAGCATTTGAAGGATTGCTCTTGATCGATTGGAGCTTGGCCATGAATGAGGGGTCGGCAAGGAAACCGCTGGTCTTGGGGTTTGAGGCGAGCTTCTGAATCAACTGGGGGTCGTTGAACATTTGGCCGAGGCCACCGCTGGGGTCTTGAGGTCCTCCTGTGGAAGTGTCAGTCGCCATAAGTGTGGTTTGTAGATATATTGCTTACCAACTTCGGCCTCCATAGCCTTCTTGACTGAAGACAGCCCACTCTTGAGCTGGGCGTTGTTGGCATCGAGTTTCAATCCCTCTTCGTACGCATCATTGGCACCCAGAAGGTCGCCCTGTCCGTGCAAAGCAGCACCCTTACGTCCCCAGCCCTTGGCCCAGTCAGGCTTGATCTCGGTGGTCTTCTCAGCATCCTTCAGAGCATTTTCCCAGTCCTTCTTTGAAGCATAAGCAGCAGATCGGTTGCTGTATAGAATGTGGTTATCGGGCTGAATGGCAATAGCCTCGGTGAACTTTTCGCTGTGTCGTAGTTAGCAACCCCGATATTCCGTTGTGTTATTGTTACTGGTGGTAACCTACACTGCCTCGTCGAAGTTCTTCTCGGCAATGGCCTTGTTACCTAGAGCCTTGAGCTCGTCCGCGGAAGCCATTTCGTGTGTGAATTAGCAGAATCTGAGGGTTATAGCTATTAAACAGCAGTTCTGATCGGAGTATCGAGTCTGTGGTATCAAAGAATCAAAGTTACTAGACGATGAAATATGAGAGAGTCGCCCCAGGCGATCTTTGGTGGGGAAGAAGAGGGCCATGGATGCCTTCTAGCTCATTCGATGCAAGTCTATGAAGGGAGCTTCCCATTGGGTGGAGCTCCAACTGCCCCGCCCCGCACCTACGAGGACCCTTATGATGACCTCCAAGTTCCAGGGTAGGCAATTAATCAAGCAAACAAGGAACGTGATGTCTAGAAGATTCCTCTCATATGAGATACTTGCATAGTAAGTAAATTTAGTTTGACACAAAGAATCGACTTTACAAAGCTATATTATATGGAGCTTCAGTACAGAGTAATAGGGCAAGTTGTTAGACGCTCTTCATTATTTGAGGACCTGTGATTCTAGCTTAATGACTTTGTCCATCTGTTAACTCAGATGGCCTTTCTTGACATCATAGATTTCACTGAACTAAGAACAATATCTAAACCAGACAGATTCAATCTGGAGGAAAACCCCAAGATGAACGCCAAACTTGCAGGACCTAAGAGAAAAGAATAGGCAAAAGATTAAAAACATGCAGATCACAACTGGCAACAACAACCTCGACTGTCTTGGAGTCTTCACGAACTCTATGGTGATACACCAAGAAGTCTCAGCGCATTCTCAAACACCTGTCTTGCGTTATCATAGAGAGCATATCGCGCCTCGCTAGCGGTATCAAGACCGGTCCAATCTTTCTCATCATCGTCGTCAAGCGTACATATGAGTTGATCGATAAGTCGTGACAAGTACACCACGATAAAAGATGGCTCAAGAGTTCTGAAAGAGCCATGTGCTGCATCTGGATACTGTAGCAGGATACGCAGAAGCTCAGCATAGTCCTCCTCTTCTAACGAGGCGTAATCGAGCTTCGTATAGTCGAAGGTCGTTGGACCTGACTCCAATTTCTTGGATAATCTGGCATAGCAGTCTTGGATAGCTGCACCCGTGTCCCCCTGGAGCTGTACCATTTTCTTAGGTTCACTCATATAAGACGTGTTTCGTTTGTGGTAGTGATCTTGTAAGAATAGGCCAGCAAGACCGAGTTTTTCCAGCGATCTCTCGGACTTGTCCACATGATATGATCCCTCCTCCTCTTCGTCGAGAGCAGCTTGTGCCATCGAGTGGCATCCCTCGATGTAGTCGCTCAAAAGCTTTGAGTCCTTCAGTCTCTCTGGAAGTCCATTGATTTTGGCGAAAGAAACATGTTGAATGCGCTCAGCAAGATCTTGTTTTCCCATGAGCTCAAGAGTCTTGGTAACTCGGTGGAAGTGCATTTCTTGCTCCATCGCAACGACATAGATCATCTTGTCAAACTGGTGTTTCTTGTATCGATCAAACACTGCAGCAAGGTCGCGTAACAGATAAGAAGTCGTCCCGTTTCGGTATCGTAATACAGCGAGTGAGAGCCCTTTTGCGTCGTGCTTAGAAAAGTCGATCTTCCACGAGTCTTCGTGCTCTTCGTATATGTCCTTGTCCTTCAAGATCTGCTCGACTTCATTGATAGACTCAGCAGTTACCTGCGATTCTCCAGAATACTCATCGAATGCCACTCCGAGCTGTGCGTATGAGTCGGTATAGTCCTTGACAGTTGCATCGCGGAATCGTTGCCATACTGCGATGGCTTCTGGCTCCCTGTCCTCCATCTTCTTGAAGAAGATGTCTCGTTCGGCATACAAGCCCCGTGATTCAATCTCGGTCACGTCTTGTTTATTCGCTTTGGCGGCCTTGCATTCTTCCAGCTCTGGCTTGAATAGATCCTGAATCTTGTGATTGACTTCGAGAAGGTGACGGAGTGGCTGTTTCTCGAACTCTTCTTCCGAGCCAAACCTCTGCCAACCAGCAGCAAGGAGTCCAATCTGCTTCCCCCAGTCTCCTAGATAGTTCATCTTGACAACGTCCCAACCCATACTGGCGTGGATATTCGCGATGTAAGCACCAATCAAAGTACTACGCAAGTGAGAAACCTGAAACTCACTCGCCATATTAGGGGACGAGAACTCCACGACAAGCTTCTTTTTGGGACTATCCGGCACTGTAGAGTCAGTGAGCCCAATTGATTTATCGTAGCCATATGAGGCAGCTCTGTCATTTATATACGGCAGTAAGAGTCGGGAGAGTGTGTTTGGAGAGGAGAAAATCTGCAGACGAATGCCGTCTTTTACAGGGCATCCAAAGGGCGGCGATACCGGGAGCTGTTTGAATCCACGTTAGTCTTTAATCAATCCGGAGAACGGATATACAAAGGTCGTACTCTTCCGGCGAGATCTATGACCAAATCTTCGGGCCTGGTGTCCCTCAGTCTAAGCTTTGGGGCCACAACGATAAGATCACCCATGCCCGTGATGTTGGAGGTCTGTATGGCATCGTAGGCAATTTGTTTATCGCATCCGAGAAGCTTCTGGATGATATCGGCGAGGTAAGCTCGGAAGATGTCTTGTGGGTTGTGCACTACATCTGCACCGGGGTATTCGGGAATTGGTGTGTCCAGTCCTGCCTTGCCGAGCAGACTTTCGATGCCACTAACTGAGCAAGTTGTCGCCGCCATAGCCACGATGATGATGATGATGATGATAGTGTTGAAGCGTAAGAGATGAATCAGAGGTTAGAGCTTCGGTTGCCTCATGTCAGTAACTATTTGAGTTGAAAAGGAAGCGCACCCAAGGCCATTTGAACTGTGAGAGTGGGTAGTTGGGTACCAAGCAACTTGCTATCCTCAGAGCCTCATTTTCTGTAACTGGCGATTTGATTTGCTACGGATGCTCCCACGCCGCTTTGGTGTTGCCCAACCTCCAAGATGCGTGATGCGTTGGCAGCCACACATGACTCTCGCGATTCGTCGCAAATAAGGCTGTCAGATAGCATTGGCCAACAACCTCCCCGGTTGAAAGGGTATCGCTGCACCATGCCCTCAAATATCATCAGGTGTTACATCAAATCTTCATGCTTGTGATAAGGCATCTTTTGGTTGACCGAAGGAGACGTGTCACATATCGACAGATGGCGATCTTGTTGCTCGAGGCCCAGGTTACTGGTGAAAGTGGTATCCGGGCCATGTGACATACAGAGAACAACAATCGAAGCTGAGTATGCAGAGTTTTGAGGCCCGAATGCAACCTCACGAGCGTCATTAAACTTCAGCAGAATCGTAATTGCAGGCGCCTTATTTCATGTAGTGCCCTATGAGGCAGTGCGGCATAGGCACCAGGCATGGAATCTGTACTTCTCCTGTCTTGCCAAATGTGTATCGCTTTTACCACATGGCGTTTCACTGTTTTCTTGATAGTGTTTTGTGAACATTCACCTCGTGATTTTGATGGATGAAATCATGGATACTTAGCTAGATAGCTGAAGCGACAACCAATCCATATGCCATTCTTCTAATCATCTTGACGAATCCAACCATTATTACAAACCATTGCCAAATACGTTGTCTCGTCAATGAAAGAAAATGCCACATCAATCGGACGTACCTGGTCACATACGATCTTAGATACCACAGAATTCCCAGAAAGAACAAGACGTTCAGAATGACCACCAGAGCGATGTATCCCGATGCTGAAGAATCACCGTCCTTCTCGGGTTTACCAGCATATATCTGTGCAACCAGATTCAGGATGCTCAAAGCCTAGATCTGTCAGTTTGTGTGTTTCCAAGTAAAATGCGGGAAACATACAAATGATGCTGCAGTAATTCGTTGAATCTTACTATTTCCACTCGTTCCCTCATCTCGACCGGCGTTGTCATTATTACGCCGGTTGTCTCCAGAATCGTCATCGCTCTACCCTTGTCAGTACATATCCTCTGTGTTAAGAAGCCCCTATTACGAACTGCGACGATGAGAAGCAAAAAGAAAAAGAAAAGGAAAAGTAATAGGACTACTTACCCCCCCGTCTACTTTATTGTAGGACTCACTGAGCTGCTCAAGATGAACACTGATATCCATCATCTGGGTGCAGAGGGCCTCTATCGCGCGCAGGGACCTCAAAGTACTTATATCGCCCCGTAGACCTTGTTGCAATTCTCCGTAAAGAGTTGTCTCCGGGTCAATGATGGGGTCTGCCAGAAATCTTTCAACCTGTCGATCAGCCTTGAAGTATTTTCGGGAAGCGTTTCCGCCAGTCTCGCATTCTCTGAGGTGGAAGTGCTTCAGCAAAGCCATCACTCCCCACCGATGCTTATGAATGATTAATCCAGGATACCAGGTACACAGAATCCGGATGAACTTCTGTGCGATATGATGGGAGGGGATAGCATACGTATAGGGTCAGACTACTTCTGAGGCATTCTAAGACCTGCCCATGATGCTAAACAATTCTCTGAAGCTGTCTTGTCAAAGCCGTGAGTGAATACGCTTGCGGAGATGTAGTAACTTCAAGGCATGGCTCTGATGTGATGGGATCATCACCTGCATGGTTATTTTCGCCCTCGTTCCCGTGGGGTAACCTCAACTCTTTGCCGGAGAAGTCTTCATCCAGGCAGACAGCGACCCAATAGTTGCTGTTGTGACCGGTAACCAGGAGTGAGTAGACAACTTGATGAAGAATAGCACCACTGCTGAATACTGCATTCCCTTTCTGGTTTACAGGCGGGTTGGGAGTCTCTAGAAATAACAGAGAAAAGTCGTAGCGTGCTCGAAGGTAGTGGTTACCCGTAAGGATGCGGCTGTCTTCGTACTCGCGACTTGTCACAACAAGGAATGGAAGATTAAAGCAAATAGAGAACCTTGTAGTCTGCTAGAAGATTCCAGTGTTAGCGGATAGAAACAATCCAAGCCATATATTGTCACATACAGAGAACTGAAGAGATAATATCGGAGTTGGACTAATTTCGAGGTAGTTTGCCAGAAGGTTACGCAAGTCATCAGCTTGTGATGGCGAGAATGCTCTTAATAGTGCGAGAATACTAGCACCGTTGGGATTGCTGATATATCTGAGAAGACTCAGTATAACAATAAACGTGACGAATCTCTGGATATCGTACATCTTCCAAGGAGGACTGTCCACTTCTTTCATACGCTAGACGTTATGCCTAAGTCAGCTGTGTCGAGCGAGCTTACCGCGCGGTGGACTGACATGGCTTTTGAGCGCCTCATAGAGCTCATAATTATTCAACCCTCGATCGCCGAGGGGCTGATATGGTGCATCATCATGGGAAGTTGAGTGGCGTTCGGATACCCATGCTCTTGGTTCTTGGGTATGCTTCAGTCGAGGGTTATCTGGGACATCGGGAATGAAGTTATCAAGGATGGAGTCTGCCCCTTCGACTCTACTTGGTATTCTATTCCATCGGGACGAGTTGTCGTAAGGCTTTGTGGGAGCCGCATCTGGGCAGGCCGTCGTCTCCTCGTCCGAACGACAGCGGTCTCTCAACTTGAATCCAGTCGTTCTAGTTGAATAAACTGCAGAACTGCCTTTGATCTGGTCGAGGGAACTGTAGAAACTTGGTTTGTAGTTGGGTTTCGGGGAGGAATTCGTTGGGAGGTAGTCAATACTTGCCTCCATGGCGTGGCTGAACTCTGCTATTCCTGGCAGCGAAGAGGCCGGCTTAGTAGAAATCGACTGGAAATTTGAATAGAAAATAAGAATTGTTCAGTGATGGCGGGAGCATGTAGTTTTATGCCAGGTGCTGGTCCCCTCCCACCCACACACACATCCTCCCAGCTGAGCTGCAGCCACCACCAGCAATCACAACACAGCCTGAAAAACAATTCGAAGTTATAGGATATCATATTTCAATGTTGAATCTTGGATATGTACCCGGCACATAACAAGAAGTATCTGTATACAATTCAAGTAAGAACGCACCTCCCGAAGGGTTTCCATTATCATGTGGACCAGCTATATGCACTATCTAAACCTGTGCGTGATGCAGTTTGGGCAGCGAGGCATATTGCAAAAAGGACAAGGATCGACGCTAACTTTCATTCCACCATGACCGCAATAGCACTCGGCGATTGTTAGCCATATGCGTCAAAAGGGAAACCCAGTATGGGATGTAAGATGCGGTATATTATCAGGGCACTTACACAAGTCCAGACCCATACAGCCTTTTTTCTTGGCGGCAATTCGTGGATGGGTACCGCAGGCAACAGTGGAAGGGCAGCTAGAACAAATAACTCGTCAGCCCTGTGCATAAGGGGGGTTGCGGAGCATGGACACTGACCAACAGGTGCTCGATGGCTTGTGAGGCTCAACTCCAACAAGCCAGAACAGGCACGAGGCAGCTGCAGGGTGTTGGGGCCATCATTTCTGACCATTCTCAAGGTGACTGCAGCGAAACGTCGTAGGGTGACTATGACAAGCAAAGTCAATACCATCTCCAGTGTGGCACGTCACGAAATCGAACCCAGCTCATAGCTCTGATCACTTACATGGTTGAGTGTATATATAAACTGAAAGTGCGTAAGTGCGTGAAAGTCAAAGTGGTGGGAGAAGTCTTCGAAATGGCTTGTTATGTATCCTCTGATTAAAGCAGAAGAACGGCGGGCAGCGGCTTTAAAGCTTTATTCCTAAGCCAGATAACCTCTATTTATAATACGAAGACCCTCAATATTGTACTTAACGTGAGTACACCTCAATCTACTTCCTTCCCGTGTTACATCGGTCTGCCGCCGGTTGAACCTCAATGCGCCGATGTCTTGTGATGCTTCTTGCACAGGGATAGCTGCGGCGTGGGACTAACCAGACGGCGCTTGAGCGGTGGCGGGATTGTCAAAATATCCTTTGACACCGACTGACGGGAATCAGGGAGAGTTCAACGCAGAGTGTCTCACAGGCTTAGGCTGCCTTCTGCCGGCTCAACCCTCATCAACTGTGCTTTTGCCGCAGATTGGTGACCTATGCTTCTCTAGTTCGCTTGAGAGAGGGCCAATGGCCTCAATAGTTTGGAGGTACATCCTGGCGTGGAAGAGGGTGTCTCAGAGACCGTGACTTCAAGAGAAAGCCCAATGAGGCTGGTCCGCCAAACACAAATGTCGAAGACAAAGCCCTAGGAACGCCGAGTTCGGAGAGCCTAGGGGCATTGAACTGTGATTGTAGCCTACTCTTTTCTCGCAAAGATATGTTCACGCAGATGTGGAATGCTCAGCTTGGCGGCCTCTGTGTCATTGCTGGGGTCTCGCAATAACCGGTGCACACGCAGTCGTGGATGCTGCGATGCCACCAGTTGGCGTCAGAGCCCTCGGTTAAAGTAAATCAATAATAAACAGACAAAGACATCCTCCAAAACTTCTATTTCTATAGAAGAAGCAAATTGCTCATATTTAGCCTTTATATGTGACCCCTGGGCAAGTTGTTTGTCAACACACCGATCACGAAGCGTGATGCACGATGATGCAGTGGCGTCTGTCTTCAAGATTTAAGACACACGGTTGCAACGGCCGTTGTATTCTTAGACTTGAATTGTATAAAGCGGGTGTATTTTAGATCGAGAATGCGATGCAAACTACCTATTTAGTCTCTTGTGTTACTTACCGCTGGGTGACGTGGAAGCCATGAGCCCATACTGGTTGGTAACTCTGCTGTGCTACCTAGTTACTAAGATTGCTATGTTCTGTCTGGGATTGTACGTATAAGGTAGTTGAGTGATTCGTGGAGGATGGTGGATCGGTTCCTTAATTTGGAAATCGCCACCTCATGTCATGGGCCAATGCCAGTTGTTAACTTACACGCACCCATCTCTACCATTACACGGACACATGACTTTATCGGAATATGTCATACCTTTGACTGCAATCTGGACCTACTAGGATGCATGTAGATCGATGAATCAGAATGAAGAATTCGAAAACACCACATGGGAGGCGCAGATATTGTGCAAGTCAGCCATCTATTCAGCCTTACATGTCGGTTGCGAATCCCACGGCCTGTACTGCCTCACAGAATGCCCCTCAACTTGCCTGGACAAGACGACGCCTAGTGATCATGCTGCACTCTAATTAGGACTAGAAGTCAAATTTTGTGATAAGAGTCTAGCTGTCAGCCTTGGTATACAACTGCTGTTTCGTTAGTTAACTGTCATGTACATACAGGAACGGGGTGTCTAACATTAGTACCTGGTAGGTAGGTAGATGGTGGCCCTTGAGGTCAACACTGCCAGAAACCTAGATTCTTCGACCTAATGCCATTCATTCACATATTCTCGCCGTCATAAGCTGACAAAGGGTTCCAAATGATTAAACTCGCATCCTCATAATCTCTTTAAACCGTACAAATCGGATATCACGTCAAGGCGATCCACTGAATATGCCAAACTCTGCCTCCATGTAGGAACAAGAAATCAAGGCTGCAGGTCTTTCATAAAGCCAAATGACTATAGCCTGCAATTTATGCTTTTTACATGAGTGAGTTCTCAATTCCCGGGTGGGGTAGTCTTATTATCGAGAGTTGAGCTCGTTGTGTTGTTGAGGTTTCTATCTGTGGAGGAGTCCTGACATGTGTGGTCAGATTCATAGGCCCATGCATGAGTCGCGAATCAGTTAAGAAATGTTCTTCAGCAAAGCTCTACAGTTCTCGAGATAGTTGTAGGTAGAAATAGGAAAATCGAGAAGGGACTTTATGTACATTCTATCATCGGAGAAGCACCGAGGGCTTTCCTCCCTCCACACCAGCCTAATTACAACCAATAATTTCCAACAAAGCCCATCCCTTCCCCAAATATGGAGCATCAAGGCACTCACATCTGCATATTTGCAAGGCCTTATAGTCGGACCCAAATCCGATTATTCTCAGACTAAAACCATGTTGCTTGGGAGCCACACCCACGTTTGGCCGCGCCCCAATTCCCTGAGTCGGATGGTAGGCGAGACTGTACACTTTAACATGGGCGACTGTTGACACAACGAGTCTCGCAGTTTGGACATCTATCAAACCCGCAGCGAAAGCACGGATCAACGTTAATCTTCATGCCCCCCTGCCCACAAATGCACTGACAAGTTGAAGTTAGCTCGATAGGTACAAATGTATGGGTCTCATATGACGGGCTATGTGTCAGCCCGCTTCTTTCACCTACACATGTCCATATCCAGACTACCTTTCTTCGAGGAGGTACCTCCCTGAAAGGTGTCCAAGTTCGCAGAAGATGGTCGGTTCTAAGTGGTCGTGAATCATCTCCTTGAGTTAAAGATAAGTCATAATACATGTCTAAGTCAGTCTCCGAGTCAAGGTCGGCGTCAGGTCTCAGACTGGTCTTGGGGCCTGATGCGGTCCGGTTACTGGCTGCAACTGGAAGTTCGTGGTGACCTGCCTGCATCATGTAGGTGAGGCCGATTTGATACATATGTACATATGGTTTGCTTGGAAGCAGATGAAACGTGAATTGGGGGTCTCGAGCTCTTATAAACCCAGGTTGGAACTCGGGTGAAGCAGGGCGCAGTTGCGGAAGAAAGGAATCGGTACATATACCGAAAGATATATAGCAAGACGCATCCTCTGGCGTCTGTCTGACAGTCCGTCATCAAATCAACGGTAGCACTAATATCAGGGCCATTCAGGCTTTGGCTTTTCACGTCACACTGGCTATTCTGTCCGATCCCGGCCCGGACACATGCACACCGACTTGAAAGCTCACAGGGTATTTCTGATCCAATAAGATCTCCTTGGTGCACCTAAGAATACCTAAATAGGACAAAGATGCTACAACCTCATTTGTCTTTGCTCCTGTGCCTTGCAACTAAGACTCGAGTCTTGAAGTCAGTGACACGTAAGAAGCTGTCTCACATACCACCCCAGTTCGCGTGTATTAATCCAGTGCAACTTCGGGCAATACTGGAATTTGTTGTGCAAGAGTTGACCTCCGAGTGTCTTTCCTGTGAGACCGATATTGAGAGGTCAGGTGATGATGGTGTGGATCTAAAACGTGGACGCCAACTCTATCGTCCGCCGTGTCTCTGAAAGGTCCAGTATCTCGGAAACAAGCGTCTTACATAAAAGGTTTAAAAGTCATCTCCTTTCGCAGATTGATAAGCTCCTATCCTCGATAAATACCAAACCTATAATGAAGCCATGGACTATCTCAATCGATCAGTAAGCTGCAGGCATGTGAATATCTTATAATGCATTCGCCGTGGCTTTTTTAGACCGATCAGTCTGGCATTGCCAAACTCTGGCTACGTCAAGAGCTACGCAGCCTGAAGCTGCCTGTTCTTGGGCGTTGGTCGGAGTTCCCCGAGGTTGGGACACAATTCAGCCCAACCAGCACACCAATCATGATATACATACAGCTAGTATCAGAGACCTAATTCCGGACTGTATTCAATAGCCTATAGCGGAATATTCCCTTCCTTTCAAACCTCAGCTGTGTGACGCATCTCTAGGGACAACTCGGAGTTGGAAGAACTCTGAGCTTGTGTAGACGTGGCAGAAGTACTACAGCAAGCAGCAGTCTTGGACATTTTTACTTAGCTTACGAGTGGGCTGAGTGAACAGGGAATTCCTCATACCGAGACTTTATTTGAACTGCAAAGAAGGATTTCCAAGAAATAAAATCTGACCATGTAAGGCTTGTTCATCAGATAAAAGAGAACTCATGCAACTGGGCCGGCAAAGTTTGAGCATTGTGAAGGAACTCAATCCATCTCCATTGGTAAGATGTACTGGATGGCATGAGATAAACAGCCATTTCTTGAGATACGAACCTTGGTGCGTTTCTATGCCGTAAATTCCGTCTGATCATGTGCCAGTGTTCAACTTCTAAACGATGGCTTTAAATAACGATTCGAGTATATCGACTGCTTTCCTCCAACACAAGACCCAGGTGTTGATAAGCTACAATCTCCTAGACCGTGCAAATCTAACGGCCTTATTTTCATTAGCCACTCCAGGGCCATGCCGGTGCCTTGTAAAGCGGAGGGAAACTTAATCCCTGACGGAGGACTCTAAAAAGACGTTGCATCTTACCCTGATCTCTCAATAGCTTCACTTTCATGGAAGGATCTCGCATCCATTGTAATAACCAAATGTTTGGGTTCTTACTAAACTCTGTTGTCTTAGTTTTAATAACGCAAGGCCAAATTGACCCTCGAGACTGAGTTCTCAAGTCACTCTTCTATCGCGGCTTTGTTGAATAAGGCACCAGAGCATAAGCCGATATAGTAGGAACTCCGATTTTGAATCGGCTATCGCCAACCAATCTATACAGCAACCATTTAGGCTAGAGGTTCATTACCCAATCATGATTATCCATATCTCGTATATATCTATAATTCAACTTCAAATATCCTTTCGGGCACCAGACACTCCAAAGTGAGCATAGTCTGGTAGCAGTATGTTCAGAAGCACGTTTGCTTCACTAGCAAAAAGGGAGCAAACTTTTTTCTTTTCATGTCAGCCCTTTCAACTCTGGATTTTATTTAATCTTTACGATAGGTACACTATGAATGTTGTCCCTGTTGCGTTCCGATACACGATAATCTTTGTGGGAGTTTCAACGACCAAGGATCAGGGAACACATTCCAGGAACACAAACCACAAGATCGGCTACGAGATCCAAATTTCTAACGTAAAACATAATATTAGCTTGCAAGGTTATTAAATGATTCAACTGGCTTATCCCGAGAGCTATATACAACATGTCACAACATGTGGTAGCATGTTGAACCAATCTCTCTGATCAGTCTGGTCCCGAACGGGTTGCACACAAACGTGTGCGCACCATACAAAGAACACAAAGTTCCAGACCACTAGCCTTGGTGTCGTTTATTATTGTGAAGCTGATACGACTCTAAATTTGAGTATAGAACTTCAAGCAAAGAATCATTCTGCGCCTTATACTAGGATTCCACACTTGGGATAACAGCAAGAGAAAGAGAGAGCGGAATTGGCGAGCAGGGTGTCCTACACTCTTCTAAAGCTCTCTTTTATTGAGTAACACCAGTCTGTGAAGAGTTCGCTGAGACGGACACCCTGGACCCGAAGTCGATCCCACAACGGGTGACTGTACATCGATTTGCAATGACGGGCCGGCCCGTCGGGTTCATTCCTCAATATTGATACAGGGTGTGCTTATTAGAATATTCTGATATCTAGCCGGCTTGCGCTCTACTTTTATTTGACAAATGATACACAGCAGAAGAAACCTTGCATTATGCAAGAACAGTTCCAAGTAAGGGGGCTTAGTTCCGCTCCACCCCAACAGTCAAATATCGATGCATTAATGCACCGAAAACCACATCTTTCCTCTCCATCTATTTTTTAACATTGCTGAAACTTCTTCGCCTCTTCCTTCGATAAAGTGGCCTCTCAAGTCAGAAATCTGTTACGAAAGTAGATACGATTACCATCCAATACGTGCTAGTTGTTGAATCAAACCTGCAGTGAGTTATGGGAGAAACCCAATAGACACCAAACTAAAGTGAGCTTAGCCTTCAGTTCCTTTGATTCTTGTTTTATTTAGCAGCGGGGAGTGGTAATGGGATCAAAACTGCCCGTAATCGATACAGAAGAGCTTGGTGGCCTCAAGGGTGAGTTGAATGCACCCTTCCTTTCCAATATCTCTCCATGAACTTTCTAGCAGCTAACATAGCATCTTCTCAAGTCAACCAATCGCTGTTTCCCCCAGTTCCTCTGAGAGAAATACCACCACGTAGGAAAGTTGTGTACGTGTGGTTCTGCGTAAGTTTTCACTCGTCCACGGTCAGCCCTTGGCAATTTGACACTATCTAACACTCCTTCAGTGCCAATGCGGTCAAGGGGGAATGAAGGTAAGCGTGGATCCTTGTCCTTATTGTGCAATTCAACGATGTCCGAATTGCGATACAAGACGCTACAATAGTCGGTGAAAGGTTACCAATCTCTCACATGGAGACTAGCTCTTTGTTTGAAAGTATTTTCATGAGCAGTTAGTGTGTATATTTATTGCCCGAAAATAAACTCCTCATATACATCACTTGGGAAGTAAGTGTTGCTTTCTTCCCAAGATCTTCAATAGATACCGGAGCAAATCTGCACCTCCTGATTTGGCCCAAAGCCAGCAGATGCACCTCTGCATAGTTTCAGTCTTTGAGCTGTTCTTGGATTTCTCTTTTATCGTCCCGAGCCTTTCTTTGAAGTATGTCATAAGTGCATTGCCAAGTCGAATGACTCGTCTCCGAATAATGTACAGTATACCAGCTGTGCAGATGACCACAAACAGAACTACCATGGCAATGTACAGTGGCCAGGATTCCGGGTCGTCCTTCTGTGGTTTTCCGCTGTACACTTGAGCAATCAGGGTCAATATGCCAAAAACCTAGCAGATTAGCTTCGTCATCCGATTGTTTTGAAGGCGAGGCTCACAAATGCTGCAATGGTAAACTCCTGGTTCCTTTTCTCCCTATCCTTTTGCTCGTCTGCATGGTCAAACTTTTTCTGAAACCTATCGTTAATACACTCGACTAGTGCGTGAAGCCGGGTGGCCTACCTCTCGTCTTAGCTCTTCAAAGGTTTCTTTTATTTGCTCAAGTTTGCCCCCGGTAGCTCGCAACCTGTAGAGTGAGTCTTTGATAGAGCGAAGAGACTTCATGGCCTTTGCGTTATTACGTAGGCTTTGCCATAACACTCCTTGGGGCGCTCCATCCGGGTTAACCTGCACTTCTTTCGCCAGGAAATCATCCACGGCCTCGATTAGCTTCGAGTTGCAGAAAATCACCTTACCCAGCAGTTCAGAAAATCCCTTCCAGGCTGGTTTGACTGAAGGGTATATGTTTTCCACAGATCCATCTCTTGCACTAGACATCTGCCAGGGGGTTAGCGGTGCAAACGTGACGAGATACTTTTGCTTTCTCGAAGAAAGCCCACTCCAAAGAGATCAGGCAGGGAGTTATGGCTCACATAAATATCCAAATTATGCTTGAAAACTTCGTGGACATGGGCATGGTATCCCAATATCTTGTCAAGCTGTTTTGCCAATGCTGCAAGAGAGTATTGCCGGGGGAGCCACATGTTCATGAGCCCCTTGAGCTCCGCTTCATCTATGATGGGGTCGACGCTCACGTCTAGGCTCTCACCTTCATCTTCATCCTCACTTTCTTCATCTTCATCGCTGCTTTCATCCTCGTCCTCTTCAAAAAAGTTCTCGTCGAAGCAATATGTAGTCCAGTGCGGCTCACTTGGGCCCGTCGTGATCAGTGCGTACACCGCTTCATGTAAGACGAGCTTCTTTTGAAACGAGAAGTTTTCGCCACATCCTAGACGCGATCGCGGATCCTGTAGGTTCAGGGAATCAAGGGGGTATCTGGCACGAAACTTGTGCTTGCTGGTATGGAAGACTCGCTTATCCTGTTTTTCCGAAGGTCCAATAGCGAAAAAGGGAAGATTGAAATTGAGAACGAAACTCGCATTCCAAAAGTCCTATAGGAAGAGCATGGTTAGTGCCTGGGATCTAAATTCGCCTTTGCATCCACTTACCGAAACTCTCAGTGACAGATTCGGAGTTGGGCTTGACGAGATGTAGTTTGAGAGAAGGTCTCGAAGACCATCAGCATGGGGATGTGGCGCTGTTCGCAGGATTGCTAACACACTCGCACCATCTGGATTATTGATATACCTATCCAAGTCAGAAAAGGTCAACAGCACAGTAGCTGGCCAGGTTGGGACTTACACCTGTCGAGCTGGCCCAATCATCTCCCCTGTCGAGTTGAGTCGGAAACGCTAGATTTACCAGTAAGTATGCAGCTCTTGAAAGACAGGAAGTAAATAAAGCGCTCGCAACCACGCACCTCGTTCTTCAAGACCTGGTAGAACCCAAGACGGTCCAACACTTGGCCATACCAATGCTCCTGTGCTATCCCGTCCTGAGAAAGCCAGTAGTTTCGATCCGAGACCCATGCTTCTGGTCCGTTCTCTTTCGGCAACTGGTTGTCCTGAGCTCTGTCTTGAACAGGATTGTCAAGAATCTCATCGGCGCCCTGACAAAAGGCTTCAACACAGAGTGTATCATGTTCCCAGTGGAGTAGGCCTGGATTGCGGTCCATGAATGCCGAGATCTCTGAGAAATCATAGCCGGACCTTTCTTTGATAACCTCGACAAAGGGCTTATTGTGTTCCACGGCTGAGATCTTGTATCTGTCGATCTTAGACTGGTCTCTCCATTCATCTGGTCCATCCCATATGGCACCCTTAACCCAGGCATAGTAACTTGCAGCGCGTGAGAATTTACTATGAGCTGGAGAGGCTATTGGGAGAGTTGTGTTCCGTCTAAGCAGCTGCATATCTCAGCTTTGGCAGCAGATATCTCTGTCACATCAATTATTGTTAGTCGGTGAGTCAAAGATTCTTTTCGTATTGGACAAAAGCTTATGTGTAAATCATCACTCCTGTACAAAAAACAAACTAAACGTGGGAGTTTTGAATCTTCCAACTCTCCCAACGAACAAGTGTGATATAGTAAAGAAACTGTCATGTCTTCTCTTCCTCTCCTTCCTCTCCTTCTCTGGCCAGATCTCCAACCAAAATCGTACGTACTGGCAGAAATAACCCGAGGTTCAGTTTTGTATCAGCTCCTTGAAGGATGATCTCAGGGGGCGTATAGTTCGGTTGGCGAGATAAATATGTTAATGTAGATAAGGGAAGTCGGCAAGACAGGTCCTCAGATTCGGGATAAGGATTAGATGTGTTTAATCTGCTATTGAAGCGTCTTGTATCACAGTTGGCACACCTTGGAACTCCACAGTATGGACAAGGATCGACTGTTATCTTCATTCCGCCGTGGCCGCACTGACACTGAGGGAGTGTTAGAAGATATATATACATTTCCAAGACTAGTAAGAGCGCGGGTGTTGAGGAAACTAGCAATAGTTGCCTGAGTCTCATGAATTGCACTTCTGATCGAATTTACTCACACAAATCCATACGTATACAACCTTCTTACGAGGAGCGAGCTCGTTGAAGGGAGTCTGGAAGTAGAGGGTAGGAGGCGCAGCTTTAAGGCCACCAATGTCAACCTATGGAATCCCCAGCCATAGTGGCGTGTATAATGAGAGGAGATGGGGCGTACAGTTGAGAAAAAATATAGGGGGCCTCAAACAAAGATTACGCCAATCGGTGACAGCGAGGGTTGAATTGCGATTCTCTGCCTCATTGAGCCAGAAGTCAGCTTCATGAATATATGCTGTCGCCTTGAGTTTTAGTCTAGTCAGCCCTCTGTAGTGAGTGGTCTGATGACCAAAGCCCGCACCTTTTCTTGGATATTTCGAAAAGTTGACGTTGGAGGTGATGGTGATGCCATTGGACTTTTTTTCCTTTTCCTTTTGTTTTTGTTTTTTCCTGACATTTACACCCTTGATGAGATTCGTTGGAGTCGTCTAAAGAAACCTAAAAAAGAAGGATACTTCCAATAAGGCAAACAAACATAGAGCCCAGGGGGTGGGTTCGGGGGTTATTAAAGCTATATAAGGCTCACCCCTGTATGTACATGCATCTCGACTATCGGGGTCCATCATCTCCGAGTCATGGTCATCGCATCTGTTGGCTTGTTTTGTGTGCTATTGACTGGCACTTGGTCGATGGCGGGCTACATACGGTGAAGCAGCAAGTGTTGAACTATTGCCTTATGTGTTGTACAATCTCTTCTCCATTCCGCAGGGTCTTACTACACCGGTCAGTCGGAATTCAATTTTATCCAGTCGTATTCGCATGGGTGGCGTCAGTGAACTGTCGGCACAAGATGTTAATATTAAGAAATGAGATGAGTACAAGGTGGAAACAAACCCTAAAATTGTCTTGAGAGCTTGGTACGACAGAGACATATTTATAGAGATGGTCTCAAGCTTGCAATTTGATAAAATTTGTTGCCTCACATTTGTTGTCTCACATTTATTGTCTCACGGCCAGCGAATTCGTATAAGTGACAGGTAGGGATCAGCCATGTTTCCGTCCGAATTGTGCATCATTGCACAGCATTCACCGAGAAGTGTACTCGGACCCCGAAAGATAGTAGACACCATCAACTACGCGCTGCTGCCCAACACTACAGACGACGTGTTGCGTTTATCAATGTACGATTATCACATGATGCACGAGTGTCACAAAAGCGGTCAGGTAGCTTCGAAGCCCAATGCAACTCTTTCAACCTTATTAACCACGGGGGAATTTACGAGCCCTATTTTTTCTCCACGCTTTGAGACAAAACTTCAGGTTCTGTGGCTTATGCAGTTAGACCGTATCGGGAATATGTATTCAGGGGTATGTTAATAGGTACCTGGCAGCATGCACCGCGGCAAGATATATTGCTTTTTGTGCAACAATAATTAACTAGGTGTTTACATCTGCTGCTCGAAATTGCCCATTGAACTCATGACGACGGCTCCCCAGTCTAGATAGCCGTCAAACCATATTGACGGGTCCACACCTTGCAGCATTTCCGATGACCACGGCATTTCGGGATGCCAGTCAGGCATACCAACACCTGTGTTCGAGTCGTCACCCAATGGTGGCATTGCGCTAGTGCCAGCAGTTCGTCCAATGTCGCACGAACTACTCTCGGCCATATCTGTGTCTTGGACGTCATCGTGGATCTTGAGCGCTTCTGTCCCAGCGGCGACAATCTCGGCCCATCTTTCCAGCTTTGCCCTTGTGATCTTGACTTTGATGGCGCTCATGCTCCAGAGGTTGTGGTCCGATGAACCAGGCTCCGTCGACGCCATCTGGAATGATGCGTTGGCCTCTTCAAATCGTGCGCAGATAGCGGATAGTATCCCTGTGACATCAAGGGAGAGTCCTGGTTGGGTCTGGATCTGTGACCGAAGAGCGGCCACAGCAGCTGGCAGTCTCGGATCTGTACCCTCCCGCAGCGAAATCGGACTGGTTTCATGAGAATCTCTTCCCGTCGTTACTGAGGGCGTTGCCACTGACGGGCTGACACTCGCCGAGTATGCAGAGTCGGCCTTGTAAATGTCATCATGAGGGTCTCGTGCGCTTGTGTCTTGCGGCATCGGTGTAGTAGCCTTTGTCAAAGGGATCGGGGCCGTGTATTTGGCCCAGCGACCGAGCATTGTCATCCCGTAAACCAGTTGTGCAACAACTGGTGTTGTCTGATTGTAAAACTCTGGAATTGGGACTGTAAGCCAATCATCGAAGAACTTCTTTAAGGCGTTCCTTGACTGGTAAAAGATGTCAAGAGCTGAAGCAGCCCCTAGTGTTGGAGACGTCAGTGATTCTGACATTGAGATAATTCGAGGGGCATCAAGTATAGGAGGTTCATATAACCGGAGCATGGCCGTATTTAGAAACATATTTATCACTCCTGCAAAAGTCGATATCAGTGGATTGGTAGTACAATTTCTCAATCCTAGAACTCACTGTCGTTTTGAAGCTCAGGAGATAGCCCACTTCTGATTCTGTCGAGCTCACCATGGAACGCAGAAACGTAGGCTGATAATGGTGCTGCTGGTAGACCAACAACTTCTTCAGCTGGGTCATCTGGAGCGTTAAGTTGTGCGATCCTCTCCGTCAAATGCTGAACACGAACCAGCGTCACGAGGCGCATGTCTGTGTCATACTCCCTTTCCTGCTCAAGAACAGCCAGGCATTGCTGGATGTATTTGGTGTACCGCATGGGTTCTATCCGTAGGAAACCAAGAGACATTCTAACAACAGTTAGTCCCAAAAGAACCGATCAGTGAGTGATAGTGGTGAAACTCACGATGAAGATAGATACCACACCCCTAACAAGGCTCTCCTCTCCTCGTTAGTCCTTGCTGCCGGTTGGAATGGTGTCACAACCATCAAGCTGGTCCGCTCAAGAACACTCGGACTGCGGTGCAAGCCCAACTCGCCCACGAGGGTAGAGGCCAAGGCAATCAAGTTGTTTAGCTGTGCGTGCATGAAGCAGTGATACTTATACCACGCAATTATGACAACGATTCCAAGTAATAAGTCCAAGGATCGCTCGGAGCGGATGAGCATGTGGTCTCCTATGTACTTCATCAGATGATACATCTGAGCCCGCATCGACCTTAGACTGCGATAAGATGTAACCATACGGATGGCTGACATGAGAAAAGGCCGCGTCGTCTTGAGTTTCGCTGCTGTGACTCCATCAGGGATGACGACGAACGGGTGAAGAGCCTGCAACTCTTTTCGATAGAGCTTCAAGAGCTCCTCGTCTGAGGCCGGAGGAGGGGGAGCCACCCCACTGGTCTGTCTGCAGATACATTGTGGAGGAGCATATGAGTTGTAAGTATCAGGTATTGACCATTCTGCTGTCTCAGGAAAGAGCGAAGAATCCCTCTCTTTCGTTGAAGGCTTCCTTTGATCAGCAGTGGTAGGGTCAACTTCAGTTGGGATGCAAGTAGTGTCTGTTGCAAGATCGGCATTGGTGAGGCCACCTGCTTTGAGAAGATTGACTAGTCCGTTTAGTCTCTCTTCTATTTGAGCAGTTCGTCTAAATCATGTCAGTGGCTGACGATATGTGGACGCGGTGTGTTATGAGGGTTAACTTACGATGGTTTGACAGTTCTCTTTTTCCGGGGTCGATGAACCTGCTCTGTACAATTCTTGACTAGTCGTTCACATCTGCAAAGCATGTGTCAGTCCCATTTTCCCTTTTCAACCGCGGTCCCGGGATTAATTATGGAGAGGCTCCGTAATGGCCGCCGAAGATCCGGTCATAGGCCTCCGGAAATCTCGGGCCCTTCGGAGCCGCATCCCACGTGGCTCAAACTGTCCGAGAAGTAATTGAAACGTAGAAAGGGGGTTAAAAATATGCTTACCTATCGCACTTTGATCCAGGAGTGTTATTTGACCGTATACACTTGGCTTTCGCTGTAGAACACTGTGCACAAGCAGCGCCCCATTTAGCCGTTGCGGGCTTGGGTCTGTCTGTGTTGGAGGATATCATAACTGGGATCTGCCGTGCATAAAGAGCTTGCAGGAGAGGAATGGAAGGCGGTGTACACTGACAAGTCCGGCGGACTTTTGACGAAAAGCAGAAAAACCCGGTTCTTTAAGTCGTGTAGTATTAGCTAGTATTTATCAGTAGGTTAATAAGGGAAGACGTCGAAACCGGGATGGGGCGGCTTGGAATCGGTTGGTGTAGGGTGGGTCCAGGGGTTTCAGCTGCAAGAGCCTCATAACGCCATGTCGGGTCGGAATTGGAGAGTGAATGCCGGTTCAAGCTTAGAAATACATTGATAAGAATCGAAAACGGACTTGATTGAGTCGCTGGATCAGTAGCGGTGTTATATCAACGTGTTCTTCTTATCAAGTATCAATCATCAAGCTGGTGATGTTGCATGATATCATCAAAGCTCGATTCGAAATCCGCTATTCATACTTATCAGCTCCACTAACAGAAGCATGTGCTGGAGTATAATTTTGATGAGCTTGCCTGAGCTGCTCATATCAGCGGGTGCTTGATGAAAGACCATGGGACTGCCAAGATATATATACAAGCTCTATTGGCGGGTTCCTATGAAATAACTCATCTCAACAGGAAACACCCATCACCAAGAGCAACGATCGTTCATCAAGACGCAAATATCCAATTCACACGAGGCGGAGCAAGCACTTAAACATAACAGCATCACATCATATGGACCGATAAGGAACAATATTAGAAGACCAGGAGCCCTGCTCAACACACGTCATGGCATGTCCAAGCTCAGAAAACCATCATGTGAAAGAGGATCAGCATTCGTTAACTCATCACGACATGTGAAAAGGCACTCTCATAAGTCGAATAGTTGCATGCTCTTGTACTCAATGAACTGGTCGCAAAAATCGAAACGCATTCTAACAAAAGAAGCCCCTTATCGAGGCACCTGATACAAGCTCCTAGCCTTTGTACGCCCGTATGTCAAATACACCATATGATGATACATGCCGCCCTGGAGTCATTATGTTGTGAAAACTCCCCGAGTCGGCTTACACAACTCCAGCAGCCCGACAGTTCCCATAATTCTCCCCATCTCCTCCACTCTATCTTTACTTGGACCGCGACACACCAGCGCCAATCACTCCAGGAAGCTTCTCCTCACCGACACTGAAGAGCATGCCAATAGCCATGTACAGAATGGTAAGGAGAGCAATGGTGAAGCCAGCAAAGAGCCAGAACTGGACACTGATGTCCTGCTTCTGGCACATGCTACCACCCCAGTGAGTGACACTGCCACTCTCGGACTTGGTAACTTGGCAGTGGCAGACGAAGCAAGAGTCCTTGCTTTGACCATATTTGTTCAGGCACTTTCCATGGCCTGTGCAGTTGCCGGTAGCTTCCATACAGCTGTCCTCTGAGGTGAAGCATACAGCTTTAATGGGGTTCGAAGGCTTCGCCGGGGTGGTAGAGGTTTCGGCCGGTGACTCGGCTGTCTCTTCAATAGACGAGATAACGGTCTCAGCCTGTCGACGTCGAAGCTCTTGATCCTTGTCGGACTTGTCCTCAGAGTCGACGTTGACGGGGAGGAAAACCAGGATGGTCTGCAGTTCGCCTGACTCGGCGAGCTTCTGAAGCTTGGGAAGCTCGTTTAGTAGGGTAGTGGGGTGGTCGCCATCCTTATCGCGCTGTTAGAAAATAACTTGGTGTAATATAAATGATAGGATTTACTTACCTGTGACCTGCTGTATGACGCATAAGCCGATTGACCGTTGAAACACTTCCCGTCTAAGGCAACTATCTGGCTCAGGGGACACTCGGGCATCTTGGCAAGGACATTTGCGAAGACCTCAGGATGCTCGCCATTCTCCTTGCTAATATCCGTGGTGAAGTCGGGCTGTGTGTTAAATAGCCAGCCAAAGAATGATTCGTATTCGAAGGAGGGCATTCCCTCAATGGTAATAGCGAGCTGGCGCGGCGTCGCGATCTTCTCATCAGAAAGCAATGGCGCAGGGGCCTTTCCAAACTTGTTCATTAAAGAAACGACATGCTCTTCATCGTCAGAGGCTGTGAGATCGCGAAATGAAAAGTCCTGTCCCTCGGGGGCGAGGCGCTGGTAGAGGATGAGACGGGCTTCGCTGGGGGTGATACTCGTCGTAGGCTCGATGTGATGGGATCCTCGGAGGATGTAAACTTTGGTACCGTCAGCGGCGGGTTGTTGAGATGCAGCAGCAATGCCTGCAAAGGCTGCACTGAGTCCAATGTTGAGCTTCATTTTTGATGCGGATTGATGAAGCTTGGTTGTCTTGAGGCTGAAGCCAGGCTGAGATAGCTTTACGTCGCAAGCTTGATACAGGCAACGCGAATCCGGGATGATGCACGTGTTGGGTTGCGGCCGGGTCTCGAGTTGTTCCGTCATACAGTGCGTCAGGCCCCCAATTAGAGCGTTACAGTGGCGACTGAAACAGTGTTTAGCGTATTTGGCACAGTCTCGCCGATTACACTACCTACCTAGGTATCAAGCTAATCGTAACCGTGGGACAGCAGTTTAGCATTGCAATTCTTGTTGTCGACAATCTCACGATGCATGTCATTCCTTGAATTAATAATCCAGTAGCGAGACTAATCGCATCTTCTCTTCTTACAACTTGAGCACTTCTTATTCGGTATCCTCGTCCGCGGCAGCGGCAGAGGAGGCGATATGTTAGCTCGGCAAACTGTTCTGCGACAAGCAGCTCTCCCCACGTCGAGATTCCAAACCCAACGAATAGTCGCCAGCCAGATCCGACCTCTTAACAGGCGAATATCGTTCTTGCCATGGCGTCAAAGGCAATCGAATCCTATACCGGTCTACTTCTCTAAGCCCAATCCTTCGACAAGCGCCAACAAGGTGAACCCAGTCTACCACGGAAGCGCAAACCAGGCGGGGTCCGAGGAAGTCAAGAGAACACTGAGAAAGGCGAAATGGGCTGTCTTCCGATATCGAATCCGGTATGTCTGGCAGCTTCGAAGCTGTCATGGTTGAGCGAACCGTGATGCTAACCCTCCGCGAAGCCGAGCGATCTTCACGACTATTGTACTCTATGCTTGTTGGCAAATCTTCATTGCCGTCGTATTCGATCCCATATTCGACTGGGCTGACGCAGAATGGGAGGCACTTTCTGAAAAGGAGAAAGAGGAAGCCGAGGCCCTCCACGACCCTGACGAGCCGTTGGTATTTCTCCCGTTCCCCTTCACAACCACAGAAGTCAAGCAACCACCATATCGAGGTTCGGACCCAGAGTGGCAAACATTCGTCAAAGTTAGTCAGGATAAAAAGCTTCTTCAGGAGATCAAGAGTAAGTGAAGCCAGTTCGAGGGGGTTTCACGTTCTGACGCTTGCATAGGTGGTCTGGCAAACGAGATCAAGCGTGGCGTTGAGCGAAACCCTGCCTTCAATAAGCTTCTTGGTGGAGAAATAACCGTGAGGAAGTACTGGCTCGACATCATCTTCCCGCCTGCTCCTCCACCGATACACTATGTCTCTGGGTGAGTCTTCAACCTACACATGATATACGTTGGCTCATCCAATAAAGAATTATGATTGACGAAGAGGGCATTTTCTGGGGTGATCGACCCATCGACTCGATTGCTGCTAGCTTTCTTGCTAAAGCACTTTACCCCAAAGCTCTTGCTATGGGTTGCTGGACCTTTGTCAGCTTCTTGACGAAGCAGGTAGTGCTAGATATCTCAAAAGCGATCGGCTTAAGTGAACCTGATCCCCCAGCATCTGGCTGGCACCAATTGCCAGTGGGCAACCTCCCTGGCATAATTCCACCTCCGGCTGCCACCAGAACAGCAGTCCAGCACGATCCCAAGGCACATACTGCACATCTCCCCCCAGTCTTCAATGAGATCATTAGCGCTGCATTTGGTCCAGACGCAAAACTCGATCCCCGTCTTCAAGCTGCTAGCATGGCTGGCGCTCTCGCCTTTCTGCGCCATTGGAAGCCTACCAAGAGCCTGCCCGGCAGGGGATGCATCAGAGTTGACGGTATCGTTGAACTCAAGGGAAAGACTGCGGTCATGGCAGTTCTCGTTGCGGGTTACTACGATCCCAAGACTCGTCAGTACGTGGCTGTCCAGACCATGCTCAAGCACTTGATGCAGCTGAAACAACGGCCTGCGCCTGGCTAGACTTGTATCACAAAACAAAATAAATTTCGGAAATTATGCAGGGCTTGGCTTGGCATGGCGTGGCGCATGGAACAGGTTTGGCTTGAGATACCATAGGAGATTTAGAATATCAGCGTTTGATATTGCCTTGTTCTACCCTACCCAGTTAACTTGTGCTGTGAAATGATGCAGCATCAACGTGCAAATGCTCCCTATAAGCCTATTCTTTAGGCAAATTCACAAAGAAAAGAAAGAAAAAAGCATCCGTATACCCGCCCAACACCAGTACCACCCTATGCCTTCCCATATCCTGCTCATAAAAGGCATCGTTGGATATTGTTCGTACTCGCAAACACTTCCCTCATCCAATTCAGAGAACTAGTTACCATGACTAGATTTAGTAAGCGGTCTTGAAATTTCCCATGCAGAAGCCTGATTTCTCCCATGCGCTGACTGATGACGTTGGTAGTGTTAATTCCTGAGGACGTTGATCGAGATGGTGAAAACTTCTAATTCAACCTCCGGACCGCCTGGAACACGCTCATCTCGTGGAATGGCAGCGATGAGATGTGACTCGAGTACGTTGAGCCCTGGATGTAACATTGCCTCAAAAGCGCGCTCGTGAGGTTGCTGGCCAGGAGCTTGGTGATGAATGGGCTTGAGTGGCTGCTTGTTAACCAGTGTCCAGAGGCTGTATTGTCTAGTCTGTAAATGGCTGGGTATTGCGGTGACGGCAAGAATCCGGGTGAGATGGGGAGGTAGGTTAAGAGTGGCAGACTGCTCCATCTCCTTGGGGTTGGGTCTGATGGTTGCCAGTACAGGGCTGTGTGATTGGAGAGTGGGATGAACCTGAATCTTCATACTCTCAATGAGAGCATCGTCGATACCTAGATTTGTTAGTGTTTGCGGCTTGGAAATGTGTTTGGGTAGAATACCTTTACCAGGACGACGAGGATGCTTCTGGTCCATATACCCGTTAACAAGCGGATTGGTGATTGGTTGGGGCGGCGGCACGGGTGCAGGAGCAGGGACAGCAACGGGAGCAGCCGCAGGAACCGAAGGAGTCGCTTGGCTAGGTGCAGCGCTAGGCGGTTGTGACGGAACTGCTGGCGATGCCCTTGAGGCCTCCTCTGGCCTGAGAGCACTCTGTACAGAAGGACTAGGAGATGGCACGGCAGATAACGATGTACTCCTAGCCTTTTCCAATTGAGGGTTGACAGCTTGAGCAGGCGTTGAAGTGCGTGCCGTGCCGTTCACAGTCTGACCATTTGTCAACGCCCCCTTCGATTGAGCTGGCGCTGGTGAATCCGCAGAATCTCGCTGGCCTCCAACATGGATGGTGATCTTTTTGGGCCCAGGTGTAGGCGTCTCACTGGATCCGCCAACCTTTAGTTTAATCTTCGGTTGAGAAGGTTCAGTTACAACAGCTTGTGCTTGTTTTAACTGATCATAAAAGAATTTCTGCAACGCGGTTAGAGATGTTGATAAACACAGGCGAAATGATACTGACCTCGAGATCCTGCGCAACCAAGTAGATTTCACTACCTTCTTCATTGTAAAAGTACGCGTTGGTCCACAATAGCTTGGCCTTCTCCTCAAAAGCGGCCCATGACTTGAAATCGCTAACTCCAGTTGAGCCACCACGACCGTGGAAACCCTTGACCGCCTTCTGCAGTTTTCGGATCGACATGGGGTCACTGATAACCTTGAAATACTCTTTGAGAGACCGAGGCGGTAGGTTGATGAAAGCTTCGAAGTAAGGGCCATCATATCCAGGGTCTTCGCGTCGGATAAGCTCCTCGATGAGCTTTTCCTGGGCTTGCTGAAATGATAATCCCTTATAGGGTACATCTTCATAGACGTGGTCTGGCTTTGCGGCTGGCGCTGCTGGCTTCGGGGTCTCTTTGCCTCGAGTGGACGCCCTTCGACCAGGTGTACGACCAGGTGTTCTCCGCTTGAGTGTAATGGTTCGTCTACGAGAGCTTGGCGCCTCTTCCTCTTCCTCGTCCTCTTCATCCTCGTCGTCTTTTTCTTCCTCGGGCTCATCTTCATCGTCGTTCTCGTTGTCATTCATTTCTTCGTCCTCGTTGTCTTCATTGGCCTCCTCGTCATCATCGTCCGGGAACGGGGTCGGCACAGCCTGATAACCTCTGACATGATATGCCGGATTTTTCTTGGTCATGTAGTTGCTGACAGCCTTTCTCAATCGTTCCGCATCTTCATATATCTCGGTTCCCCGAGGGTAGAACTCCTTCGCGTTGCTGATCATACGCTTGAAGTAGCCCTCAAGCTCGGACAAGTTCTCGAATTCGCCATCGTTCAGTTTCTGCTCGATCATGGATAATGAGATGGGCATGCGTGTTTGTTCGTAATAGTCTGCATTTTCCTCGCGGGATGGAAGTTCTTCGAAATTGGTTGCGACAAGACGCCCACTATAGGATGAGTCAGTACGGTAACGGTAATTGGAAATCTGGTTGGAATTACGCTTTGTCGGCAGTTTTTCGAATATGCTCTAGGAAAGACAGACCATATGTAGTTGTCGATTCTCGAGATTCGCCTTTGGAAAGATCGAAATCGCCCTGGAACCCAAGGTCAGTCAATAAATCGATGGAGTGATGGCTGATTGACAGAGGTTGTCAAGTCGTGCTATGGGGGGATCTGCGTGAACTGGAAATATTCAGATTCGCGAGAAGCGACAGGTCGGACTTACAGTAAGTCTGCGACGCTTAGAGCCTCTGTCGTCGTTGTCGACTGCTGCAGTACCATTGGCCTTGCGTTTGCTGTCCATTGTGATTATAATCGATAGGGTCGCCTAATCGAGCGCATCAAAGATGATTACGGTATGTTTCCCTTGAGGATTTCGTTGGGACGCAATTGAGGATCGCAAACCTGGAGATCGAGGTCGTTTGCGACGGCGCTTGTGTGGATTTTGACGCGTGCGATCCAATGGTCGCGTCAAGCAAGATACCAAGTCCAGGGTCGGAGCTCAAAAAATCAGGGCAGAAATTAGAGGATGCACCGTATAAAATGCACCGTTCGAATGTTTTGCAGGCTCCCGTTTTGCTTTAGGCTATCGCGGGTCTATGCAGGCCCTACAAATGCTCCGGTGCTGGCGATTTTGATGTGGTGGTAAATGGGGCTGGCTTCTTTGGAGCTGAGGGCGAGGTTTGGAGGCACATTCAATGGATCCAATGCTAGTGGTGGCCCGTGGAGGTACGGTATCCACTTGGACCTGCCGAGAAGTTATTATGTGTGCCTGAAAACGGGTTAAGGCAACAAGGCAGACATTGATAATGGAATTCAACAATATTGAATGTCAACAGACAATAAGGACTATTACTCGGCACAATTCATACATGTTGCATTGATAGTGACGCCTCTGTGGTGCTATTGTTCTCACACGCTTCAGGCCTCATGCATCGAACTTGAAAGGCACCCATGATACGAATGAAAGGAGATCGCCTACGCTATGATCGCTTCAGATGTATCATGAAAACTATACTTTGAAGAATATGCACAATTAAATCCAAATCAATCTAATGATTTTCAGAAGTAGATAGTGAGCGAATAGGGGAATGCACTTGTCTTCGAAGAGACTATAGGTATTTCAATTCCAAGCTTTTAAACACTCAACTCATAACCAAAGAAAAGTAAATAAGAATTGCCATGATGAGCACAAAGTCGTTATGAGGGGCCGTTTTAGAGGCTGGGAGCCCAGTCAAACGGGGCACTGCCTACCTAGACTGCTAAGCTCAAAGCTCCCATTATTCAACCCCACATTGACCTCATTATCAAGATTCAGATCTCATCTCAGGGACTGTAACCTTTACAACTTCGCTTCACCAGCACAAGGAATTAAAGTAGCCAGACAAGATGGCTGACACACCAAGCGAACCACCTCCTGACTATGAAAAGTCCACCGCCACTCAGGGCACCCCCCAGCGGCCTTTACGGAAAGGTCCTATACCGCTAGAACTCCCAATTCTTAAGCATCTCAACGGCAAGAGAGTGATTCTTGCATCTGCCTCACCGCGAAGAAAGGCATTGCTCCAACAGGTGAGCCAAAGACATCCGAGTTAACGCCAATGGCCTTTTTCTCACAATACATAGTTTGGCCTTACAAACCTTGAGATTCTCCCATCCACGAAACCCGAGAATCTCGACAAGGCTGCATTAGGTCCTTACGAGTATGTAGCTGCAACTGCTCACCAAAAGTGCATGGACGTTTATACTACCGCACTTGAAGTTCATCTGAAATCTATACCGGATCCTGATCTGGTCATTGCTGCGGACACTGTTATCGTTACCAAGGATGGTCGAATTCTGGAGAAGCCTCGAAGTGAAGCTGATCACCTTCGCATGCTCAAGCATCTGCGAGACCAGAGAATGCACAAGGTCTTGACGTCGATTGTAGTAATCGCGCCAAGAGAAGACGCGAGACATCCGGGCTATGTCATCGATACCTACACAGAAGAGACCAAGGTGTACTTCTTGAGTGAATCTGAAGGTCTCCCTGATGATGTGATTGAAGCGTATGTCAAGACTCGTGAGGGTGCGGATAAGGCCGGTGGCTACGCTGTGCAAGGCGTGGGCGGCATGTTGCTTGTCGAGAAGCTTGACGGAAGCGTCGACAACGTCGTTGGACTTCCAGTGAGAAAATGCATGGCTATGGCGGAGAAAGTTATATTCAGGCAGGAAGAGGAGGACTTTGAAGGTGAAGGGGAGGAGGAGGACTAGGTGTTGAGTAAGAATAGAGGATACCAGGGAAATAGAATGGATACTCATGCAATTTAACGAGCTACACAATGTGGCTTGAGCATTCCCCATTTTGTCAGTCCTTTATTTCTCCCTGGCTTCTTCTAAGTTATACGGGTTTCCAGAAGTGTTCTTTGAAGCTGATAGGTGCAAAATGGTTCTGTCCCGTCATCGTGGACCCAAGGTCTCAGCACCAGAGGACATATGATACCCGGTCCTCATGACTCCTGAGCTGAGCTAACAGACAGATTGCATTAACAAGGACAAGCTGCCTTTGTAGTGTCGAGCAACCCAGTTTGAGCCTCATGGATGTACTGAGAACGGTAGAGTGAAGTTACATAATTACATAATTATCATGACTAAATTTAGAATATTGGTGTTGCAGATCAGGAACAAACCAACCCAAGACATGATTCAATCGCCAAACCAGGAGAACGCCGCCTTCCATATTGGATGTCAATATGCAAGGACCAGGCAGACTAAGGGTCCTGTAGTGTGGTTTTCACATGGAAAATCCGGGGCAGCACCCTTGCACGTCATTTGCGACCTACATATCCTCTCTCACATGAAAGTTCTATGCGCATCTTGACAAATTTTGCACGTTTGTTTGTTTGTTTGTTTGTTTGTTTACGTCTCACTACCATTCTCCTCACTATCACTACTCAGCCAAAAGATGTCGTCTCCAAATAACAAGTCTCCAGCCAATGGCGATGCCGGGGCCGCCGATGAGAAACCACGACTCACCGAGGAGGAAAAGAAGCAGAACCATATCGCATCTGGTATGTTCACTGTTTACACGTGATATTTGCTGTCGCATGATATCTGAGATGCTCTTGAGTATTCTTTGAGATGATATTTGCTAATGCGCCTCAATCAGAGCAGAAGCGACGCCAAGCGATTCGTGAAGGCTTCGACCGCTTAACTGAACTGGTCCCTGGCTTAGAAGGCCAGGGGAGATCCGAAGGCCTGGTGCTGAAGCGGACAGTTGACTATATGCGTGAGCAGCTCTCAGAGAGGCAGGCCATGGTTGATCGTATTGAACAGGCTGGCGGTGATGTCGATGAGAAACACAAGAAGTGAGTCGGGTGACCACTTTGCGATGAACAAACCAGGTACTAACTGTCTTTCAAGGGCGCTATATCAACAGGCGGCGAACCCAGGTCGCACTAGGGGATGATTTCGCACTTGGATGGTCTTCATAGCTACCGCACGTCAAGAGTTCGAACAGACTCAACGACGTTGGGCATTGAACCGATGGAACTGATTGACTGTCGCATATCAGCCTGACCATCCTAAATGTGATAGCAACGAGCCGCGCCACGATGGCAGCGCCGCGCTATCAGCATGATTAGGGAAGAAAGACTGATATAGAGACTATTGCATCATACAAATGTGGTTTTACAGTTATTATTACACGACATCGCATCTCTAAGTCTAGGCAAATGTGTCTACCATGGTCTTGAACCGCTCACGTACCTCCTCTGGTGATAGCATCTCCTTACCCAGTGAAACTCGCTTGTTCTCAACATCTTTCTGTCCGATCACGAGGATCTCGCCATAGTTCTTCTCTCTTGCCTCCTTGATTTTCGCACCCAGAGGCCGTGCACTATCATCTATGTCAACCGACAGCCCAGTCGGTCGAAATGCGTTATCCTGAGTAGGGAGTGTGCCGTTCTCAAGCTGCTCGTAAAGCTGGTCGTTGTTACCAACCAGCACACTGCGCACTTGCCCCGCCCATTCGACAACAGGTTCGGCAGTGTTGATGGTGAGAATGATGACTTGGCGAGGGTTCAACCAGAAAGGCCATTTGCCATTGTACTTCTCAATCAGGAGAGCCATGAGACGCTCAACCGAGCCCAGGACAGCGCGGTGAATCATGACAGGGCGCACGGGGCCATACTCGTCGAGCAGAGAAGCATCTGTGGTCGTCTCGCCTCTAGCTTCATATTCTGGCGCAGGGGCCTGATACTCAAGTTCAAACCGCTTGGGTAGTTGAAAGTCAAGTTGGATGGTCGCTGTCTGATGCTCCTTTCCATCCGAGTCTGTGAGGACGATATCGATCTTGGGTCCATAGAAAGCACCATCTCCTTCATTGACACCCCATTCCATGCCTGATGCACCCAGAGCTCGCTTCAGAGCGTTCTCAGCCTGATCCCACTCCTCTTGGGTACCAATGTAGTGATCTTTTGGCCGTGTGGAGAGTGCAAGTCGGTAATTTGAGCCAAATCGCAGAACAGTGTACACCACCTTGACAAAGTCTAGAGTCTTCTTGATCTCCTTCTCAACTTGAATTGGTCGGCAAAAAATGTGTCCGTCATCCTGATGAAAACGTCGAACACGAGTGAGTCCACTCAATGCGCCGGAGATCTCGTTTCGATGCAGAGGACTAAAGTCGGCGTATCGAATTGGAAGATCTCGGTAACTACGGTTTTTGGAAGCGAAAATGAGGCAGTGGCCGGGGCAATTCATGGGCTTAAGACCATAATCACCCTCTTCCTCCTCGTCAGGCTTCAGGTCCTTCTGGTCACTCCCACAGCATCCGTCATGTTGCGCAGGCGGTGGCTCTGTATTCCCTCTCACAGCATACATGTCGTCGGCGTAGTTTTCCAAATGACCTGACTTGGCCCATAGTGACTTTTTGTAGATGGTTGGCGTAATAACCTCCTCGAAGCCATATCGTACGTATTGTTTTCGGAGAAAGTCAACAAGCCGGTTGAAGATTCGCGAGCCATTCGGTAGGAATATGGGGGAGCCAGGGCTGTAGATCGAGCTAATAAAGAGTTCTTGCTTGGTACCGAGTTTACGATGGTCGGGAGGTTCTCGCTTTTCGGACTTTCCAGAATAGAACCGGCTGCGGGAGATGCACTGCGGGCACGTCCAAGGTCTTCTGAGAGACGTATTGAAGGCCGCTCGGGCGGTCCTCGAGCGGATCATGGCCACTCCAGCAGGCAATGGCGCGTGATAGATCGATGTTCAATGGATGCTTTTGCGGAAATATGACGATCCAAAATTCACAAACCCACCTGAAAACGTTCCATGGACGCCTGCCAGCTCGTTGCTGTTTAAAGCCTAGCGGACACCCACGGGCCGCTATTCTTAGCGGTCAGCTGTCGCCTATCGGCAGTCCGTTGACATGTCCAGTTCGTGTAGCGGTTAACAATATAAGGTAATACATACAGGGCGATGTCTCTGCATACCTATTAAACCTCATGAATAACACAACCATGCTGACAGTTTGGTAGGTCAGATAATATGTAATTCCATATATGAGAGGTGATATCATAGGTTGAATGTACAGTCCCTTTGTTCTATAGTGGTTATGGACATTGTGGCATGGGTCTCTGGGTCTTTGTGTGACCCCTCCCCAACGCTAATATCCTAATGGAACCCCGCCATCCATACAAACAGAGCAACTGCGTGAGCATTGGATCTCAACTAGCCAAAATTCACGACTCATCTTCATACCGTAATTTCTCTTCGCCCTCACACAACGAGGCCCTCGCTCTCTCAATAATCCGTTGCCATACTTGAGCTCCCAAAGTCCTCACTAATCCTGCGGCTCCTGCGGACATAAGCCGCTGCTGGCTCTCACCATGAGCTTCGCTATCGAAGTCCCAGGCGATGCGAATCCGCTGTCTTTGCAGTCGCTGTACCAGACACTGCAGTCAGCCACTTCAACCGATTATGCGCAGCGTCAGACGGCAGGGCAACAGCTAACATCATGGGAGCTCCAACCAGGCTACTATTCTTCGTTGCAGGTGAGCCTTATGGCCGAGATGGGGACTCTTTTCAACGTACTAACAATCTCGCAGGCTGTCTACCTCGACAAGTCCCTCGCCTACGAAGTTCGATTTCTCGCCATAATTCAGCTCAAGAATGGTATTGACCGCTATTGGCGGTTATTCAACCAAGTCAAGAACAGTATAAAACCAGAGGAGAAGAGCCTAATACGCTCGCGACTATTCCAAGGCTCCATCGAGGAAGAGCACACCAACCTTGCTCTACACAATGCTCTGGTGGTCGCGAAGATCGTTAGAATCGATTATCCTGGCGAATGGCCAGATGCTATGGGCAATATTATCGAACTCCTCCGGTCATCGCGAAATGGTAACCAGAGACATCTTCATGGCATCCTCGAGATTCTACTGCGAGTGGTGAAGGAACTGGGAACCGCACGAATGCGGAAGAATCAGACCGCTCTACAATCAGTCACCCCTGAGATTGTTCACGTTCTAAGCGAAGTCTACTCAGAAAAGTCACAGGCATGGATGGGCTTCCTTACTGGTGGGCCTGGAGGTCAGGAGGAAGTCAACCTGGCTATGCTCAACAGCTTACTTGCTCTCCGAGTCCTTCGTCGGCTCGTTATAATGGGCTACGAGCGCCCCCATAGTGACAACACCGTTGAGCAATTTTGGACTTTGTCACAGAACCAGTTCGGGCAGCTCCTCAACCTTGTTAGTCATGACTCGGCAGTCCCACCAAACTATCAAGAAGTCGTTGGCAAACACTTGCTCCAGTTTACCAAGCTGCACATTGACATGGCGGAGCAGCATGCCGCCAGCTTTGTGTTTCTTCCCAACTCCATCCCATTGGTACAATCATATTGGGAGCTGGTTGCGAAATTTGCAGAGGTATTTGACAAGTCTGGCGGTATCAGACAAGGCCCATCAGAGACCGGATCTGCAAAATCCAAGGTCGAAGGACCCGTACTAGAAAGACTGGCCCTCAAGGGGCTTCTCCTGCTCAGGTCATGCGTCCGGATAGGGTTCCAGCATGTCCAGACTTTTAGATGGCGAAGCCCGGAAGTAAAAGCCGAGCAAGAAAAGGCTAAGAACCTGATCAAATCCGAACTTTTGAAACCTGATCTCGTCATTCAAATTGTTAACTCCATCATCACCCATCTCTTTGTCTTCCGTAAGTCGGATCTTGAGGGTTGGGAGGAAGATCCAGAGGAGTGGGAGCAGCAGGAACAGAGTGAAGGA